GAGGGAAACAAACGAGCACAAGGTGAAAAATCTTTCCACTCGAGTGCAATACGTAACTTTTCATCCCACCTCAGCGAGGAAATGACAAAATGAAAAAGAAAACAATTTATAATGACAAAATATTTTTATTTCAATTAAAACACATTAAGATAATCTATAAATTGAAGAAAATAATAAGAAGTAGAAAATAATTAAGAAATATTAAATGTAACGTTGCTACAGTTACTTATGTTAAGTTTAATATTTTTGTTAGGTAATGTTATGTTGGTGTTTGTGAATTGTGCGCTGTTTTGTGGTAAACTACTCGTATCAGTAATTTTAAATAGTTGTGCCGATTCATTGGATTCTATTGGCGTAAATGTTGGCGAGAGAGGGCTATTGTTTCCAATCTTATGGGGGCTCATTTTAGATGTAGAAGGGCGAGACCAAGAATCTGACATAGGTTCTTTCAGCGTTATGGCCTCCACGATACTATTACAAATTTTTGATTTACTTTGGATTGAATCCTCTATGTATCCCTCTACAACCGAATTAGACTTCCAGCCTCCATGGCGCTTAAGCGATAGAAGATCAGCCCCTGATTCGGCCAAAAGTGTGGCTGAGGTTCTTCTAAAACAGTGACCGGTGTATAACGGGGGTTCTAAAAGTCCGAGAAAAGTTGCTATTTCTCGTGGAATACTGCCAATTTTATTCTGACCCATAGGTTGTCGGATACACTTTCCGTTGCGATATTGTAGAAAAAATCGTTCAATTGGGGTGTTAGAAGGACGTAAAGCTTGATATTTCTGAACAATGTTTACATATTCCTTGCGAATAACGAAGTTGCGGTCTTTTTTTGTCTTGGTATTTAGTACATTAATTAATAGCAATTCATCAGAATTATGAGAATATTTTGATACGTTATTGACATTAAGTAGTGTAAGTTCATTTGTTCGACATGCTCCGGTTATACCAATAATAAGAACAACCTGTAACAAAAGAAGTATTTATAATCGTAAATAAATTAATCAAATTAAAAATATTGTAAGTACTATGTACAATTTTATCAACAACAAAAAATTACACGTATTGACTTACTTTTGCCGCTAAATATACGGAATCAGGTGCTTCATTAATAAACTTTGCAATTTCAGATGCTGTGAAAACCTTCGATTTTTTTGGTTTATAACCAGATGAGGCTCTTTTTAAAAATGCCACTAATTTATGATAGGTGTCGATATGAACGTCTTTCTTCATCTTAATTGTTAATTTTAGCATTGAATACGTACTCCATAGCGTGCTTGCTTTCTTGGTCTCAGATAATTCTATAAAATATGCCAGCAAAACGTTTTCGGAGAAAGTTTTTGCTCCTTTAGCTAGTCGCCACATGTTAAATATATCGTACTGTTTCAAATACTTCTCTCGTGATTGCTGAGGGAGAAGGCTCATTTGCGCATTATTAACTGTTTCAGTTAACTCAGTTGGCGTTAGATAAACTTCATCGTCGCTAATGTCACTCATTTTAGTTGATTTTTTTGTACAGTTTTTAGGTTATGTTAATTATATTAAGCAATAAAACGTGAAAAACTAGAATGGCGCGAAGCACGCAAATAAAACAAAGAAACCAAGAAGGTTCCAAATTTAAATTTTTTCACAATTTAAAAAGTTCTAATCATAAATTTGGCACCATAGAGGTTACATTAAATAGGTTTAATGACGTTTTGAATTTACAATTATATTGAGTACTCATTATATGTGATGTTCTAAATTCAAATCTACTTTGCCGCTCAAGCGAATAAAATAGAATTTTCCAGCCAGATTTCGAAGCGCAAAATTACACTTTCCGAGGTGGTGGGATGAAAAAAATATTCTATCAAGATGACGACGTAACAATCTTACATTTATAATATGGCAATAGTTTTGCTATGCCTGCCTCATTTCGTAGTCCTGATATTTGCCAACGTTTTAAATCATGTGAACAACTTCCACATCTACTCAAACATGATTTAAAGAATTTTATTTCTCAACGGTTGAAGTTTTCTTATTTGGATTTCAAAAATCTTGCGTATTTCATTCACTCCACGCAATAAATTGATATTTAGAATTTCCGTTTTCGAATATCTAAACACAGATTTTACGACTTTGATAGATTTTTGATGCCGAGAGTTTCGAGATCACAGTTAAACAGTGTTAATTTGCAATGATTTTTTTGATAACATGACAAAATTCTATTTTTATACTTTAGATATTTACGGATCTCGTATGTTTACCTAGTTGGCAGACCAAAACAAAAGCTAGATTTGAAAAAGACTCTCAGCAGTTCCGAGAATAAAGCATATTTAACAAATAATAAACATTGACTTAAGTAAATTTTCAATATTTGTTAACTTTTTCGGCAAACAATTTTAGTGACGTATCTATAATAAGAATCGCTAAAGATTTCTATATTATTTCGTATTCTTCCGAATCACTTTGTTCTTTTGACGACCTCCGTGGCTCGAGTGGTATGTACGCCTCTTTTTTTAAGGTGTCGCCTACTCAGAGATCCCGGGTTCGAATACCGGTGGGGCAAATGTTTGTATGATGAATACGAGCATTTGTACCTAAGTCGTGAATGTTTATATGTATTTCTAAATAAAAATATACTTAATTATTTATGTATCAGTATATGTATTCTGTCTGTTGCCCTAGTATCTCACAACACAAGCCTTACAGTGCTTACTTTGGGGCAAGGCTAATTGGTATGTTTGTGTTAGAAATATATATTTATTATTTACTAGCTGTGCCCCGCAGTGTTACCCGCGGTGTATTAAGGTGTCAGCTAGTTGGCTGACACCTTAATACTATTATGGAGTTCCATAACAAATTTTATTAAAATCACTCCAGCTGTTTCGACGTGGAGAAGTAACAGCCATACACACTCACACACACACACACACACACACATAACTTTCGCCTTTATAATACACACATCAAAAGTGTCTAGGGATCAAGCATTTTTATGCGGATTTCTTGAGATTGAGATGTGGCTTTGTAATAAATTTATGATTTTATAAATTTATATGGATCCTTTTTGGTGCATTTCATAATTTGAATCAGGAACTGTGAATCAAATTCGAGTAAAAGATGAAAATCAGCTGTCAATATTTTCCCTATAAAAACATACAACGCATTGAAGACATTATTAGTGCTACTGTTTCCCTACTACTGATTAAAACCAACGTTATTATGGAGCGGCGACGTCATTTAAGCAGGGAAGAAATGCTCAGAGCCGTGGGAATGATAGAAGCTGGTTCCCGGCAACGTACTGTGGCTTTAGCTCTGAATACAAGTCAGAGTGTTATCAGTCGACTTTGGACACGATACCGAAGCACTGGTACCGTGGCTGAGCGCCATGGAGGACGGTATCGCTGCACCACACGGAGACAAGACCGATACATTCAAATCTTAACTCGAAGAGCTCCAACAATAACCGCCATGATGTTAGCCGTGAGGCTTCATCACTCTTCAGGGAACTTAATTAGCGACCAAACAGTCAGAAACCGCTTGCATGAAGTGAACCTTCATTCCCGAAGACCGCTACGGGTACCACCTATAGCAATGCACAATCGTAGGATTCGATATCAATGGGCTCTTGAACACAGAAATTGGGCAGAAGAACAATGGCGTTTCGTGTGCTTTTCTGATGAGTCTCGTTTTGGTATGAGACCGGATACAAGACGTATACGACACTGGAGAACCCCTGGACGCCAACAGCGATTAAAATCCTGCCAGGAAGTCCATCCTTATAGTGGTGGAACCATCATGGTATGGGCGGGTATTTGGATCGGCGAAAGAACTGAGTTGATTTGGATCAGAGGCAACCTCAACGCTCAAATTTATGCTGAGACGATTGTATCAGACGTCATCGTTCCTCTACAAGTGCAAATCGGTCCCTTATTTCAGTTAATGCATGATAATGCACGACCGCACACCGCAAGAGTTGTAAGACAGACTCTCGCCGCAGCTAACATCAATGTCCTGCCCTGGCCTGCTCAGTCGCCAGACTTGAACCCGATTGAGCATGCATGGGATATGCTACAGAGAAGAGCTCTGCCGAATATGGAGGGTATCCAGTCGCAAGAAGACCTTTTTTTGTTGTTGCAACGAACATGGGCGGCCATTCCACAGCGTGATTTGGATGAACTCATTTTGAGTATGCCAAACCGATGTTCTTGTGTTGTTAGTGTTCGCGGTAGAAATACAGATTATTAATTGTTTAAGTTACCCAATAAAAATTTAGAGAAAACTGTTAGTTCAGTCTTTTTTCGAACTTTTGTGTTAGTGGTTCAAATGTCAAAAATCCCTTTATTAGGAAAATGGCAAATTTCTTTATTAATGCAAAGGTGACTTGGTTTATCGTTACTGTGACAAACGAAAACACTTTATTTGATGAATCCTTAAAGAAAATTTTAATTAATATCAATCAGGAGAAAAGTTATTGCAAAAATATATGTTGATCCCTAGACACTTTTGATGTGTGTATTAGTGTGATTTAGTAGTAGGTATCATAAAAAACTAAGTTTTTGTAATGTACCTATTTAGTCTATATTTCTTTATTATGGTGTCGATTCTCTAAACTTAAAACTAAATTTAACATCAGTCTCTCCTTTTCATTCTGTATAGAGAATGACAGGGATGCACTGTTGTCAAATTTAAGTTTAGCTTTAGAGAATCATGCCAGAATCGACATCTATGTCTATTTATTTCTGCAGGTGATAATTTTACAGAATAGCACTACTGATCTAAAATAATGTCTGGTTTATCTACCTGCATTCAGTGTATGAGCATAATAATCAAATTGGTATATTGGTTGGAACGTGCCGGTAATTTTTAGTAATGAGCTTTAGCTTGTTTATTAAGACTAGGTAAACTAGAACGGTTACAACGTAACATAATAAAATGTACCTACTATGAGTATATTTTATTCTAAATATATCATTATTATTACTTTTTATACAAAGTAGTAAACTTTGTTACAGAGAAAACCATTTTGAGAAGTCTTTCTGGGCTGTTCCGGTCTGGAGAGCTTACGGCCATCATGGGCCCCTCTGGAGCCGGGAAATCATCCCTGATGAACGCCCTCACAGCATTCTCGTATGTAAACACAGGTTTATTTCTTATTAATTCTCCTTCAACAATTGCAATTTATCGTTCATAGCTCTCTCACACAACACAGATAGAGGTATGAAGGGCCTTGTGGGCGGGGCAGGCGAGCCACAGTTATATGTGAGCAAAAGGCTCATAACTTGACCAAAACTTGGTTCCGATTGCGTAGTTGCTCACGTGTATGAACGCTGATTGGTTCGATTGTTTGATGTAGCGTTGTTTGATTGGCTGTTATCTATTAGGTGCACGTGTAGTGAGGACGAGCCGGCGACATCGGTTCCCGTACAAAAGGTCTATCATCACCCTTCTAACCTCTTTCTGTGTTCTGTGCTCTGTACCCATAACTCACGATCAGTACCCCTAGCACGAACCAATATCGAATTCGTATCGTTTGCGAGTCCGAAATGTCATTGTCAAATGTGTACTGATTTTTAGTTCTCGTTACGTAGTTTGTACCGCTGCTGTTCAAGTTTCCATACTCACATTGACATTTCGGTTTGCGAACTATTCGAATTCGATAATGGTTCCTGCTAGGGGTACAGAACGTTTGCGAGTCCGAAATGTCATTGTCAAATGAATACTGAATTTTAGTTCTCGTTACGTACTTTGTGGCGCTGCTGTTCAAGTTTCCATACAAAATTTGACAATGACATTTCGAACTCGCAAACTATTCGAATTCGATATTAGTTCGTGCTAGGGGTACTGTCGGAGTATTTGCTAATTATTTTTGACATAATGATGGAAATGGAATTGATGGAAGTGATAATTACCGAGTTATTTACCGATCCACTACTGCTTTATTATAACGCCACTAAGATAATTGTTCTGAAAAGCACGATGGATATGCAATTTTCTCTATATTTACAAACTGTAAATGTCAAAAAAGTTAGTGAATAGGCGATCAGATCTAACTAATCTCCTCTGTAACTGTTGAATCACCGTCAATGACTGCAATAGCAATTGCATTGGTATACACCTCGGCAAACTCTATGAGCAACGACCATAGACAAGGGAGCCTGCGCAGTAGAAAATTTGCATGCAAAACGTCTACTGCGCAAGTTTATTTGTCTGTGATTATCTATACTTATAATAAATCTGTAGAGATGTCAATTCTGTACATGAAATATATTTTTAAAATAACTATCAGGGGGTGATTAGTGATCGATACTGATGCCAAAAATGCAATCAGTAAATTTTTTGTCTGTCTGTCTGTCTGTCTGTGTGTTTGTTCCTTATAGAAACAAAAACTACTCGACGGATTTTAACGAAACTTAGTACAATTATTCTTCATACTCCTGGGCAGGTTATAGTATACTTTTCATCACGCTACAATCAGTAGGAGCAGAGTAGTGAAGGGAAATGTTGGGAAACCGGCAGAAGTTACTCCATTTTTTAAGCTTCCGTCGCGTTTGCAGCCTTAATGATTAAAGTTACATAGAAATCATGTATGACGGAAACATTCTACATAAAATTGTCTAAAAAATATCCTGCAACAGCATATGTCTATCTTTTATGGTTGACTCACAATAACACGTGTAACTCCCGATAGCTTAGCAGTTCGGAGCATTCTGATCATATTTGTTTACTCTTACGTTTATAATACTCGGTATAAAACACCAAACTTATACATGAAATAAGCCATCGCGTCGTCGCACGTGAATACTGAATCATGCTTTAAGGATTATTTTTGTGTAACGGTTGCCGCGCTCGACACGGGTCGCGGCAGCGGTAGGGTATCAAAGGTCCGAGAGCGAGCTGTCTAAATCTGTTTTCTGCGTCGCTCCCCCCCTGGGGGACGATCGCTTCCGATGAAGCCTTAGAGGCCTTCCCGGCCAGAGGCAGCCCCTACGGGTATTTTTTAGTCAGTACGAGTCTGACATAACCTTGCAGCCGGCTGTAGGGTATCCATGAGGATTTCTCATCTGCTCCCCCGCCTGGGAGACCGAAACCGTGCTTATCAGCGCGACTTTTAGTCTTTAAATAGTTTATTTGAATTTCTTTTGTTGTTATTTTGTAAAATAGGTATTAGTTGTTTTGGTAGTGTTTAAATATTTGTTCAAATTAAAAATTATTAAGCGTAGGTACTTTTATTAATTAAAGTAGTTATAAGTATTTATTTTTAAGTGAAGTAGGTAGGTAGATAGTATTGCACAGGCGTTTCAGCTTTATTTTCATTTCTTTTTTGTTGTGAGTTGTATATATTTCTGCTTATAATTCTATAAGAATATTTTAGTTCAAATAGACACTTAGATTTTATGTGTAAGGTAGCTAAAGTTAGGACCACGTATTAGTTGTTTTGGTAGTGTTTAAATATTCGTTCAAAGTGTAATTTAATCATATAGGATGAATGTACGATGGCCCATCGAAAAGGAGAAGAAACGGTAGACAGAACTTTAAGAGATATAAGACAAAATGATCGACCCATGGGCGGTATCACAGTTTTATTTTGTGGTGATTTCCGACAAACCTTACCGGTAATACCACGGGGAACCCGAGCTGCTGAGGTTAGGGATTGCCTGAAAAGCTCTTATTTGTGGCGTGATATACAATCGGTGCATTTAACTATAAACATGCGAGTGAGAACTGTAGATAACCCGGATGATCGTGAATTTTCTGATATATTATTAAAGAAAATACCTTCACCAAAGATACCTATCCACTGCAACACCAAGGAAAACTTATTCTGACGCCTGAGTTATGTTGTATAGTGCAATCCCAACAACATCTTACATCGTCAGTTTACGGTGACGTAATAAATATATTAAATAAGAACAATTCTTGGCTATGCGAAAGGTCCATTTTAACTCCTCGCAATGACCAGGCATCTGAGATTAATAATAAAATACTGTCGAATATCCAGGGGGAAAGCAAAGTTTATAGTTCAATAAATAGAATGGCCGATGAACAAGAAGCCACTAATTACCCGATAGAATTTTTAAATTCTTTAAATATGCCCGGACTTCCTTCTCATGAAATTTGTTTAAAAATTGGCATTCCGATTATTCTGCTCCGAAATTTAAGACCACCACAAATTTGCAATGGAACTCGGCTTAAAGTAACCAAGTTGCAACAAAATGTAATCGAGGCTCAAATTTTAATAGGTTGCGGTGCAGGAGAAACCATCTTTATTCCCAGAATTCCTATAATACCAAATAATTTTCCATTCCAATTTAAAAGAACGCAATTCCCAGTATCGGTGTGTTATGCAATGACAATAAATAAGGCTCAAGGGCAGACTTTTCGTGTTGTTGGAGTAGATCTCGGTGTCAGTTGTTTTTCACATGGTCAGTTATGTTGGTCTTTCCCGGGATAGCAGTCCTAGAATTTTTTATGTTAACGTGCCGGACGGGTCAAATTTCAACGTAGTTTACCCGGAAGCTTTGCGCTGAAGTATTTTCATTCTATATGTACTTAAGACTCATGTGAAAGCGATCTAGACAATATTACCAATACATTAACATAATAACATACAAGGAGTTACACGCTGATGGTCTCGGGGCACAGTGATAATAATAATATTCTGCGGTTCCTTATTGCGATATTTTTAACAGTATTATATTTCCCTACTAAAATACGAAAGTTAATCTGTCTGTCACATCAAAACCACGGAACCCTGAGGAAGGACATATGCTACTTTTTTACGAAAAACGATGAAAACGCGGACGAAGTCGCGGGCAAAAGCTAGTTTATAATATAGCCGATGAGGAGGTGACCAAACACCTCGAGCCTCTTGAATTACGCCGTGACGTGGCGTCACTAAGCGCGTTCTATAGTCTGTACCACGGAGGACAAAGACTTTTCTCAGACAAAGTCGCGGCAAAAGCTACTAAGCTAGCAGATCGTAAATGTATGAAAAATAAATTAACTTAATGTATTTTGTTAGTACAAAGTAATACCTGATATGGCATCTTTATGTGTCATCATTGGAATATACGATCCATCCAATCCATACATTTAAAGTATTACGTTATGCTAATGTAATTATGAATATACATAATATATGTCTCGTATAATCGCACCAACCTCGTTATTGCACGTCCAATCCTAGCATAGCGCAGCAATGTATTACGTGAAAATTTCCAATCACTATGCGGATACTATTTGGAAACCGTATCCATATCCAATGACTTTGGATGATTTTGCGCTTAATGCTGCCACGTGTACCTATTTGCATTTCTGTGCTTGGACCCATAGTTTGGAAACACCTAAAGATATAAAGCTCCCTCCGCCCCTACCTAACCAAAACCCTGTTACCACTACCAAAAACCCGTCTCGCAAAACCGACGTGAGAGAGTAAGAATAATTCATTGTTAATCTATATATCCCCTTCCCAACTAAAACCCCTTTTACCATTCACTACCAAAGACATGTGTCGCAAAACTAACGTGAATGAGAAACAATATTTATTTACTACCCTGAAAATTCAATAACATGTTGATCGGAGACCTGAAACCGTCTGCAAGATGCGACATCTTGTAGATGATCTTATTTTTATTTATATCATTTAAAATGCTATGTTAATAAGCAAAAAATAATCCTTATGATTACCCTTTCGATGGTTATCATAAAATCTGTCGTGTTTTTTTCTAATTGTAGCAGGCGATTTTAAAAAAATCTGAGAATGCAGTTCTTGTTATTATTAAAAATAAATTGATGTCTTCTTTCAGTAAAATATCCTATCTTCAATATTTAATATACTTTCTCTCCGTGTGAGGTAGCCCTAGGGCGCCCTGTATAAAATATGAGAATAATATAGGTTTCTTTCAAATAAAACAGTATTTATTAAAGTTTATTTTTAAACATTTATTATGTTTTAATGCAATGCTATAAACTATAAAGAAAACATCAACAAAAAATACTAGTTATATCTAGATAAACATTTTGCACTGTTTTACTAAAATTGAGATCTAGTAGCTTATAAATCTTACTACCTACATGCTTAATAATAATTTAGGATACAAAAAATCTAACTGGAAAAGATCCTCGAGATAAACACTTTTTTGTAAGGTAAAATAATGGCACTTCCATAACAGAACTTAAAAAAACATAAACACAAGTGGTAATCTTCAGATAAATGTTTCTTTTAAACTATAATAGAGAGCCCATATTTTTCCATTTACTGTAATCGTGAGGTTCTCAAATTCTTTTTAATTTTAGGGGAATTACAATGAAGACAAATCATCAGTCTCGTTTAAAGCAGTCGTAAATAACTTTTGCAACTTTTATTCTTATTCATCGTTCAATTCTTTATCTGACACATAAGTAATACCAGCTTCATTTATACATTTTTACATGTGCTCAATTTTTACACATGATATATTTTATCCACTCTCTTGGAAGAGAATTTGAATATGAATAACAACAAACTATGCAGTACCATTCCAGCGGGGCTATTATGTAAAATTTTCACGCGCGGTTCCGATGCGGATACATGCGCAACTATATGGGAAACGCGCGGATCCGATGCGTAAACGCGCGGAAAAATTTACAGAAAAGCCTCGCAGATCCTCGTTACTATCACTCTAGCTTTCTTGTAGTACTGCATTTTCCTTTGCCTTTACCTTTTCCTTTATTATTTTTGTTTTCTTTTCCCTTGTCAGTAATGTCTTCGTTCTTCTTTGCCTATTCTTCAGCTAATACATTTTTTTGAAGTGAAAACTTCTTTAGCGGCGTTGTACACTTTTTTTGTATGGGTAAAAAATGTTAAACTCGCGTCAGGTTAAACACGTGGGCTGATCGCATAATGACACATATTAAAATTGGAAAGGTTGTTGACTTTCAATATATTGGACGAAATATTTTATTTTATCGTATTATAATAATAAGTCTCTGTCTAGGACGTCCACGTGGCAGCTTCATTGCAAATTAAATGCATTTTTTTACAATAGATGTCGCTAGGTGCGCTTAAATGTGATTCATGTAAGTTGATTTTTTACAATAGATGTCGCTAAGTGCGCTTAAACGTGATTCATGTAAGTTGATTTTTCTGAGAGATTAACTTTTTTAATATAATATAAATTGTCATGTTTGTGTACGATAGCGCAATAAATAAATATTGTATTCTACCACATACATTATATATGTATATATATATATATATATATTATATATATAAAGTAGGAAAGTAGGATATCTTCATAAGTTTGGACAGACGGACAGAATTTTATTATCACCATAGACAAAAGATTTTGGTGTAAACATAATGAAAAATTAAATGTTCTTTCTTTATAACTCCTCTTCGAGTTTTTTTTTTCACTTAAACTCGATAGACATTATTTTGCAATTTTATGTGGCTTGATAGTACATTTTATTTACCTATGAATAATGTAATAACTAAGTCAGGGCTATAAGGAGACATTCTAGGGTTGTCTTGTCTGCCTTGTACCAAGTCTTATACGGCATAAATACTATAAAACATGTTTTTTTAAAGAATACTACATGTAAATAATATATATTTATGATAATCGCACACGACCAGCAATACTAGACCTTTAATCTCATAACAAAGTGATAACTCGCGGAAAATTGCTAGGTAGGTTTAATAGGTATAATAGTACTGGTTTACTGGCGATTCTCTCAACAAAACTTAAACGATGTCTCATTTTATATTGATTCGATCTAAGTTATTTATTTTTTTGTAACTTTAAGAAAATAATTGATTGCATTATTATTTTTTAAGAATTTAACTGCTAGATGTTTGAATATAAAGAAATTTGAAAAAAATCCCGTCTAAATAAAACCTCTCTAAAGTGGAATATACCTACTAACATTACAAGATAATTAATAATATTAACTTTAAAGTAATTTGTGGACGCATACAAGCTGTCTGTGGTGTGAAACCAAAAGGATTGAACCAAAACCAAATAATGAAGTCATCTGATGGACTGACTGATGAGTTAACGTTACAAAATCACTTAACTTCGTATTAATAATATTTACTTAAAGTTAGAGTGACAAGCTCGATGGCACAGTAGCTAGTAAATTCTCTCTGCGATCGTCAAGGTTATCCAATTTCCACAATAGCCGGTGTCAGGATTGGTAACCAAAAATTTATGATCAGGTGCTTCTAGTTAGTGCTTCGTAAGGCACGTTATGGCGTTAGCTCCGGCTGCAGACGGCATCTTAGTAGTTCGCACCCACCAATCGGCTTTGGCGCCCTAATGGTAAATAAGGATAAATAATAATAAATACTTCTAACACTCACTCCAATTATAGTCTAGCTTAAGCAAAGTAAGCACTGTAAAGCTTGTATTGCGGGACACTAGGTCAACGGATAGAAATACAAAAAGAGCCATGACTTAGTTAGGTACAATAATGATCGTATTCATCATATTTTTCGATTAGAACCCAAGACCTTTGAGAAGTTGACACCTTAATACCCGGTGTACGTGTTACTCTCTCCACGGAAGTCGGCAAAAATGATGAAGATGATGAAGTTAGTACGGATTGCAGGACAACTGGTGTGAGCGGCACAATCCGCGCAGGCGACAGCGTCTGCGAGCTGGGCAAGCGCGACCGCTCGCTGAGCTCGCTCAAAGCATACCGGAAGAAATCCTGCTACATCCTGCAGGACGAAAGGCTTAACCCGCTGTTCACAGTCAAGGAACTAATGCGATTCGCGGCCGACATGAAACTCGGGAACACTTTGCCGGAGAAACTTAAGCTGTCAGTGGTAAGCTTTGTTAATGTTATCATGGTATAGTATCCTTTGTCATCAAACATATTGTTGTCGACAACAGATCGAATATAATTTTGCCTAGATTTCATTTTCGAATTTCAAAGTTCAAACAGACTTATTAAAGTTTCTAAAATTATTCAGATGAAAGGGAAAATATCGACAAACGACTGTACTGTGAAAGATGACATGATCATTTCGTGGTCGACTGTAATTCTGTTTTCTCAGAAAATATATTTTAATTATGCTTTTTTCAGGAGTAACAAATTAATTGAGTAATTTCAAATCCTCGTTACCATACTACTACAATAAATAGGTAAATCTTATCTACTTTAATTTATAAATGAGTAAGACAACACTAATTAGCAAATGTAAATTAGTCATATTTTTCAGTCGTTTGAGGTACCTACCTACAGAAACAAATTATACTCTAGTACCCTTAGCATGAACCAATATCGAATTCGAATAGTTAAATTCGATCTCGATTCGAGTCAAATGTCAAGACCGTTTTTGGAAGATTTTTAATTCTCGTTGTGTCCGCTGTGATGCTGTTCAAATTTCCATACCAAACTTTTTGTTATTTGCCGGTGTCGACATCGAATTCAACTTTTCGAATTCAATATGGTTTCTTGCTAAGGGGTACAGAACCCTAGGGGTGTACTGGTTTTTAGTTCCCGTTACGTCCGTTGTAGCGCTGCTGTTAAAGTTTCCATAGACAATGGCAATTCGCACTCGCTAACTATTCGAATTCGATATTTGTTTGAATTCAAAAGATAAATTACGAGTAATAGTTCTAAAGGTTATTTTTTATTGGGATTAGGGTTGCCACCTTTTTTTGTCGAAATAAAGTACATTGGATATTAAAGGTAGAAAAAAAAAGTACATTGTGTCCAAAATAAAGTACGTTTTATTCCACCTTATTAGTAAGCTTAAATTATATTTTACGTTGCTACTAGCAACTTTTAATAAATACTGCTAATGTAGTTTTTTTCCGCAATGGAAAAGGTCATGATACAAAGGCATGCAGCCACGAAAATGTTGCAGGAATTAGCTAAGCAAGCAACATATTCTTATATACTTTCTGTCCGTTTTATGCGAAAATTCTTCCTATCAAAAATCACATTAAACAAAGTATTTTCGCGTACTTTATTGTTGGCATAAAGTATAGAGTATAAATACCCCAAATAACGTATAATACTTTATAATAAAGTACGGGTGGCAACCCTAATTGGGATAGACCCAATATTATAGCGTCATTATCAGCGTAATACACTGTCAGGTCATAAGTATTGTCACACAGTAAAAACTTTTCTTTTAGAATGCTGGCCACAAAAAAAGTTTATTGAATTCGAATTCCGATTTGTTCATGAAAATAAAACTGTATAATTTTTAGAATTTTACTCATTTTTAAATATGGAGTGGACGCTTAAAGAAGATCGTGTTGCAGTTATTGCGTTGCATCGTTGCGGTTACGCGCCAATTCAATTTTTTGACATACTGAAAATTTTGAATATAATCAAAAAATTCGTTTATCGTACCATCAAACGATAAAATGAAGACTCTAGTGTAGATGACAGGTCATGAAGTGCTCGCCCTCGGTCTGTTAGGACTCCAGCAGTGATAAAAGCTGTGAAGGAGCGAATTCAAAGAAATCCCAAACGTAAGCAGAAACTGTTGGCCCTTCAGATGGGGTTAAGCAGAACCACGGTGAAAAGGGTGTTAAATGAAGACTTAGGGCTTCGGGCATATCGAGGAAAAACAGGACATCGTTTGAATGCTCGTCTAATGGACCTGAGACTGAAGAGATGCCGCGCTTTCTTGAAGCGGTACGCGGGAAGAAAATATCGGGTAATTCTTTTTTCGGATGAAAAATTTTTTACCGTAGAAAAGAGCTACAACAAACAAAATGATAAGGAGTACGCACACAGTAGTGAAGAAGCGAGCAACCGTATTCCGCGTGTCCAACGAGGTCATTTTCCATCCTCGCTCATGGTATGGTTGGGAGTTTCTTATTGGGGCTTAACAGAGGTACATTTTTGTGAGAAAGGTGTAAAAACGACTGCAGTTGTATATCAAAATACAGTCCTGACGAACTTTGTGGAACCTGTTTCTCATACCATGTTCAATAACGACGCACTGGGTACTAACAAGATTCGGCGCCAGCTCATAGAGCGAAGAGCACATAAGACTGAAATCGGCGCGTGAAATCGACTTCATCCGGCATGAAGACTGGCCCTCCTCCAGTCCAGGTTTGAGTCCGTTAGATTACAAGATATGGCAACACTTGGAGGAAAAGGCGTGCTCAAAGCCTCATCCCAATTTGGAGTCACTCAAGACATCCTTGATTAAGGCAGCCGCCGATATTGACATGGACCTCGTTCGTGCTGCGATAGACGACTGGCCGCGCAGATTGAAGGCCTGTATTCAAAATCACGGAGGTCATTTTGAATAAACTTTATTGTCATAAGAATCTATGTTTTGTTAAGTTCATTTTGGTATATAAATGGTTACATAATGAATAAACTTGTTTCAATTATTTTATATTAAACATGTGACGGAATTTATGACCTGACTAGGTGTTATATTATCAGCGTTGGAAGTTGTATTAACTATTTCCACACTATGTTTCCTTGTCCTCAGATATCCGAGGTGCTGGAAACGCTAGGGTTGACAGGTTCGGAGAACACTCGGTGCGGACACCTGTCTGGTGGCCAGAAGAAGAGACTCTCCATCGCCGTAGAACTTATAGATAATCCACCAGTCGTATTCCTGGATGAACCGACCACGTGAGTTTTGAAAATGATTTATATAACTTCATCGTCATCAGCTTAGTGACAAGTCTAATGGCTCGTATTATAGAAAGATTCTCGGTAATGAATATAGTCTTGAGCATAGTTAGAAAGGGATGCCGCTATATATCACATAGCGACATCCCTCTCTAACAGTACTCAAGTAAAGATTAACACTTAGTTGTCATTCTGTAATACGGGCCTATGTTCCTAGATGAACCAACTGTATTAAACAAACGAATCAACTCAAATAAGAAACGTAGGGTGTAGAGGATTCTTCGCATGAATTGGAGCGTCGTAGAGGAAGTTACCTCCATCTTACAGAAGATTGCAGTAAAAATAACACTACCTTTTGGTGGTGATGTTGTGTTTCTGTCGGTGAATAAGGTTTCAGGGCTCCACGGATAGGGGAGTGGATCAGGGTAGGCAACGGTTAGCTTTAGTATGGTGGCCGCTTACCGTCAGGGGCCTGATCGCCTAAGTCAAAGCCAGAGCATCACGAAGGTTGACAGCCACAACTTTATCAAACTATATGTCTGCAAAAAAATCAAAACACCTAAAATTCACGACGTGTGGTAATGCTTATGGTTATCAAATGCTTAAGTGAGTGAACGATTCAATTGCGTTATGTTCATGTATTTTTTTACAAAATTCTTTTCATTTTATAATTGAAATACTATAATATTTAAATTTTCAAATGTATATTATCATAGGGAGGCATAAATATTAATATTTAATAATTAGTCTTATTAAATTATTCTTAAATCAAAGAAAAAAGGAAATTTTAAAATTGGTACCATAAATTGTGTGTTGTATTGTATTGTCGTGTGGTCAAAAAAAATATCCATTCTTGAATGTTTAATGGGTCCCGACTGTTAAAGTAGCTTTGTCCCTTGCTTAACAGAATTATACACTACAGGACTTGTTTTTTTTCTTTTCAGTTTTTATTTGCAGTAATATGAAGCAGTCGGGTTTTTTGATTTTTTAAATTTACTTTTTTTTATTCATTATTGAAGTGGAACTTTTTTACGCACGCTTGACTTGGGGGGTAAGCTGGCGAATGCGTTACGCGCTACGAAAAGTTTGTTCGGGCGAGGCGAATGGGAGTTGAATGGGGGATATAAGCAAGAGAAAGCAGTGCGCGCACATTTTCTATGTCTCTTTCTCTTATAGCTAGTAAATGAAATATATATATATGCAGTTGGAGCTAAAGAAGTTTTATTTCAGTCGTTTGGTCATAAGCACACTCGTTTTTTTGTTGTGGTAGCTATCACAGAAACATTCTTCAAGAGATGATAGAGACAGCGGAAGCATACTTACTAATAGGCTTCCGATTGTCACCTTCTGAGTATTTCCAACCCTAAAAACTGCTTTGCATACAATAAGTTGAGTAAGCATGAATTTTAAATACATAAACGTCAATGTTGCTATTTCTACCAGGCATTTAATAAGTGTCTAGGTAACTACCTACACTTCCTCTTCCTTAGAAGGTGAACCACAATTTATTCAACATCAATCGCGAAATCGGTTTTTGTAGACTACGATTAATTCCAGCCTTGGCTTAAGAAATTTGACAAGCAAAAACTCATATCTTAATACATAATTATATGATAGTCAATTAGTTACCTATAAAAACTTATACGAGTTGACAACTATAATCTTTCATCCTGCAAGTCAAAATTTACTATGGACCACTTTTTTAATCCTTTTTAACCGACTTCAAGAACACAGTCTTGCCTGATGGAAAGCGATGATGAGGCCTAAGAAGAAGGAGTTTCTCAATTTGACAGTTTTTTTTAATTTGTTGTTCTTTCGAGCATATCACCGAGATGCGTGAACCAATTTTGATGATTCTTTTTCACTTTGCACTAGTTTTGTGGCGAGATGGCCCCATATTAATTTGGTGAAGATCTGATGACTACTTTCGGGCAATTACAAACAGTACTCAATTCGTATTTGGTAATTTTATAAGAAATATGATTGAGATAATGTAGGCCAGGTACCTACTAGTAGTATACTTAGTCAGTCCAACAAAAATAAAAAACGGACTTTATTAAAACCAAATCCACTAAAAAGTTAGAAAAAACAACTGTTCGTCATTTGTTGAAAATAGAATTCCTATTAATTTGTTTATGCCAAAATGAAATAAAAGTTTTACACCTGTTCGAGATTTGTTGCAAAAACAAAAATATTTTATTTAAAACAAAAATTATACTTGCGGTATGTTTCACAAGCGATAAACAAGTTCTTTAGCTACTTCGAACAAAAAGCCCAGTCCTTTAAAAGGTAAAAAGCAAACAAAAGATATCGTTTTAACGGTTGTCATGAGCTAATATATTTATTCCAGGGGCTTGGACAGCTCAACATCAGTGCAATGCATCGAGATGCTGAAGAAACTGGCGCGAGGCGGTAGAACTATAGTATGCACCATCCACCAACCCACCGCATCTGTCTATTCTATGTTCGATCAAGTTAGTACACGCTTTCTTTTGTGTGAAAAGGGTGGTAAGCTATTACATGGCCCGCCTTTTATTATTTTTTTATATAGCCTGGTAGGCAAATGACTCTACCCCACCTGATGTTAAGTGGTGATAAAGTCCAAACGCGAAGTTAGCTGCTACAGCAGTTATAAACTGCCACACCAACCATCCTAACCTTGCCGGCCTGCAAAAATGCTTCTTCGCCTGATGGTATGGCGGTGATCATAGCCTATAGCCGTTGCGATAGCAAAGTTTCACTCGCGCGCTGCCTTCCCAGACCCTCTACCCCACAAAACACAGAAAGGGCTTAGAAGGGCCTTGTGGCGGAGCAGGCGCACCGCAGTTATGTGTGTGAGCAAATGCTCATTGACCAAAACTTGATTCTGATTGCGTCGTTGCTCTCGGGTGTGAGCTCTGATTGGTTATTGTTTGATGGCGCGTCGTTTGATTGGCTATTATATATTAGGTGAAAGAGTAGTGGGGGCAAGCCAGTAGGAGAACATCGGTTCCCATACAAACGGTATATGAACACCCTTCTAACCTGTTTCTGTGCTCTACCCCTTGTTACCGCACCACTAGCGCCATCGAGTGATCTGCAGACGAACGGAAATGAAACGAGTGAAAGAAACTATACGTTACACACATCTCTCGACTACCATACACTAATTAACTACCATACGAAACTACACGGATTTTTAAATATTTAGTTTTATATAGAAACTTTATACGATATGAACGATGAATTGAACAAAGGAGTACCGAATACCTCGTCCCCACCAAATGCATCGAATTTAAATTAATGTGTAAATTCATTACTCATACATGTAAGTGCTTTGTAACCCATTCAAATGTATATCTAATTATTAAGGTCCACTTGCAACAAAATTTGCTAAATCTCAATTTATCTAAAATAAGATATAGCCCATACAAAGATGTCAAATTGACATTGACGTTTTAACTTTTTACTATGGGACAGATCTAGATTTAGTTAAATCGAGATTTAGAAAATTAGCTGCAAGTGGGCCTAAATAATCAAATTGAATAAATACTTCCACTCGTCTATATCTAGACATTGATTTTGTTCTACCTAAGCTAATTAAATCCTTGGAGGCTCATAATTATAGATTCTATTCTTGCCAGCGTGTATATTGAATATGTATTTTCATACACTAACCTATCCTTTATAAACTACAAAATTAAAAGTTAAATAATTAATTTATTAAAAAGAGAATGCATCAGTTATGACGGTTATCCGGGGAAAACCTTAATTTAACCCAAGGATTTTTAGTTTATGTCCGTTTAGTTTATAAAAACTAAAAATACCCGTGTTTAGATAATGGGAACGGAATAACGGATAGTTCTAAATAAAGTACCTAAGTAAGAAGCATATAAAACAAAGCATGGGATCCTTTAAAAGAGGCGTTAAGAAGCAACATGCAGGCCGGCAAGGTGAAGATGGCTGGTGTGGCAGGTAGAACTGCTGTATCAGCTATCTTCGCGTTTGGACTTCACCTTCACTTAACATCAGGTGGGGTGGAGTCATTTGCCGGACCTATCTATAAATAAATAAATATTTCCAACACTCACACCAATTAGCCTAGCCCCAAAGTAAGCACACTGTAAGGCTTGTGTTAAGGGATGCTAGGGTAACGGATAGAATACATAAACAGTACATATATAAGTATATTTATATAGAAATACATATTGAACATCCACGTCTGGAAATGCTCACGTACAAATGCTCGTATTCATCACACAAACATCTGCCCCCATCGGGATTCGAACCCGGGACCTCTCGAGTCGGCGACACCATGAAACCCGGCGTACAAACCACTCGGCCACGGAGGTCGTCAAGTCTATAAAAAAGCAATGATTGCAAACAATTTATAGTGATGGTTCTATATATTTGTTGGCAGGTATACATATTGGCAGAAGGCTTATGCATATACCATGGGAGTAGTGCCAACACTGTTCCGTACCTCGCGTCCATCGGCCTTCAGTGTCCAAAGTACCACAATCCCGCCGACTATAGTAAGAATATATTTATTATCTTTCTCCTCTTTGTCGTATTATGACTCAACTTAATGCACTTCTGGGAGTCAATCGCCTAACGCTTTGGAAAACGCTAACGCTTTCGATTTTATTTTATTATTTCTGACCGCCAAAGGTTTTCAAATACCTCACGCTCATTTTTATTAATATTGTTAATACCAATGCAAAAGAAAAAAAAGGGCGCGAGGCATTTGAAAACCTCAGGCGGCTAGAAATAACAAAATGAAATCTTAAGCGTTAGCGTTTTCCAAAGCATTTCCGTTAGGCGAATAGCCCTTTAGCATTAGCATCGCGACATTTGAGCGTGATAAAACATTTGAGCGTGATAAAAACTTGCCATATATCGTATATATGGCAAGTTTTTATCACGCTCAAATGTTAAATTAATATTAAGTTTGACACGATAAAAAAGTGATAAATTGTATAATGTAGTGCCCATGCTACAGGGACTGCCTGATAAGCCTCAGTGTGATGTGTATGCAGATGGATTGAATAAAAATAAAATATTGTATGACTGTCTATTGTTTTGCGAGAAAAATGAGTGTGAATCCTCATGTTTGTAATTCTTTGTTTTTTTTTTACTAATTGCTGTAAATGGTATTATGCCGTGGCAATTAGAAATAAATCATACAAGTTATCTTACGACTTTGTGACATGGAGAGAAAGTACTTTAAATACTGCAGATAGAAAATTTTACTGGATGAGGATTTGTTTATTATGTATTAAACCATACGGACTACATTTAAAAGATGGGAGAGTACCGTTCTTTCCATCCATATAGTCATGTGTGGGATGTCCTGTATTATACTTAATTTTTTATAAAAAAAATACTAGATAAAAAGCACCTCCTCAGTCTTTTTTAAGTGATGTTACTTAATGTAGTTAATTTTTGTTAGCACTTTTTAAAATCTGTTTTGGTTAAAGTTCATCTGATTAAGTGCTAGATAAAAACATAAAGTTTGCAAGGCGTTATTTAGTCCTTGTATGTGGTGGGCTACACTAAAATATATTATAATGTGAGGCAGAAGTTCTTACTTTCTCTTTAATGGAAAATCTTTGGGATATTCATCATCGAACGTTGTATCATGCCACAAACTTGAATTTGAATGAATGCTTTAACTTGATAAGGATCTAAATGAGGCAGTAGTTAAGTAGCGCGTCGTTCTGCAAGCGAGGATGACAAGCAAACTTTCACTGAACTTAGATATTTGTAGCTCTAGGTGTTGTCTCTTATTAATTATTATTCATTACCCACCAACCTGCGAGTTCGGATGATTGATTCCCTACACGCACTTTCAATCCATATTTCCGCGATAATGATGAATTGTTTCAGAACTCACTCAAATTCGTGTGATAGTCAAAGTAGTAAATACCTGAATATCCATATTCAGTTTTAGAAATAGCCAATGGTGAATATGGCAAGTTCAACGATGTGCTCGCCGTGCTGATTAATTCGAATAGGGATAGCAAGACAAAATTTTTGACAAAAAGTCCGTCGTCACTTAAAGATTCAAAAGCACTACCCTAAGCCGTTCGCTAATAGCGTCAAGGTCGTGACATGATCGTGACCGTGCTAATTATAATACTAGCTGTGCCCCGCGCTGTTACCCGCGGTTTATCAGGGATAGTTTCCCGCAGTAAAAAGTAGCCTATGTTTTAATCAGCAGGGTGTCAGCTAACTCCATACCAAACCAAATTTTATTAAAATCGCTCCAGCCGTTTAGACGTGAAGAAGTAACAAACATGCACACTCACAAACTTTCGCCTTTATAAAATTAGTGTGATTGTCAATGTAGTAAATGCCTGAATATCCATATTCAGTTTTAGAAATAGCCAATGGTGAATATGGCAAGTTCAACGATGTGCTCGCCGAGAGATGTACGATGCAAGGAAAGGAGCAGAAGAGTCTACCGCAGCCTCTGGTCAGCGCCGATAAGGAAGAGATGTCCTGTGGGAAGATCTCCATAGTTATCAAACCGCCACACGAGCTGTACAAGTTCGGAGTGCTATTCAGGAGATGCATCATACAACAGTATAGAGATTGGGTGAGTTCTGAAGCAATTCATCATCATCAGCCTATTAATGTCCCCACTGCAGGGGCACAGGCCTTCTCTATGGATGGAAAAGGGAGATTGGGCCGTGACAACCACGCGTGCCCAGTGTGGATTGGTGGGTGATGACGACTGCAGTTGCAGCCGCGACCAACGGCTTAACGTGCCTTCCAAAGCACGAGGAACTCAAGATAATAAGTTTTTGGTCACCCGTCCAATGACAGACCATTGTGAAAGTTTGCTTAAATTTCACGATCGCAGTCCAAATTCGCTAATTACCTGCGCCATTGAGCTCTTCTTTTGAAACAAATACTAATTAATAACAACTGATTATGTGTTTGACTATCTAATAAGTAGGTTTACTAAAATATTATTAATTGTCTACTAAGTTGTTTATAAGAAATATATTTAATATTCATTCATTCAAAAAACTAGGTATATGAATCCCGCCAATTACTCTAATGTTAGTGACCCTGATAGTTTTAAACAATATTGTTTTATTCATTCACTGATTTATACAGTGCCTTAATGAGATGAAATTAATCGAAAAGGTGAAGTGGTGAATTATTTTTTTCATATTTCATTAAAGAGTATTTTACTTTTGATTTTATGGCACAAGGTAAACTTACATTTAAGAATAAATAATTAAGAACCTACTGATGAAGAAATCCTTTCCAGACAGTTACCCATCTAAAAGTATTGCTACACATAGCGATCGGCATAATGCTGGGATTACTGTTCGAGAAGGCCGGCAACGACGGCTCAAAGACGATCAGCAACCTGGGCTACCTGATCGTGTCCATCGCGTACCTGTGCTACACCTCGCTCATGCCGGCCGTCCTCAGGTGTAAGTTACCATAGCAACGACGGCTCGAAGACGATCAGCAATCTCGGCTACCTGATCGTGTCCATCGCATACCTGTGCTACACCTCGCTAATGCCGGCCGTGCTCAGGTGTAAGTTACCATAGCAACGACGGATCGAAGACGCTCGAGATAATTAATTTTGGGTCACCCATCCGATGACCGGCCATTGCAAAAGACGCTTTACGCCCTAATCACTTAGGCCATCGAGTTGCTCGTAAGCCTTTTATTAGTAGAATGGCCACTCACAAGAAAGGACTTTTTTATTAATGATTTAAAACTTACATTTGCATCCTACCCACACATTTTTTACAGAATCATCCTACAGAGCCCTTCAATATTAACCACAAGAACTTTATACAATATTTCATTAATGACTAGAACTGCTCAGTTCATCATCATCATCAGCCTATTCATGTCCCCACTGCTGGGGCACAGACCTTCCCTATGGATGGAATAGGGAGAATGGGCCATGACCTACCACGCTGGCCCAGTACGAATTGGTGGGTGCTAACGACTGCAGATGCAGCCGGGACCAACGGCTTAACGTGCCTTCCGAAGCACGGAGGAACTCGAGATAGTAAATTTTTGGTCACCCATCCAATGACCGACCACTGCGAAAGTTGCTTAACTTCAACGATCGCAGCTGATCGCACTAACCACTTGCGCCATCGAGCTCCTCGCGCTCAGTTATCCACCGCAATTTCGCGATTCGTCATAAATTAAGCAGCAGTAAATGCAGCTGTGAAGTAATTGAGTATTTTATTGCAAATATTTAACTTATCAACATAAAACTGAAGTTTTGTCTCATAATGTAGATGACATGTCAATTTAAATAAATTCATTACAATGACAATACGGAAATACTTTATGAAATACCATTATTCAATTGTTATATCAATAATCAATGATATTTTATTATGTGATGTCATTGTCAATAATTATTAACATTACTACTATAGATATAAGTAAGTTTGAATATTCTGACAAAGCTAAATTGTTAGTCCTGAGTCCTGACTAAAACGTACCAAGCTTTTTACTAGCTACAATTACCTTTAGATATAAAAATATTCACCTTTCACAATTTATTTATTTATATGATTACATAATGTTTCACGTGAGACGTGGTCGTTGACAATGGGCCTCATAAGAAGGCTCGAAGTCGAAGAGCGAGCGATGGAGAGAGCCATGCTCGGTTTTTCTCTACGTGATCGAATCAGAAATGAGGAAATCCGTAGAAGAACTCGAGTAACCGACATAGCTAAACGGATCGCCATGCTGAAGTGGCAATGGGCGGGGCACATTGTTCGGCGAACCGATGGACGTTGGGGTCCTAAGGTGATTCAATGTTGACCTCGCACCGGGAAGCGACATCAAGCGAGTCGGGGGGACCCACTGGATACGGAAAGCTCAGGATCGTTGTGTTTGGAGATCCCTAGAGGAGGCCTATGTCCAGCAGTGGACGTCCATCGGCTGATTATGATGATGATTTGATGACACACTTGTAGATAATCTTTCATTCGGTTATCGACTTACTTAATCAAACAGTTTAATTGGTTTGTACCTATTTCGTAACATAAATATGTAAATATTCATTGAATAGATCATCAATAGCATTTTGTACCTATTGACAAGAAATGGAACGCATTAAAGAAATGATAAGTGTTTGGGTTTAAAGTTTAAACAAACAGAAAGAAAACCACTCGTCTACGTCATCAACTGTAACAGTTATACAACAATATTAATCAATTTTACCCAGATAAACCTACTGTTCTATATTTCGGACGGTTAAAAAAAAAAAAAAACATAACATAAAAGTTGTACATACAAAATAATAAATATTATATACTTAAGACACTTTTTGGCATTGTAAAAAATACTAAAATTGGAGTTGAAATTGCTTTTCTCCTATATATTTCATTGTAAAATGTATAATAATTGTTAGCTGTAGACATACCTATGAAAGGCATGTATGAAAATATGGTTATTATTCAGATTTCATATAAAAACATTTTATAAGGGTAATATCGTCTTGTTTTTAGCATATAACTTATGTGTTGTGATAAATGTTTACAAAAGTGCATAAAATCATTGCCGTACTATATTCAGGACAGTAGACTAATAAGAGTCATTGCGTATTCTAATTTCACACATGTCATGATAAGTAACGACATACATCAGACAGACACGCAGGACAATTACAACGCAGGACATTATAGTATTACTACGTTAATGACCTAGGTAAATGTGTTATGCTGTTAAAATAGTCACGTCGATGAAAACGTGTGCAATTAGCATTCAACAGGCGATCGTTCAATACCTGATCTGAATAGCAGAGCATCGGCCGCAGCATGAACTTTAAACTCGATACAAAGTTAAAGTTTTTTGGCTGATAACCTTACCTCCTCTTTAAGATTTTCTTTAAAGTTTTTGACGTTTACCAGCCTCCTATTTATAGGACTATAATAGTTTTTAAGCTATTGTATAGCTTTTATCGGAGGCTTTGAACGCGGCGACCGAATCAAGAAATTCCGTAACGAAAAAAACCTTACGAGAGTGCATATAGGCAATAGAACACAATTTTTGCCATTCCAGTATCAATCTAAAAAACGCAGTGTGTTAAATCTTTGCCACGGTACCATCGTTCAACGCGTCACCTGCCACGGTTTTCGGTTCAAATCCCGCACGCGTACTTTTAATTTTTAATTTTTTGAAGTTATACTTCTTTAGCCGCGTTATGAAAAAAATATGAGAGTGAAAATTTTAAGATGCGTGCGCATCACTGTAACACAAAAGTAACATAATGAAGTTAGCCGCGGGCGCGTTATGAAAAAATGATGAGAGTGAAATTTTAAAATGCGCGCGCAACACTGTAACAGAAAAGTAACACCATGAAGTCGGCCGCTAAACCGCACATTACTCGTAAGTCTCGAAAAAAAGCTTCCAACAAAATAGTAATAGGATCTCTTAGTCACACATGTTGGGACGCTCGTCGCCTCTGATCACTGTTTTCATATTTATAATATTTATCCACATGTTTCTAGTTTCTATATTCTTAACACGTGTTATACAAATGCGAAATTTATATGTGCTAATAAATTTTATTCAGTAGTGATTTAAATTGAATATTTTGATTATTTATTAAATTTTTCAAATTAAAACTGAACTTTATTGACTACGTTGACTATCCTTTTCCAATCCTTTTATTATGTTATTGTAATTAATTATCTGCATGCAATTAAAAACTATTTTTTAATAATTCCAAAAAGAAGTACAACTTCTCACGCGCGTTCTTAAGTACACGCACCCATATTTTTATTTCCTTATTTCATCCTACTTTCATTTATTCCCAAGAACTAAAGATAAAATTCGAGGTATTCGCTTTACGAGCCTTGAAGATGCGGTGAAATGCGTACAAAAATGCCATAGAAGAGACCTCTAAGGAAGAATGGGCCCACTGCTTTTCTCAGTGGTTCCATCAAATGCGACGATGTATAGAAAGGAACGGACCTTACTTCAAAAAAAATGGGTGCGTGTACTTATGTAGGCGCGTGAGAAGTTATCCTTCTTTGGTATCGTTTAAAATTAGTTTTTAATTGCATGCAAATAATTAATTACAATAAATTAATAAAAAGTCTGGAAAAGGACACAGTCAATAAAGTTCAGTTTTAATTTGAAAAAATAAATAAATAATCAAAATATTCAATTAAAATCGCTACTGAATATAATTTATTAGAACATATGTGATTTGCACTTGTATGAAACTCAAACACGTATTCCGAATATACAAACTAGAAACATGTGGATAAATATTATAAATATGAATACCTATAACTGTTACTTTATTACAAAAAATAAAGATGTGGTTTTTGGTTCTACTACACCAATGGTCAAGAGATGGCGCTGTAGTCTCCTGAATCGCGCTTTGGTTCCGTTGTTCCAGATTAATAAATACTTTTGATATTATAAATATGAATACCTATAACTGTTACTTTATTACAAAAAATAAAGATGTGGTTTTTGGTTCTACTACACCAATGGTCAAGAGATGGCGCTGTAGTCTCCTGAAACGCGCTTTGGTTCCGTTGTTCCAGATTAATAAATACTTTTGATACGCTAAAGCGACCAACTTCATGCTGTTAATATTTTGTGTTACAGTGATGCGCGCGCATCTTAAAATTTCACTCCTCATTCATTTTTTCATAACGCGCCTAAAGAAGTATAACTTCAAAAACAATAAAAGTATTAGCAATTTTCTACATTAAGCCGTTTTTCATTTTCTAAACATTTTCAGTTTTACCTAGGTATATCGTGAACTTGCCTGAGCTCCCAGGACAGAAAATCTACGAAACTTCCTTACGATTCTGTTACTTTCACATAGGGGCAGTGCAAAACCATTGCATTATTCTCGCGTTACGCAGTAAAAAAAAGTATAACACATGGTAATTTATATTGTAATCAATTTAATAGCAGTGCTATCAGAAATCAGGAAGTTAGTTATTATTAGTGACGCTGCATCTGAAAACATCCAACGCCTGCGTTTATGTTAATAGTAGGTACCTACGTATGGTAGCATTATGATTGAGTAATGAAATGACCGGTGATTAATTGTAATAACAATCACGACAGACGTGTACAAATCACCATTAATCTTCACAATTCTTAATAAAAGTAATAAAGCAGTAAAAAGATTATTTATAATTTGTTTATTACTCTTGTAATCATATCGTGTTAAAGAAAAGAGGAGAATATTCATATATTACTTAAAATATAGATTTTTCGATAATTACGTAACGATAATGAAATGCCTGCTTATATAGGTTTAGCTTTATTGTATTTTTAATATAAAATCACTACCCAGTCACGACTTTAGGCTTATAAGGTGGACTTTACGCATTTAACATTCTAATCATGCCTCATTTGTTTCCATCACTCGGCGCGTTTTTCTAAGCGGCCGCTCAAGCGGCAATATCATGGATATTTTCACAATTGGTATTATTATGCATAATTATTTTTTATATTTTTTTTTCATAGTTTACATTCCCTTAATATAGTATAAAATTTTTCAACGTAGAACATTAGTGTAATTTGTCTAAAATAATGTTAAAAATAGCCTCATCGAACGGGCATTATAAATAGTCGCTATTTTGGAACATGAGATGTCAAGACACAGTTCAAAGCAATTTGGAAACAAATCCAGTCAGGAAAGTTTTAATTTTTAGACCATTTTCGCTACGGGGACTTTCGTTATCTCAAAATCGAAACAAGTTAAGGATTACAAAGTTTTGTGTATGATGTGCACATGGCACATCATATACCAAAACTTCGATTTAGAAATCTGTTTTACAACAAATAGGTACTGAAAATGCTGATTCCGTACTTTGTAAGTTGATATGAAAACAAATAAATGACTTTTCTTGCGATCTGCAATGTACTTAACGCTAAAAAGCTATTTCATAAGTTTTTTTTGCGAAAATTGTTAACTAGTCTCTTAATCACTGAACATCATAGATCCGAATCCTAAACTTTAATTCCTTCATATTAAATGTCCTCGTTAACATCTTCTTCTTGATATTCAACCTCTTCTTCTACATTTTCAAAATCTCTTCCTTCATACTCAACCTAATTGCTTTCTCTTAAATGGTCAGTTCAGTAAAGCATTTCCTATTATTTGACGATCATGTGCAGATAAAGTACCTTCAAAGAAAACATGTAGTATGTTCTTCTGCAAATTAATATTTTTTTGTAAAGTAAATGCTACAACATTTATTTATATATTTTATTAATTAATTCTAGTCCAAAATCCACAGCATTTTCTTAATATAATACAGGTTTTACAATATAGTTTATCTTAATGCTAATTACGGATTTTCATTTTTTAGTTATAGCACAAAAGTTTAGAAAACCCTCTATCAAACAAGGGCGAGATGTGTGCAAGATTTGGATGTGTATCTTTAACTATGTGTTAGTATAGTAATTACAGTTTTGTTTCATTTATCCTCGCTACACCTTTTCCCTTGTGCGTCGCGTCCGTATTACAATCATAATATAAGCTTCCATTTTATTCCACCTAAGTTTATTATTTGTTACAGTTCCCTCCGAGCTGTTGGTGCTTAAGAAAGAGAACTTTAACAACTGGTACAATTTGAAAACGTATTATGCGGCAGTACTCGTCACCGGTATACCATTGCAGGTAAAATAAGTATATTTCAACCTATATAAGAGTAAAATATCTTTGATATCAAAATGTACTCGTTATTCGCATTTAGAATCTGGTGGTTAAATTGGTACTTACTACACTTTGTATCAAACAAGTACAATATAGAAAAGTTTTTAGATTTTTATTATGACCCGGCAGAGAATCAAATTAGGGTAACTGTTTAAGACGAGTATACTTTCATCATCATCAGCCTATCAATGTCCCCACTGCTGGGGCACAGGCCTTCCCTATGGATGGATTAGGGAGATTGGGCCATGACCCACCACGCGGGCCCAGTGCAGGTTGGTGTGTGCTAACGACTGCAGATGCATTCGGGACTAACGGCTTAACGTGCCTTCCGAAGCACGGAGGAGCTCGAGATAGGTAGTAAATTTTTGGTCACCCATCCGACCGACTACTGCGAAAGTTGCTCAACTTCAACGACCGCAGCCGAACGCGCTTACCACTGGCACCATCGAGTTCCTCAGTATACTAAAGTTGTTCAATAAAGTACTTAGTTATGTTTAGGTACAATACTATATTTCAGATATGGTACAGTTTCGTTTACTCGGCGCCCTCGTACTTCTTGTCGGGACAGCCGCTGGAAATATCCCGGTTCTTCATGTTCGTGATGGTGCTAGCCAACGTCACCTTGATAGCCGACGCAATTGGCAACGTCATCGGTACCTGTGTCAATCCTATCGTGAGTTTTAAAATAGAATAAATAAATATTACCCGCACTCACAGCAATTAGCCTAGCCCCAAAGTAAGCACTGTAAGGCTTGTGGTATGTGATGCTAGGGTAACGGGTAGAATACATATACTGATACATATCCCCTAAAACGTAACGAGGTCACAAATGTTACCTCTTTTAGTTTCGAATTGCTTGGTTCTGATTTATCGAATTGAAGTTAAAACTCAGAATATTAGGAAACCAGGTTTGCAATTTAAAATATGGAAAGAAAAAGAAGATGAAGCTTGAATTAATCAAAAAAGTGTCGAGTCGCGATCCAATACTGCAAGTGTTGTGTGTCGAGAACAGTTTCGAGTGAATAGTAAGAATGTGAACAATGGTACGGGTATCAAACGCAATAAAAAACTTCGTCGGAGGGTAGACCGATATGTCTGCCAATAATAGCCTATCCGCAATTACTCCTCGTAAGTGACTCCGTGATCACGGCGCTTGCAAAAGTGCCGAAATATCGGAAACTCGCTAAAAACAAGGTACATGGTAACAATCCCGTAAACAACTTATATTACTATAATGTTAGTGACCATGAAAGTTTAAAACAATATAAAGCTTAAATTCCATTCGTAAAAGAATTCTTTGCTCGAAACTTTTCGACATTAGACCAGTCAGTGCTTGGGGACCGGACGTCCGAGTCCATATACGATAAGTATAATTTGGTGTCGATTCTCTAAACTAAAAATAAATTTAACATGAGTCTCACCTTTTCATTCTGTATAGGGAATGACAAGGATACCTGTTGTTAAGTTTAGAGAACCATGCCAGAATCGACACCATTATTTAGAAATATATATAAACATCCATGACTAAGATGCAAATGCTCGTATTCATCATACTAACATTTGCCCACACCGGGATTCGAACCCTACTCAGAGGTCCCCTCTCAGTAGGCGATACGCCGTGAAACCCGGCGTATATACCACTCGGCCACGAAGGTCGTCTAAATATGTAGGTATATACTAGCTTCCGCCCACGACTTCATCTGCGTGGTGTAATTGGTTTCCCATAGTAACTTCCGCATCCCTTCAGCCCCTTAAAGTATGATTTCTGGGATAAAAACTATATCCCTGATTCTGCAACAACACCAGTATCTGAAATGCGATGGCGGCCTATAAGGAAAAAGTGCGCACTTTTTTTCGCTTTCGGTTCACAATTATCCAGAATTCCAGTAACACTGCGGCAACAATATATTCCACACATTTAAACAAAACGCGGAGGGGATAGCTGCGCATGGGCACGGTAATATTACGTGGCATGGCTCCGACTGGAGAGCCAATCGGCGCAACGCACGCCCACCCCCCCCCCCCCCCCCCCCCCCAAGATATCTTATTTTAAAAATTAATATTATTATTATATATTATAATAGTAATAAATAATAATTTTACTTCTGCGCAATAACGGTCAGCGCTAGAGTTTCGTGCCGCAACTTATATGATGACGATGGAATTTTAAAAGCCTAACTTTATAATCACTTACTTCCAAATTTTCAATATAGGTACCTATTAATATAAAAAAAGATAAAGCAAAGTGTGACACAAAATTTATTTACAATCGAAAATAACACGATAATTGTAATTCGCTGTCAATATCAAAAATAGAGTTGACAATGTTTATGTATTGATATGGTTTAATGCGAGTGCGAGATACTTATCAAATCACGTAATTCAATGATATCGCGTAACTGCGTCCGAAGGGGAACATTCATAGCAAGCATGTATGTAAAATGAAGAACTCCTATCTCTGAAATTTGTTTAAGTAAATTGTATTTTAGCTAAGTAGGTATATCATTATTTTTGACGACCTCCGTGGCTTGAGTGGTATGTACGCTGGCTTTCAAGGTGTCGCCTTTTTCTTTAATGTTGGGAAAATGCGTGATGTATGTATGCCCATGGGTGAGAGACGGGATTTCGTGGGACTTCTTCTCCCCCCAAATGCAGCCCGCTCAGCCAGCCCATAGGACTCGCTCAGCGGCTGCTTGGGATGAGGTGGGAGCCCTACCCACTAAAAACCCAACAGTACTTCCTCGCCCGCCGGAACGGGTGTCGTGGGATCCTGGTGAATCTCCACGTTACCCCCGGCAGGGGTTCCTCCTCCTCCTCCTGGCGGTCAGGGGGATGCCCGGAAGCACCCAAGGCATCCCCCCTTGACGGGTGACTGTGCAATGCGGACGGCATATCACCCTGTCCATCGTCCGCTAGCCTCACTAGTGAGAATACAAGCATTTATTTATACTTAAGTCATGGATGTTTATATCAATAGAGGAAAGGCAAAATCGCTTAGACGCTATTTTGGTCAAAAATTAGTGTATACATATTACAAAGTCAGGTCATAAGTATTGACACACAGTAAAAACTTCTCTTTTAGAATGCTGGCCACAAAAAAGTTTATTGAATTCGAATTTCGAATTGTTCATGAAAATAAAAATGTATACTTTTTAGAATTTTACTCATTTTTAAATATAGAGTGGACGCTTAAAGAAGACCGTGTTGCAGTTATTGCGTTGCATTGTTGCGGTTACGCGGTAATTCCAATTTTTGACATACTGAAAAATTTTAATATAGCCAAAAGATTCGTTTATAGTACCATCAAACGATACAATGAAGACTCTAGTGTAGATGACAGGTCAAGAAGTGCTCGCCCTCGGTCTGTTAGGACTCCAGCAGTGATAAAAGCTGTGTAGGCGCTAATTCAAAGAAATCCCAAATGAAACCGTTGGCCCTTCAGATGGGGTTAAGCAGAACCACGGTGAAAAGGGTGTTAAATAAAGACTTAGGGCTTCGGGCATATCGAAGAAAAACAGGAAATCGTTTGAATACTCGTCTAATGGATCTGAGAAGGAAGAGATGCCGCGCTTTGTTGAAGCGGTAAACGGGAAAAAAATATCGGGAAATTCTTTTTCGGATGAAAAAATTTTTACCGTAGAAGAGAGCTACAACAAACAAAATGATAAGGTGTACGCACACAGTAGTGAAGAAGCGAGCAACCGTATTCCGCGTGTCCAACGAGGTCATTTTCCATCCTCGCTCATGGTATGGATGGGAGTTTCTTATTGGGGCTTAACAGAGCTACATTTTTGTGAGAAAGGTGTAAAAACGAATGCAGTTGTGTATCAAAATACAGTCCTGACGAACCTTGTGGAATCTGTTTCTCATACCATGTTCAATAACAGACACTGGGCATTCCAACAAGATTCGGCGCCAGCTCATAGAGCGAAGAGCTCACAAGACTGGCTTTCGGCGCGTGAAATCGACTTCATCCGGCACGAAGACTGGCCCTCCTCCAGTCCAGATTTGAGTCCGTTAGATTACAAGATATGGCAACACTTGGAGGAAAAGGCGTGCTCAAAGCCTCATCCCAATTTGGAGTCACTCAAGACATCCTTGATTAAGGCAGCCGCCGATATTTAATGGACCTCGTTCGTGCTGCGATTGGGTACGGCCAGAGTGCACTCAGATTCAGATTCAGATTCTGAAAACAAGCGCGAGAAATAAACAGTGTAGTCTAAGCAGGTTGCCTGCTTTTTCTCGCGCTTTGTTTTCTGAGTCTGAATCTGAATCTGAATCAGGAGTGCACTCTGGCCGTACCCTTCGACTACACTGTTTATTTCTCGCGCTTGTTTTCGGAATCTGAATCTGAATCTGAATCTGAGTGCACTCTGGCCGCACCCATAGACGACTGGCCGCGCAGATTGAAGGCCTGTATTCAAAATCACGGAGGTCATTTTGAATAAGCTTTATTGTCATAAGTATCTATGTTTTGTTATGTTCATTTTGGTATATAAATGGTTACATAATGAATAAACTTGTTTCAATTATTTTATATTAAACATGTGACAGAATTTATGACTTGACTAAGTATAATTTGAGTACTTTTTTGGCGCAAAGCAACTCAACTTTCTGAAGATTTTTATTGTTCACAACGCTAAAGCGACATTTTTGATGTTTTTTTAAACCAATGGCGCTTACGCCCTACTATTTTAATGAATATGTTTTTATTTTTACGACGCAACTTCTCATTAACAATGAGTTATAATATTATTTTATAAAAAAAAACTTACATCCTCGTTTCTGTAAAGTTACTAAAGTAGCGTTTAAGCGATTTTGCTTTTCCACTGTTCGATATATATTTCTAAATAAAAAATTACTTACATATACATGTGTATATGAGTACAGTAATGTATTCTATCCCTTACCCTAGTATCCCATAAAACAGGCCTTACAGCGCTTACTTTGGGGCTAGGCTAATTGGTGTGTGTGTTACAAATACTTATTTTTGATGTGTAACATCTTTCCTCTCGCTTTCCTGCAATTTGTGGGAGTGATTTCGTGAATTGTGACGGAAGCGTGTAACAGGAAGTCGCGAAAGCGCGCGCTATTTGATTTGATTTTAGAACATAATGTTCAATGGCCTTCATAAGGTTATGCCTTCCTATGCCTATTGTTCAAATCCTTTTGTAGTAGGTTTTATTTCTTTTTTTTTACTAATATAAGGTGAGGTTTCAAATGTTACACATCATACGCGACTACTGTAAGGCTCGCTCGTTTTTGTTTATTTACTTACTACACGAAGCACAGTAAAATACTCCACTTCACCTGATGTTAAGTGTAAGTAGAGTCCAGTCACGAAGATACCAGAAAGATGACACGGCAGAAACACAGAAGTGAGCAGAAAAGTGTATCCAGCCATCTTCTTCTCAGTTTGCCGGCTTGAATCAAATCCCCGACCCCGTGAAACCCTTTAATCATAGCCACTAACAGAATCACATCATCACCAGACAGAACTCAACTTCAAGATATTACCGACCCGTTTTGTTGCAACGCATGTGGTCTTCACTAATAATTAATGTATTATTTTAATATGAATATTATCGAAGTAAATAAATTAGGTTCTTATAATGTTGAAGCAAGTAACAAGTATTACTCGCAACTTGTCTCTTTTAAAGTTCATTTAGAATTGTTGTTTACATGTTTGTAATTATACATAATACTATAATTTATGTATTAGCAATACTTCAACAAAACAGTGATCGAATGGGTTGAACCCCGTGACCTCATTAGGTTGGTCACGTGAGCTGATTATGCATTTATCGCTTGATACACACGTGAATTGATCTTAAATAACACAATGGTGTTGATTCTGGCTTGCTAGTCTAAACCTTAAACTAAATTTAACATCAGTTTCTCCTTTTCATTCTGTGTAGAGAATGACAAGGATACGCAAATTTATTTTTAGGTTAAGAGAATTACGCCAGAGTCGACACCAATAACCACAGATTCTGTGATAATATCATTTAAGTACATAGTTTATTTATTACATCTGCATTTTGTATCATTCACGTGCAAAATGATATATTAATCATGTACGTAGTCAATGTCTCGACCTGTTGGTTTATACATTCCCATATCTTTATGGTCTCATCATCATTCCAAAAAAATTTCATACGACTTGACGTTCTTTATTTGTATTTTTTTTTAGTTATGACCTCTTCTGGATTTAACCACTGTTTATAAAGCCTAGTTCTTGTATGGATCATTTCTGCTTTTGACCACATCCATGTATAATCAGCACGTAAACTAACTAACCTAAACACAAAATGTAACATTCAAGTATAGAATATTAAAATAAAAAGAAAATAAATAAATTCCACTTACATTCATTTATGTATTTAGCCGGTAAGTAATTAGAACAATATATTATTGTATGCAAAAAAAGGCAATTTAGTTGTAATTACGTAATTTTGTTAAAATTATGTAAGATAATTTTATACATTATTTCTGCTATTTACCTCTCGTCATTAAATTGTAATTGTATGTAACACAAAAAATCCAGTTAAACTACATAAATAGTAATGTGGCTCACAATTTAGACTAACTATAGTTACTATACGCATCATCCGAAAATTACGCGGATGTTTACCCAAATATACGCAAATGTGTGTGTGTTAATAATACATTATTCAGTTACCATAGCCCACGCTCTTTGTTTTGAACATTGGAATGTCTAATCTATGTTTTTGTATAAAAAAATAAGTGTTAAAGTTTAATTGTAGATTAAAAAATAATTACACTTGTGTAAAAAAAGTTTGTGACTAATTAAACAAAATGTATCCGGCCAAGTGTGCGTTGAACTTCCTCACTAATGGTTCCGTATATCATAAAAGATCAATAATATTTGCAATGACTCACTTAAAAAAAATACTAGAAAAAAAATCTTTAGATATGTTACTTAATAACACTGTTAGTGTTATTCGTCTATTAGTGTTTCGTAGAAGATTATCTCCTCTGATAGTGAAAGCCTATTAATGGTCTATTTTTGAAGCAAATTGCCTGACAATTTGAAATTGTTGTTTCCAGACAAACTTAGGTCCAGACCAAACCGATCTCAAATGTAGCATACTTTGAGATGTTATTTACATAGATATATGGCGAGACCAATCATTCATCTATGGTTATTTAGCTACAATTGTTGAGGTTTTTTTAATATATTTTTTGCTAGAATACGTTCAAGTAAAAAGGATAGCTAAATGTACATAAATTTACATCAAGCTATTTAAAACTAACATATCAAAATTCCCCATCGTTCCGGTACATGGAAAAAAAATTACTTGAGGTCAAAGTTAAAAATGGGTATTTTCGCTATTTTCATCAAAACGGTAAGTTAATTATATCGTAAAATTACTTTTAACAAAAATTTTAGACCATAAAATGATCTATAAAAAAAGGTTTTAATATTTTTTTTCCTAAGAGCCACATTTCCTGAGATATAACGATTCAAAGTTGTAAGCGTCATAATATATGCACATATTTCCACGCCACAGCTGAGGTAGTGTACTTAGCGCGTTTTTTTAACGTGGTTTCCCCAGTGGGCTTATACCACAGGTCTATTGTGATTCTTTTTAATTAGAAACTACCGCATAATATTTATTATATTATTATAAAACAAATTTAAGCAAGGGTTAGAATCGATAAAAGCGTTGAAAATTAAAAAAAAACAGTAGAAAAAATTATTCGTCCAATTCATAATCTTAATTACTTCTTCTTCTTGTTTTTCTTCTTCTTCTTGATTTTCTTTTTCTTCTTCATGCTGGGTCGAATTGCATCAGTAGAGATGTATCACATGTCTCTTCATTGGTAGAAAACGAATTCTCTTTTGTTGGTCATTGAACATTAACACGACTGGCCTTGACAATACGTTCATGCCAGAGAACAAAACAGTCCAACTTTTTTGCAACCACATTTAGCACTGCATCCCTTTTTACAGTTGCAAAAAATTGTGTTTAGCAGTTTTTCCGGCGCAGGTAGGATTAAAGTCTGAATTGGTTCTTATGTATTGTCGACCAACTTCCAGCCCCAGTCTTTTGGGCCTAGCTGATAACCAATCCACACTTGAACTTGGTAATATGCATACCCGAAAAAGACGTTCATGAGCAGCAACTGAGGTTGCTAATTGCACTTGTTATTTTATTTCGAGTGTTTTAACAAAACATGCATATTGATACTTATCTAAGCTGGTTGTTTTCTTAGGAGCTCCGTACATAGAACGAAGAAAGCGAATTGTGATGGTGATAATTTCTTGTGGAGTTGATTTACTTTTTTTTTAAAATGTCAGCACATTATTGTCATTGTTATACTTATGTATATTTTAATTGTAACTTATTACAATCACCGATAGAAAAATAATTTTACTTAAATTAGCTACAGTGATTCGTGACGTACTTATGCATATTATGACGCTTACAATTTTTGAATCGTAACTCTTCAGGAACGGTGGCTCTTAAAAAATAATTTTGCTATCTTTTTTATAGATAATATTATGATGTACAATATTTTTCTGAAGTAATTTTACGATAAAACTTGCCGTTTTGATGAAAATTGAGAAAACTCCACTCTTTTGACCTTTGACCTCGAGTTTTTTTTCCCCAAGTCCAGAACGATAGGGAAGTTTGAAATGTTATTTTTACTCACTTTCAGCTTGATATGAATTTATGTATTTAACCGGACCATTAGATCTTTCAATCTGTTGACTCGGGTTTCACTCAGGGGTGGATTTAAGGTAGGGCAGGCAGACAAAGATAAAAAAAATCATATTTCAATGGGTCACCAAACCGATAACAGCAAAGTAGAATCCCTCCGCACTGCGGCCTTTCTCGTGCAATCTCACGAGTGGACCGCTCATTGCCGCTTTTTGATAGAATATGATGGCAGTATTCATAGAAATTCATGCCACCTGAATGAAATCACGAAATGTGCGGCTTATTTGCTGTCTGTTATTCAACCTTAGATGGTTAAAAATTAAAGCACGTAAATTTACATAAGAGTTCACACCACATTCTATTTCTCCATCAGAACGGCACATTCTTGGGCGCGATCACGACATGCGCGATGATCGCATTCGCCGGGTTCCTGGTGCTGTTCGCGCACATGAGCCCGGGCATGCGCACCATATCGCATGTGTCCTTCATGCGGTACGCGTTCGAGGCCATCGTGCTCAGCGTCTATTCCGACGGCCGCCAGCCGTTGCCTTGCCCGGAGACGAAGCTTTACTGTCACTCGCGGTGAGGGACTTTTGTTTTATAATACTCTGATGTAGAAGGCGACGACTTCCCTGCTGCCCTGTCCCAAGACAACGGTGTACGTACTGCAATTCAAGGTGAGAGACCTTTGTCTATAATGCTCCGTTTTAGAAGGCGGCGACGTAAGGCAGGCAGCCTCTGCCCTGTCCGGACGCTAAGTGGTACTGCCGATCAAGGTGAGGGTGCCTTTATTTTATAATACTCCGTTGAAGAAGGTGGCGTACTGCAGGCCGCCGCTGCCTCGAAACGGAGCTCTCCCTACTGTCATTCGCGGTGTGAGGGTCTTGTTTTATAACGCTCCGCTATAGAAGGAAACTTACGGCAGACAGCCGTTGCCCTATCCAGAAACGAAGCTCTATTGCCACTCAGGGTGAAGACCTTTTGTAATTTCTTTAGCATCCAATATGTCAATTAGAATTAGCTCTATCGTAACGAACTTACGTGACGATTGACGCCAGACGATAGCTTGACTGGCGATTTTTAACAGCATTTAGCATAAAAATTTAGACTCTAATTGAAGCACGATGAGTATTCAAAGTTTCGTCGTGCAGGTGAGGGAAAGGTAGCAGAGTAGCGGATGGTCTTTAAAGCTTCACTGGGTTCGGGAATGGCGAGATCCTTCGAGAACCTGGAAGCCGGGAATTGACGTGTCTCTAGTGGTATTCTGGGCGGATGTCATCTCCCCTTAGGGGGAAACTCCTCTCCGTCCTAGAGCCACTTGAGCCTAAGGGGCGTTTGCTCAACTAGAGGGGCGTCTCTGAAACTCAGACCTCACCTCTAGTTAAGCCGTTGGCGTGGAGGAGACCTTTGTTTCATAATGCTTCGCTATATTATTGCAGAGTTGTGAGGGATTGAGGTGATCGTGGGGACTGTCCACTGATTAAAATTTTTGTAGATGGGGTTATATCGGAATTTAAAATAATTTATTAACATAGTATTAAGGATTGTATACTAAAACATGGTTCTGTGTTGTCCGAATAATAAATGATTTGAATTTGAATTATGACGATGTACGGCAGGCAGTCGCTATCCTGCTCCTGCCCCGAAGCGAAGCTGTACTTTCAATCGCGGTGAAGGCTTTCTATTTTAAGGTCTTATTACACAATCTTATCAATAATGGTCCCCTGGAGGATGCGGCACACACGCAATCTGTTGGTGAATAAAATCGCATGTTGATATCAGCAGTTAACATCCGACCCAGAGGGCCTGCGCTGCGTTACGCGGGAGCACAGAGCAGACGCAGAGTTGTAAATTGGTATTTTTTTATTCCATTCTATGAGTTTATCATAGTTTTAAGTTCTTCGACTCGTGTTTTCTTACTCAAGAACAACAAGTACTGGAAATTGTACTACTATCATTATTATTAAGAAGTTTCTCTTTTTTCTTATCACCTTTTTTCTTTGTTTGTTCCAGGTATCCTTCAGAACTACTCAAACAATTCAGCTTCAGTAGCGAGAACTACTGGCCGAACATCGGTGTGTTATTAACAGAAATCGTAATTATAAGAATAATCGCTTACTTCACATTAAGTAGGACAGTCAGGACATCTAACTGACGCGCGCCGTGATTTTGTACATATTTTATGTTAGTTAGTTAATAAATAGTTAGATTCACCAACTCCTGTGACGGTCCTGAATTAGGAATTATTAAAATATATTCTGTGTGAGATTGACATTATTTTGATTTACTTTTGACGTAAGTTTGTATTTTAGTGGAATAGGTGTATCGAGTGTCAGTGTGTAAATATATTGATCCTCATTTTTTCCAATATTGGATATCCCCAAAGAGCGCTTTTGTTTATCCCAAATATTGGAAATGCAAAAAATCTAAAATAATCACTCTGTCATTATTAATGCGAATAATATGCCTTCTATTATTTCCTATTTTTATTTAGGTACTTACTTTAAAGTCTGTCATCTCTTTATGGTTCATTAAAAATGTAGTAAAGTTACTCTAACTATCACAATCGTGTGATAGGTAGAATATAATATGACATTGTGTAAATTTTTTACTAAAAAAAAACACACTCTGCAGCTCTCCTTATTGAGAATTAATAAAATGTTGACGTGCCCCCGTGATTTTAAATGGTGTTGGAACGTGAATTTATATATTACATAGATAGTAGTTAAGTGGAAAAGTGAATGTAAGACTTATTTATTTAAGTAAATAAATTCAGCTAGTTAGCTTAAGCATCTGTATAGTTTATAAGACAATTCATAATAATAAAATTATTCAGGCAACTTTGGTAGGTTATTCAGGTGAAAATGGCTCCAGTATTTACCCCCTTTTTTATATCGACTTTAAGCATTCCAAATGATAGTTTTTTTTTATATAGTACTAGTTGACCACGCGTACTTCGTACGGGTTAAAATAATTTGGAAGAAATGACGGACCCGAGTCTGACCGTATCAAAAGGGACGCACGTTAAATGTTGGACAGGAAAGAAGATAGAACAGTTTATATGGGAAAATTAAATTGACGTTTTTACTATCTTCCTCCTTCTGGACTTTCCTTATTTTCTTTTATATTGACTTTTTACTGAGTTTGTTAATGATATGTTTGAAGTAAGGAAATCAGGCATCGTGTAACTTGTCCGTAGTATGAGCACATAAGTAAAAATCCTCTTGAGTTCATGACAGCTCTGATTGTAAGGCTAAGAGCACAATAATGGCGATGAGCTTCGTGCTAAGCTTGGATATATTCTATCTAAGTTCTTAGCTTAGCCACCTCAACATATCTGTAAAATTTAAATTCACCCCAATGTATTCACTGATGAAACGATGAAGATGATCTTTTTACTTGCAAGTTTAAATCCTTGCATGTGAATATAGGAGTAAATGTGTCATACACTAACAATTTTTAAAAGTTTATAAGTGACATTTTATAGTTTTAGGTACATTACTATTAGTAATTCCCGAGCCTTTTTAATTTCATATGTATGTAAGTTTACCTACCATCAAATAACTAGCCCTTACACCACCAAATGATAGAAATGACATGATTGCACAAAGTCTTGTGTATTCTCTAAAGCATACAAAGTTTATATGCAAAATAACTAAATACCTACCAACCAGACATAGTCTGAGAAATTTCTTGCCAAGTTACCGAAATCTATATTTTTGTTATCTAGGTTGTTATATGTTGAATTATGATATAAACAATATTATTTTGTGTAATCTGTGATACAAAAACGGTTGCAAGTGAGATTTTGTGTTTCATTAACCTTCCTTTACGTATTAATTTTATTTTCATCCCACCACCTCGGAAAGTGTAATTTTGCGCTTCGAAATCTGGCTGGAAAATTCTATTTTATTCGCTTGAGCGGCAAAGTAGATTTGAATTTAGAACATCACATATAATGAGTACTCAATATAATTGTAAATTCAAAACGTCATTAAACCTATTTAATGTAACCTCTATGGTGCCAAATTTATGATTAGAACTTTTTAAATTGTGAAAAAATTTAAATTTGGAACCTTCTTGGTTTCTTTGTTTTATTTGCGTGCTTCGCGCCATTCTAGTTTTTCACGTTTTATTGCTTAATATAATTAACATAACCTAAAAACTGTACAAAAAAATCAACTAAAATGAGTGACATTAGCGACGATGAAGTTTATCTAACGCCAACTGAGTTAACTGAAACAGTTAATAATGCGCAAATGAGCCTTCTCCCTCAGCAATCACGAGAGAAGTATTTGAAACAGTACGATATATTTAACATGTGGCGACTAGCTAAAGGAGCAAAAACTTTCTCCGAAAACGTTTTGCTGGCATATTTTATAGAATTATCTGAGACCAAGAAAGCAAGCACGCTATGGAGTACGTATTCAATGCTAAAATTAACAATTAAGATGAAGAAAGACGTTCATATCGACACCTATCATAAATTAGTGGCATTTTTAAAAAGAGCCTCATCTGGTTATAAACCAAAAAAATCGAAGGTTTTCACAGCATCTGAAATTGCAAAGTTTATTAATGAAGCACCTGATTCCGTATATTTAGCGGCAAAAGTAAGTCAATACGTGTAATTTTTTGTTGTTGATAAAATTGTACATAGTACTTACAATATTTTTAATTTGATTAATTTATTTACGATTATAAATACTTCTTTTGTTACAGGTTGTTCTTATTATTGGTATAACCGGAGCATGTCGAACAAATGAACTTACACTACTTAATGTCAATAACGTATCAAAATATTCTCATAATTCTGATGAATTGCTATTAATTAATGTACTAAATACCAAGACAAAAAAAGACCGCAACTTCGTTATTCGCAAGGAATATGTAAACATTGTTCAGAAATATCAAGCTTTACGTCCTTCTAACACCCCAATTGAACGATTTTTTCTACAATATCGCAACGGAAAGTGTATCCGACAACCTATGGGTCAGAATAAAATTGGCAGTATTCCACGAGAAATAGCAACTTTTCTCGGACTTTTAGAACCCCCGTTATACACCGGTCACTGTTTTAGAAGAACCTCAGCCACACTTTTGGCCGAATCAGGGGCTGATCTTCTATCGCTTAAGCGCCATGGAGGCTGGAAGTCTAATTCGGTTGTAGAGGGATACATAGAGGATTCAATCCAAAGTAAATCAAAAATTTGTAATAGTATCGTGGAGGCCATAACGCTGAAAGAACCTCTGTCAGATTCTTGGTCTCGCCCTTCTACATCTAAAATGAGCCCCCATAAGATTGGAAACAATAGCCCTCTCTCGCCAACATTTACGCCAATAGAATCCAATGAATCGGCACAACTATTTAAAATTACTGATACGAGTAGTTTACCACAAAACAGCGCACAATTCACAAACACCAACATAACATTACCTAACAAAAATATTAAACTTAACATAAGTAACTGTAGCAACGTTACATTTAATATTTCTTAATTATTTTCTACTTCTTATTATTTTCTTCAATTTATAGATTATCTTAATGTGTTTTAATTGAAATAAAAATATTTTGTCATTATAAATTGTTTTCTTTTTCATTTTGTCATTTCCTCGCTGAGGTGGGATGAAAAGTTACGTATTGCACTCGAGTGGAAAGATTTTTCACCTTGTGCTCGTTTGTTTCCCTCGCTGACGCTCAGGATTCTAATTTAGAATCACTCGCTGCGCTCGTGATTCAACTTTAGAATCCTTCGCTTGCTCGGTCATCCAAATCGAGCACGCGGTTAAAAAGGAACTTTCCACTCTTGTATAATAAATAACTATTTTCCTTGTTTAAATTTTATTACTCTAAGGATGAAAACACCTAGGTAGGTACTATTTCCAAAATAATACCTATTGAAAGTACACTCAAAAAATGAGAACTAAGGAACACAGGTAATATAAAACTGCTGTTATAATCATCAGTCACAGATAGTCTTTAAAAGTCCGTACACTGCTGGAGCACAGGCTTTCCCTTCGAACGGAATAGAGGAAATGGCCATGTCCCACCACGCGGGCCATTTCTTAGCCTCTACAGCGGGACCAACGGCTTATTAAGGGCGTGCGCTGTATTAAGCAGGAGCACGGAGCGGAACTCGGCTCCGCGGGTTTGTTTCATGTTATTTCATAGAGCATCGCTACGTAAGGCGGGTCTACAGTCGCAGCGCTGCTCTATGAAATGACATGAAACTGCACACTGGATGCAACAATGGATGACTCACGCTAGACCTGTCGAGTCCGAGCCGAGCGTCCGCGTACTAATTCCATATGACGTATACTTCTATACTAAAATTATAATATAATATAGTGTCTGGCTGTCTGTTACCTTTTCACGCTAAAGCCGCTAAACCGATAATGTGTGACCGCTAAATCATAAAAAGGAGGTGCAAGTTTGTACGGAAACCGATTTTTCATCGCAGACGTAGTCGCGGGCTAGTATTATATTTATTCTATGGGGGTTTTCAATACCGTCGATGGAGATGGACACATTTATGCTATACCGAGCGACCACCGAATAGCGGCACAGCAAAGGACAACGCTCGGAAACGACGCTGTCCCTCCTCGGCTCGGCCACAGCCTGTAGCATGAATGCAGCGCCACGAGCAACGCCCGCACAGTTGTTCTGGTGCTATACAAGTGTACCGACGCTTTATACTATTTTTGCTCGGATGAGTAGACTGCATCACGCACGGTAATTGTTTTTTCGAGGCATGCAGTGCCGTATTAGCCTATAAGCAATTTCAGCAATTGCGTAGGGCACCACGTCTTGGGGGCACCATAAACAGCACAGCAGCAAAATCAATTTGTTAGTGCATAAAAGGGAAGGCTGTTTAAAAAAACCGTTAAAATTAATTAAGTACGATGCTGCAGGAAAGGCTTAATGTTTTATCGATGTTAATAAAGAGTCAGCCATACTAAAAACGTTGGAACTATTTTCTGCTAAATTAATACCCGAAAAAGTAGCAAGTCACTTTTCAATAAACAAATAAAAAATGCTTAGATTTTTATTGTGTGTAATACCAACTCACCATAGCTCTATCGGTTTTTATAAATATTCTAAGGTACGCAATTATCTATTTCGTTGTAATATCATTGATTACAATATGAAATGATTCTCTCTCTCAAATTACCGATTGGTACTCAAAAATTAAAACTAGTTTGGTTTTTCTAAGTGTAACATACGTACTTATTTAATCAAAATATTTACCCTCATTATCATTATACATTGTTGTCATCGAATCGGAAGTTCATGTGCCTTTGCGATCTATATTCGACAAATTGTGTGAAACAACTCTGTTCCTACTGCCTGTTACGAAAAAAATTCTTTAACACTTACAAACATTTCAAATACGAAAAAAATGTTAGTACGTAAGACAGCTCGCGAGAACTAGTCTGGCAAGTACGGAGGATGAGTTACAAGGTTTCTCGTGCAGTTTATTTCTTGAGTTATTATAAAGCAGTAATGATGAAGATCGATTCACGAGTCATGACCATTTGACTGACAATTTCTGCATCAGTGTTTGAAGTTCGGCTCAGTGAACATTACTGTTATTATTGCTAGACCAGACTTGAGAAAGCTATAAAGCGTCTACTGACATGCCTGCCGCAGGGACAATCTAGGGTGTAAGAGTGGGGATGACCCTTAATTGCCTCCTGAATTGTGATGTGTGTAGGCAAGTTGGGGCAATTTTATAAATCGGGCCTGCGGCAGGACGGTAGGAGCGCGATAACACCCTTAGTTCCTAGATTGTCCCTGCACGTTGCCGCGTGTGTAGCACGATAGGGGCAATTCACTGATGCCAGATTGGGGGGATACCCCCCAAATTTGGGGGGTTTTTAAAACGTTGGGGGGATAATTGGGGGGAAAATATTTTTAGGGGGATTAATGGATGGAAAAATTAGGGTTTGGGAGTTGGGGTTTACATTTTTTATATAAAAATAAAACCACTTCATAAACTTTTGATCTGTAAAAAGTCGCGATCAACAGTCAATGATATCGATTCTGGCATGATTCTCTAAGCTAAACTTAAATTTTACAATAGTGCATCCTTGTCATTCTCTATAGGGAATGAAAAGGAGAGACTGATGTTAAATTTAGTTTTAAGTTTAGAGAATCACGCTAGAATCGACACCAATGAATAGTCTCACTTTCTCGTTCTGTATAGAGCATGACAAAGATAGACTGTTGTCAAATTTAATTTTATTAGGCTTAGAGAATCCGGACCTCTAAGTCCAAAGCTCACATAAAAAAAATCGTCCTTCCAGTCCGTCTCGCTCAGTCGCCCGGACAGTCAAATCCATGTCAAGTCAAGCAAGTCAGTCAGTCGTTGATGGTTGTTAGCTTACACTGCAAATCGATTAGAAACTATCTATCATCTTTGCTCTGCTAAATCGTAATTTGTACAGAAATACATATTTTGTAGTAAATATTGTATTTTTAATAAATATTTTGCATGTTGGGGAGTTTTTTAAAAACCTGTATTTTGGGGGGATTCCGGAAAAGATTTGGAGGAAGATGAAATGGCTTTCTGGTAACACTGGGGCAATTTCTCAATCAGTCGGTTGGTAGCTGTCCCTGGGAGTGCTTAATACTTTTAAAGGTTATATTTTGACATTGTGGGTTACTTATAATGCGAAGAGATGGCGCTGCCTGGCAGCTTAAGAAAGGCTAGAAAGAATTGGATACGGCCGTCAGGGCTGCGGGTGCGATAATTGACCAGTGCATTTGCCCGGATAACGAAGGGTGCGGGTTCGAGTCCCGTCTGATGCCAGGTCCGCGTGGTTTTTTTTTCTAGTAATATAGGTAAACATTACTTATTTACAATACATTTCTTTCTGTTGCCAATTCTTCACCCAGTATTACCTTTTTTGCGGTAACAGCATAGAAAAAGCCGAGGCCCTGCCTACCGATCTTCTGATTTTTTGATAACACTGGGATAACCATCAACGCCAGTGTTTAGCTCAACATACCCCCGAACACTGAATAGCAGGCATGTGTGTTAAGACAAGCCGATATTGCCCCGACCGCCGTGCACCCTAGATTGTCCCTGCGGCAGGCATGGCAGTAGGCGCTTTTACACCCTAGATTGTCCGTGCGGCAGGCATATCAGTAGGCGCTTTAAGCTGAGGTTGCAAGGCTGAACTTTCACTATTCGCACGGCTTATGCATTTAGCCAATGACAAGTGTTAAAATGTTTACAAATACTAACGCACACGAGGTCAAAGTAATAAATCAAGTCAAAGTAAGTGGCAGTCAAGTCAATCCCCCTTTCCCTATGTTGCAGTAAAAGTGTAGGGATTTACTGGAACCTTCCCGTGGACTTCTTGAGGGAACGTCTTGCCAACACTTGTGCATGTTCCCTAACACTTAGTGGTTAATAATCCACCATTATTAGACAATAACATCCGCCACAACACAATTTTTAAAAAGAAAGAAAACTGCTAAAGTGACGCTTCCCGATCCCGCCATAAAAGTCCGTTTTAACACTTATTGGCTTGGGTTGGCAGCACTAAAGCTGTCACTGTCACTCAGTCAGCTGTCAGCTCAGCTGTCAGATGGTATTGTATTGTGGTTTACTAATGCAGCTTTGATACCTACTTCTATCGGCATTTTAATATGTAATCTCCATCATTTCATCACACAAACGCCTACACTAAAAGTAAACACTGCTTTTAGGATGCTGTGTAGTTAATTCAATAGTGTGTCAACAGCGTGTTATAACATATTGTACAATAATACGAAGATTACGAGACCGACCGGGTACAGGCAAAATGTAGGTAATAAACTACTACAAAAACTATTAAATCTTAATTACAGTTGTTAATCATGATGTTGTATTTTAGGTACAAATTATTATTGATAATTTTTGTAGTAACAAAAGCTGTTAACCTAAGTGATGTTAGTTACTATGAGAGATTAGGAGTATCAAAACAGGCATCCACTCAAGAAATAAGACAAGCATACAAAAAGCTCGCAATAAAATTACACCCTGATAAAACCTCCGTAAGTATTTAAACAATAGTTACTGATTATTTTAGAACATGTCGAGTGACAACCTTCTATGTTTCAGGATTCCAGTGAACAAGAACAGTTTATCAAGATAACGGAAGCTTACGAAACTCTAAAAGACCCTGAAAAAAGGCAAAAGTATGATTTGTATGGTTCATACCCATCTTACACTAGGAAATATGATTACCGTTCACAATCTGAATACAACAATCTCTTTTACAATGGATTGTATCGGGATGATCCATTTGTTGACACACTATCTGGACAAACATATTGTAAGTAAACTAAAATAATATAATTGAATTTCTTCATATTTAATTACTTAATAAATATAATTTAGCAATAAGACACATTATCATAGACACAAATTAACTGTGCCACATTTGGCATTTTATGGGCTTAAGTAAGTCAATATTTGTAAACATAGTAATGGGTTATTAGTTCATTGTCTACAAGTGTCTTGACCCTTGCTAGACTTTTACAATCTGCTAGTCAAAGCAGCAGGTAGCACATTTTATATTTTCCTCCTGGGGGCCAATCGCCTAACGGAAATGTTTTGGGAAACGCTAACGCTTACGATTTTATATTGTTATTTCTAGCCGCCTGAGGTTTTCGAATACCTCACGCTCATTTTTTTAAATATTGTTATTACCAATGCAAAAGAAAAAGAAAGAGCGCGAGGCATTTGAATACCTCAGGCGGCTAGAAATAACAAAATAAAATCGTAAGCGTTAGCGTTTTCCAAAGCATTTCCGTTAGGCGATTGGCCCCCTGGTCTCAGTCCAGCATGAAAAGTATGGATATTAAAAAAAAAATCTATCAACCTATTTTACCTATTTTCTTTAGAATTAAACATCAAGCAGTTACATGCTCAAAAAATTAAAATTATAACTGTCATTGCTATTTCTTCTTTTAAATGTTTAATACTTGTAAAAGTATTCATTTGACATTGTGGGTTCTTTTTTCTTTTTTTTTATTGGGGATAACAAACAGTTGTACAATATATGTTAAGTGAAGGCTTACAATTATGTTATACTTATTGTACAACCAACAACATTATCTACAAATTAATACTAGGATTGTTTTGTTTTATATATTTCTATTTTTCTTCTTCTATACTAAAAGAAAAATATGTATAAATATAAATTACACAAATAAGTATCCAGTAGAAACAAAAAGTTTGTTGAGGTGTACCAAGGCAATACACATATTATACTTATAGCTATATTACTAAACTAATAATACACTTATTATTTACCTACAATGGTAGTGTAGGGGTTACCTACAATGCGAAGAAATAGCACTGCCTTGAGCTTAAGAATGCCTAGAGGAATTTCGATGCGGCCGTCAGGGCCGCGGTATCATAAATGGTCAGTGCATTCGCCCGGATTGCGAAGGGTGCGGGTTCGAGTCCCGTCTGCTGCCTGGTCCGCGTTGATTTTTTCTAGTTACATTTTCTGTAGATCTAACAACCTAGCTTTTTAAAACACCTGTTTGCTGTAAAAGTTTACTTCACTACTTTCAGAATAATTAAAATGTTCTTATGACATGTTTTGTCTATAGAATAATGTTGCTGAATATAATTATCAACAGTTAAAGTAATAAAAAAATTACACATATTATATTAGATAAATATTTTCAACCATATTGAATAAAAATATTTATTTAAATTCATGTTCATTTCAACACGAGAGTAATATTAATTTCTATAGATAAATATAACTGACTGATAAAATTACAATGGACAACAAACTCCTAATATACAAGGCCATACTAAAACCATCCTGGACATACAGCATTGAACTTTGGGGTAGTACAAGCAAATCAAGCATTGTTATATTCCAGAGGATGCAAAATATAGTCCTCAGGAAAATAGCAAATGTACCATGGTTTATCACAAATTCTGAGATCCATGAACTCTTAAATGTGACCATGGTGCGAGAGGAAATACAATCTGCTACAAATAAACATTGAAAGAAGTTTGAAAGTCACCCAAATATACTCGCAACACCACCATCTAGTATAGAAGTCTTATTATTTATTATTATTATTTATTTGTTTGCAGATAATTACTTAAATGAAGGCTTTCATTTTATAAACTTCTATTCACCATTTTGTCCTCCATGCCAGAACCTGGTTGACCATTGGAAGAAACTTGCAGAAATTTACAAAGGAATCGTAAGACAATCCGTTTATTATTATATGTGGGATACCTCATGTGTTGCCAATAAATCTTACGCACTCGCCCAAAGATTTGTCCAAACAATGCTTGCGCTCCACACATAAACACAATATTACTGTATTTTTTATTAAGTACATGTTGTAGGACTTTTACATTGGTCCTTCAAGTCAGATCAATTCAAACCGCCTTATTACAAAACATAGACTAAAGTTAACCTGGACTAAAACTGATGTTGTCACTTTTCTTTGCTAAAAAAGAGATAGATGCAGCATTAGGTTTAAACCAAGACTAATTTTAGTCTGCATTTTGGGATAAGGCGGAAAGGGTCTAATGGGGACTTAAAATAAGTGGACTTTATTACCATGTGACTGAATTTTTATATATGTTCTTGCACTTTGAATTTGGGGTTACCTTAGAAACTTTATTAGCTGATTCAAACAACAATTTAGTTTATATTTAGGCAAAAAAATCAAGCTGCCGCTCAAGTGTATGAGCCATCTTCCAGTGTTTTCTACTGTGCGTTTTAAAACACGCTCAATTTGTTTAGCAAACTACAAATACTAAGCCCACATTGCACTGATAAATGCAATATTTAGAGTTTGATCTTGAGTCTTAACTACATTGTCATATATGTTATGGGCCAAGTGATTAATGCGGGCAGTTTTCATAATGCCAGGGCAGTATGAATAATGCCCAACCATATCGGGCCAAGTGATTAATTGCAATCTAAACTCACCTATTTATCACATTGCCCGGCCATTATTAATAATGCCGGACGGCTCGTGGTCCATGTAATTAGTAAGAGTTTCAGATAGCTTGAATTTATCGCTAGGACCGGGCAGTGTGAATAAATTCAAAACGTTGGTACTATTGTCAAAATGACAGATGTCTCGCCATTTTGTGTTTGTTTTGAGATCTTGGTAAATAAAAAATAGTATGGGCTTAAAACTGGGAAAAAAGGTAAATGTGGCTTTACAACACAGTCTTTAATTCAGAACCGACTTGGTCAACCCCGACACGCCGTGGTCTTGGTCTGCCCTACCCCTAGAGTGTTTTTTAGAGCCCGGAAGCCAGCTTCAGGCGCTACGGGTCACACGATGCTTGCGGCTTTGTCACGCAAAGGTGGAGGGGCTGCTATTCCCGCAGCGCCGGAGATAAGGCAGAAGTACTGGTTCTTACTTCTGAATAGGGAACCATAAATTCTGAACATTTAACAGATTTAATGAATTTTTCAAACAGACTGCATTGAAATTACTATAGACTACAGTTTCTAAATGTAGCCCTTCGTAAATTGGTGGAAGTAAAACCGAAGTCTGATTATTTAAATTTTTAAAATAAATACTAAACTATAAAACATGTTTTTATTATTACTCTACCCGATAATTGATTTCATTACTTGTAATGCTCGGTTTATCTAACTAAGTATTCATTTGAAAGTATTAAACATGCTTTACATCACTCTGCCCAATAGCCACTGGGCATTATTCATAATGCCCGGGCAATGTGATAAATTGACTGACTATAATCACTGCCCGCTCTTATTAGGCATCATTCATATTTCCCGGTCATTATGAATAATGCCCGATTAATCACTTAGCCCTTAACATATACATACTATACTATGTATTATTGCACCCTACAATTGCTTATTACGGTATGCTGACACTGACACTGACTATTGCATGCTGTATATTGTGTTATTTACTAGGACCTTCACTTTGTCATGATATGAACATAAATAGCAACTATGCTTTTTGTATTCAATGAATACATTACATCTAAAAAGTTGACAGCTGAATCTGTTGTTCGTTTGTCTCGCTAAAACTCGAGAATGACTGGGCCGATTTTGCTTTTGAAATGTTTGTCGTAGTATAGGGAAATTAAGAACATGTGAAAAAAAAATTGTAAGTAGTACGCAGTTTTTTTAATATACACAGTTTGTATAAGGTTTTATTTTATTTTTACTTACAGGTAAAAGTTGGAGCTGTAAACTGCAAATACCACAATTCGTTTTGCTATAATTCAATGCGAATAGGGAGTTACCCATCACTGCTATTTTATCCAAATGTGAGTGCTTACTGCCAAATTACTTTTGTGCCATAAGAGATGCTCTTGAATACTTTGAAATAAATAATCTTCAATATTATAACAATAATTCATTTTACAATAACATAAACTTTGGTGTCTAGGGCAAGCATGGTAACTTCATATACTATCGTGGGGAACATACTTTAGAACATCTCGATAAGTTTGTGATGGCCTACTTAAATAGCAGGGTACATGTCCCAATAGTGTCACAAATTAGAAGCTCTGACAAACCTATAGCCTATGTATTAGGCACAAATAGAATTAACAGGGGAGCTTTGACCAGGATTAGTTATCTTTTGGTAAGTACACACACATTTTTTTTATTTGTGTATGCTGTTGTTCGCAGGTGACCTTTTCAGCGCCACCGGGTTTACATGTATTTATAAAACCAAAATCTAAAATATCCTAAAAATATTTTGATGATACAAAAAAAAATTGCAACTGACATAAAAGTTTTAATGTAAACCAATTTTGGTATTAAAAATCATATCAGTACACATGCTAAACACTTACTTAGGTGTTATGATATCAAAGTCAAATCATAAAAGTTAATTAGATAATCATAAAAGTGATTATATTATATGCTGTTTTAAATATTAATTTGCTTTTACAGAATGGCTTAGTCACATTGGCTATAGTGGAGGATGACAGTTTACGAGCCAAGCTTACAAATGATGATTCCACAGTAGTTGTATTCAAATTCAAAGGAACAACGACACAAATACAAAGTACCGAAGAAAAGGGCGTGTTAAAAGAAATAGTTGAATCTCTACCAAAGGTTGAGTCAATAGGTCCTGAAAAATTGAAGGTAATTTATAAGCTTGTTCTTTCATTTATGAAAAGTTGAATTTGGAATAGTTTCAAACCAGAAGCTTTATCTTAATTTTTTAGGAAATAAGAAACCATCTGCGGCAAGGTGCTAACACTGCGTGGGTACTACATTTCACCACGAAAGACACTGATAGGTTGCTGTTACATCAAATGAGGGTGGCATTCCCCAACATGAATTTTGGTAAATCATTTATTGAAACTTAAATATATGATTTATATTATATTCTTTTTAAATAAACATATATTGTTTTAAACTTTCATGGTCACTAACATTATAGCTATTAACGGGATTGTTACCATGTACCTTGTTTTTTATGAGTCTCCGATATTTCGGCACTGTTGCAAGCGCCATGTTCACGGAGTAACTGAAGTAATTGCGGGTAGATGTTATTGGAAGACATATCGGTCTACCCTCTGACGTCGTCTTTTACTGCGCTCGATACCCCTACTATTGGTCACATTCTCACTATTCACTCGCACCTGTTCCCGACACACAATACTCACAGTATCCGATCGCGGAACGACACTTTTTTGATTTTTACGGTTTTTGCACATACGAACCACTGGATTCCAGACACTTGACAATTTAAACCCATCCTCACGATTGAAATTTTTGTGTTTGGTTATTTCAATCGCTTCCCTGACCAATCTTGGTATGTAGTGGCGTTCTGTCGAGATGATTTGTGGATTATGGAGCTCAATCCAGTGATTCGGACCCGAATCGATTAAATGTTCCGCGATAGCTGATTTCTGCGTATCATTGTTTCTGACTGCTTTTATGTGTTCTTTCATTCGGCACGCTATTGTCCGCTTCGTTTGGCCAATATATGAACTACCACAGCTGCAGTCGATCTTATATACACCAGGTTTCTCCAAAGGGAAGTTGTCTTTGGGAGATCGTAGAAACTGTGACACTTTTTGTAAAGGAGTGAAGACAGTATTCAGTGAGTACTTATTAAGTATGTTCGAGATCTTGTCTGTCACTCCTTTGATATATGGCAAAAATACTGGTTGCCTGCTTACAATGTGTGTCTGGTGCCTTAATTTGTGTTTGGGTGGAAACTGTCCCTTGTATCCATTATTCTGTAGGACCCGCCGTACATACTCCAACTCTTCGTGCAGGTGTTCCTTGTCACACAAGTCATATGCACGGTTTGTCAGTGAAGTCACTACAGAGTTTAGATGTCTGGGGTGGTGATGCGAAGAGGCGTTGAGATAACGGTCTGTGTGTGTGAGTTTGCGGTGAATGGAATGACTCAGCGAACCATCATTCCGCACCCGAATCTTTACTTCAAGAAATGCCAGACTTCGGTCTTCTTCCATCTCATATGTGAAATGCATTTTGGTATGGACTCCATTTAAATTTGCCAAATGAGCCTCGACATCTTCTTTGTTTCCTCTCAATATACAAAATACGTCAACGCCAGTCGTTGCCAATATATGGATGGAGTATTTTGAGGAAAAAGCTTTCGCCACCGCCCCCACAGAAATTGCACTATGGAAGAGGTATGTTGATGACGTATTTTGTATATTGAGAGGAAACAAAGAAGATGTCGAGGCTCATTTGGCAAATTTAAATGGAGTCCATACCAAAATGCATTTCACATATGAGATGGAAGAAGACCGAAGTCTGGCATTTCTTGAAGTAAAGATTCGGGTGCGGAATGATGGTTCGCTGAGTCATTCCATTCACCGCAAACTCACACACACAGACCGTTATCTCAACGCCTCTTCGCATCACCACCCCAGACATCTAAACTCTGTAGTGACTTCACTGACAAACCGTGCATATGACTTGTGTGACAAGGAACACCTGCACGAAGAGTTGGAGTATGTACGGCGGGTCCTACAGAATAATGGATACAAGGGACAGTTTCCACCCAAACACAAATTAAGGCACCAGACACACATTGTAAGCAGGCAACCAGTATTTTTGCCATATATCAAAGGAGTGACAGACAAGATCTCGAACATACTTAATAAGTACTCACTGAATACTGTCTTCACTCCTTTACAAAAAGTGTCACAGTTTCTACGATCTCCCAAAGACAACTTCCCTTTGGAGAAACCTGGTGTATATAAGATCGACTGCAGCTGTGGTAGTTCATATATTGGCCAAACGAAGCGGACAATAGCGTGCCGAATGAAAGAACACATAAAAGCAGTCAGAAACAATGATACGCAGAAATCAGCTATCGCGGAACATTTAATCGATTCGGGTCCGAATCACTGGATTGAGCTCCATAATCCACAAATCATCTCGACAGAACGCCACTACATACCAAGATTGGTCAGGGAAGCGATTGAAATAACCAAACACAAAAATTTCAATCGTGAGGATGGGTTTAAATTGTCAAGTGTCTGGAATCCAGTGGTTCGTATGTGCAAAAACCGTAAAAATCAAAAAAGTGTCGTTCCGCGATCGGATACTGTGAGTATTGTGTGTCGGGAACAGGTGCGAGTGAATAGTGAGAATGTGACCAATAGTAGGGGTATCGAGCGCAGTAAAAGACGACGTCAGAGGGTAGACCGATATGTCTGCCAATAACATCTACCCGCAATTACTTCAGTTACTCCGTGAACATGGCGCTGGCAACAGTGCCGAAATATCGGAGACTCATAAAAAACAAGGTACATGGTAACAATCCCGTTAATAGCTATAATAAATAAACATAATTGTGAATATAAAGATTGTAGTGCTATGCTCCTCTCTTTACGTCTCGTTGAAGGGAAACGAAGACAAGGGACAGGTTTCTGGGTGGGGTATATTGAAACAAAGCGGGGCACACCAAATGGCCCACGGGACAGACGCAAATACATTCTTCGCTGTAGCCGCTAAAATCTATACTAATCAATCACACTAACATTATAAAGGCGAAAGTTCGTGAGTGTGTGGATGTATTTGTCTGTTACTACTTCACGTCTAAACGGCTGGAGCGATTTTAATCAAATTTGGTATGGAGTTAGCTGACACCCTGGATTAACACATAGGCTACATTTTACTGCGGGAAAATATCCCTAATAAACCGCAGGTAATACCGTGGGGCACAGCTAGTATTATATACGTGAAAGTATGTTCTGTCCATCTGTCAAGTCTCACACTTAAACCACTAAACCGATTTAGATAAAATTTGACATAGAGATAATTTGAAGCGCGGGAAAGGACATAGGTTAGACAGGTAGGTTAGTTACACCAGAATTCATCCTTTAAGTGGGTGAAAAAGGAGGTTAAAGTTTGTATGGCAAACCAAGCAGACTAAGTCGCAAGCACCTCCTATTGTGCTTAACATACACAGTGGAGGTAAATTGCGACGAATGGAGTGAACTATGTGCCTCACTACACGTCTCGCTGAAGGGAAATGAAAACAAGGGTCATAATTCGAGGTGGGGTATATTGAAACGGGGCGGGGCGTACCAACTGGCCCACGGTTCAGATGCGAGGTCATTCATCGCTGTAGTCGCTGAAAACGATACTGATTATTATAAATGCGAAAGTATGTTTAGCTATGTCACCTCTTCATGCTTAAACCACTGAACCGATTTAGATAAAATTTTGCATAGAGATAATTTGAAGCCTGCGAAAGGACATAGGTAGGTAGTTACACCAGAATTCATTCTATAAGTGGGTGAAAAAGGGGTGAAAATCTGTATGGCAAACCAAGAAGATGAAGTCGCGGGCACCTCCTATTTATTATCCAATATTCATTATTATTGTGCTTTACATACACAGTGGAGGTAAATTGCGACAAGTGGAGTGAGCTATGTGCCTCACTACACGTCTCGCTGAAGGGAAATGAAGACAAGGGTCATAATTCGAGGTGGGGTATATTGAAACGGGGCGGGGCGTACCAACTGGCCCACGGTACAGATGCGAGGTCATTCATCGCTGTAGCCGCTGAATCTACCAATTTGCATACGCTGTCTGCTTCGGATCTGACAAGGATATTGGATGGAGGTATTTCTTTGCTTTGCTTAACTTTACCCTAATAAAATATATTTTTTGTCATGTAGGTAGTTATTGATTTGGATGAAGATGACATTGGATTTTTTATGTCTTCCATGCATGATTGTAGTTGTCAATAAACCTAGTGCTATAATGCTAAATCATTGGTTAAATTAGAGTAAACATTTAAAAACCACGATGATTTATCGAATATATGCCAGCGCATAAAAGTTAGATTAGGTTGACGGTGCCTACTGGAAAAGTTTTCGAAAATGATCATCCATTATTTAATAGTCCTAATAAGACTACAGAATCTATAATTTTTCTCTCTGCTACGTATTTGGAAATTCGTAAATATATGGTGTCCCAGAGACTTAACCAGGGGCAAAATCAATTTGCCACAGCATGTTTCTCCTTTGAAATTAAACTTGACAGTATCTCCCTTTCATTCTCTGTGAAGTAAGACAAGAATATCATCATCATCAACCTATAAATAACTGCTGAGGCACAGGCCTTCCCTATGGATGGAATAGGGAGATTGGGCCATGACCCACCACGCGGGCCCAGTGCGGATTGGTGGGTGCTAACGACTGCAGATGCACCGGGACCAACGGCCTAAAGTGTAAAAGCCTTCCAAAGCACGGAGGAGATCGAGATAATAAGTTTCTGGTCACCCATCTAATGACCGACCATTGCGAAAGTTGCTTAACTTTCACGATCGCAAACGGAACGCGCTAACCACCTGCTGCATCGAGCTCCTCAGACAAGAATATACAGCTCGCAAATGAAGTTTTAAGTGTATTGAATCATCTCAGAATCAGTCCCACTGTTAGTATAAGCAGTAATTTATTTTTGCAGACGGCAGCATATGGGTTTTGGTGGTAGTTCCGTACCAACTGTCCTGGGAGCACATCGCTGAACCATTTATGAAAACCAGCCTGCATTTCATCAATTCCGAAGATATCAATGTAAGTAAGATTTTTTATTTTTAGGTATTTTTGTCGACATTATTATAACGTAATCACACTAATATTATTAAGGCGAAATTTTGTTAGTGTGTGAGTGTGTATGTTTGTTACTTCTTTACGTCTAAACGGCTGGAGCGATTTTAATAAAATTTGGTATGGAGTTAGCTGACACCCTGGATTAAGACATAAGCTACGTTTTACTGCGGGTAAATATCCCTAACTAACCGCGGGTAACATCGCAAGGCACTAGTCCGCAGCTAGTCCTATATAAGTATATACAGGTTGTCCTAAAACTTTACTACATGGCGAGACAGTGACTTAAATTAAATATTACAGATAAAAGATATGCTGAAAGAAAATTTCTGTTTCATTATAAAAACAAAACGAACTAATTCAATGATTTCTTGAGTTGAATTGGAAAAATTGGTTTCCCATACAAACTTCCCTTTTCTCCTCTTAAAGCTGATTTTTGGTATTTACAAAAACTATCACCGCCTTATTACAAAACGTAGACTAAAGTTAAACCTGGATTAAAACTAATCCTGTCACTTTTGTTTGCTTAAAGGAAAAGAGAAATAACATTAGGTTTAAACCAAGACTAACATTACTCCGCGTTTTGGAATTAGGGGGGTCAGTGTTCTTCCCCGGGACTGAAACTAACTCTATACCAAATGTCATCTTAATCGATTTAGCGGTTCAAACGTGAAGAAGTAACACTTGCATCCTACTTCCTATTCCTACTAATATTATAAATATCAAGTTTGTATGTTTGTTATTCAATCACGCAAAAACGGCTTAACAGATTTGAATGAAATTATACACAGAGCCAGCTTATAGACAAGAGACATTTTATCGTACAAAAAGTGATAGGTCCCTGAGGGATTATCAAAAACTAAAATTGTCGCGGACGAGGTCGCGGTTGGTCGCTTTTATAATTTTAGTATGTATCTCGTTAAATGTCGTATGAGGCGTTAAGTTCCCTAAAAATTGGTTGAGCTAAACATGTTCTACCGGAACCGATTGCAATACACGGTGCCGTCCTCGAAGTTGTTCAAAAATATGTGTACCTCGGGCAGACTTTGCAGTTAGGTAGAAACAACTTTGAGGACTAGGTGAATAGAAGAATTCGGCTAGGTTGGGCAGCGTTTGGGAAGCTACGTCAAGTCCTGACATCGTCGAGCCCACAGTGCCTAAAGACGAAAGTCTTCAATCGGTGCGTCCTACCTGTGATGACATACGGAGCCGAGACGTGGACACTGACGGTACGGCTGGTCCACAGGTTCAAAGTCGCTCAGCGCGCTATAGAAAGGGCTATGCTCGGCGTTTCTCTGAAGGATAGCATCAGAAATGAGGTAATCCGACAGAGAACCAGAATTATCGACATAGCCCACCGGATTAGCAAGTTGAAGTGGCAGTGGGCTCGCCATATTTGCCGAAGAACCGATAACCGTTCTGGTAGACGAGTTCTTGAGTGGAGACCGCGTCTAGGCAAACGTAGTGTAGGACGTCCTCAGGCACGATGGAGTGACGATTTGCGCAAGGTGGCTGGCAGGAGCTGGATGCGAGTAGCCCAAGATCGATTTGAGTGGCGTGCATTTGGAGAGGCCTATGTCCAGCAGTGGACTATGATGTGCTGTTGATGATGATGATAATTTCATTCCAATGTGTTGTTTCAGTTCGGCATAATGACGTGCACACTCAACACAGACAAACACTGCAGGCAATTGGCTCAGAACGAGCCGGTGATCGTATTGCAGGCGGGCCGAAAGCGGCACTATTACAACGGGCATATAGACGAAAGTCATTTGACAGAATTCATAGAACTACTGTTGGACAGTGAAGGTATGTATGTGGGTTTAGAATAAATGAATACATCTATCTTTGAATAAATAAAATTCTATCATCAATCTCAAAATCTAGGAGCTCAATGGCGCAGGTGGCTAGCGCGTTCTTCTGCGATCGTTGAAGTTAAGCAACTTTCGCAGTGGTCGATCATCGGATGGGTGACCAAAAATCTTCTATCTCGAGTTCCTCCGTGCTTCAGAAGGCACGCTAAGCAGTTGGTCCCGGCTGCATCTGCAGTTTTTAGCACCCACCAATCCGCACTGGGCCAGCGTGGTCGGTCATGGCCCAATCTCCTTATTCCATCCATAGGGAAGGCTTGTGCCCCAGCAGTGGGGACATTTATAGGCTGGTGATTATGATATTGTCTTTGGGCATACTTGGAAGGCTAATTATATTTTTTATTTATGTTCACCAAGACTTGGTGATAGACGAGCAGCAAGTATTAGAGATATCTGACGCGTCGAGTCGTCAGCACACGTGGTTGGTTGCGTATTTGCCCGCAAATTGCGGATACCAGTGCGACGAACTTGCGCACGAGTGGCGACTGGTGGCCAAAAAGGTAAGGGATACTATTTTCTATGTTCTATATCCCTATTTAATGTTGTTCATTTATTTCATTTCATTAAGACTTTCAACAAACATGTAAACTGTATTCCCTCCCTATTTAAGTTTATTTATTTCATTTTATATTTGTAAAGTTTTTACAAACACATCTATACTCTATTCAACTTCCTCTGAGAAAACAGGTAAAGAAATAATCCCAATGTTTCTAAAACTGTTTTATCGAAAGTAATGACAGAAATATAATAACGGTAATATTTCAATGTCAATTATTTTATTTATCACTACTCTTCAATTTAGTAGTATAATAATGCGTGCAAAGTTTGGTAATAGCTACAGTTTTAGGTCTTTTTAATGTCACCTTTTTGTTGATTTTATATGCGTATAATATTCGACTTATTGATAAACATTATTATTTTATTTATTTGTTCAAGAAACATGCTGACTTACAGAACTAGTTCCAACGCATTAGCAGGTCACATTAATTCAAATTATAAATAAATTTAAGTTTTTTTTTACCTTATATCTCAATGGAATTCGAATAGAGTATAGTTATTTTATTCCATTTCATAAATTTGAAAACTTTCAATAAACATCGAGCTAGCCACAAACTAAACGGGACTGTCGAATTTGACATATATTTTTAGACCATCCACCATCTCTTAAGGGTGCGATGTGATAACTAATTTATATGCGACTAGAAAACAATATCATTATATAGTGGGCCTGATTCTGGTATGATTTTACTAAAACTTAAAAAAAGATTGACAGCAGTCCGTTTAATTTTTATTTTGGCAAGGATTTTCTTCTGTTCTCAACAAGGATATTAAATACATACAGATACACCAACACGAACAAGATCGTGCCCGATACCTGTCCAAAAGGTACATTGGACGATCCACGGAGTTCCGAAAATGATCGCGTTGTCAAAAAAATTATAAGGCATTATTTAAACATTGAAAGTTACCTTTATTATAAGGTTTTAATTAAAACGCACGCATCAGAGTAACGACAGTTCGAAATGCAAGCTCCTTAAATTTTCCGACTTATTGCTATATGCGGAAGAATATAGACCTTTTTTCTTTGACACTACGCGCAATTCTGAATGCGCTGTTAGCAATATTACGGTACGGACCGCGAGGAAAAGAGACGGCTATGTAACCGACCATGTTTATAGTAAGAATTAGAACAAAATTTGCTTGTCCAAAAAAACGACACTTTACATTCAAGTATTTTTTTCGCATTATTTCACTGAGCTCTGCGGCATGTTGACTTTTCAACGGTCTGCGCGTGACTGTGTATGAAGAAGTGCTTGAGTAGAGTTGAAGCACTTCTTGATTGGTACACATTTTGAGCTGACGTGGTGTATCTAGTGTATTTAATATCGTTGGTTCTCAAATTTAATTTTAGGTTCATAGAATCGAGCCCACTTTTAAAGATATGCTTTTGTGTTAAGATAGGAATTGATTCATTTAACCAACCCCTACATATTTGCAAAAGGATGAATGGTCTATAAATTATTTTCGAATATGAACAGGCTCGTTTCGTTTGTAGCTAACTAGAAGGTTGTTGACTAAAATTGTGAAGTTTAAACGAACAAAAGGTTTATTGCGACTTTATACGACCACGATGCTTCTGTGGATTATGCTGAGGCATGCACTTGGATGGTTTTTTCTTCTTCTGTTTCTTATTGTTGGTATGTGTATATATATAATGCTTTTCCCACACCTGCGCGACGTAGTTTAGTACTTCTTTCGCTAAAATTAGCATTCGAAATTTTAATTAGTTCTATCGTAACGAATTATCGAGCTGCGTTAAAGTTCGATCCCACGATGTGTGTTTTCGCGCGCGAGTATGCGCCGCGCATGGTTGCCAAACGTATGAGAACTCTAACGTTTGAGATTTAGCAGTATCTATACATGATTCGAGGTGATGACATGAATAATAATAATAAGGATGCATTTGCTGATGGCATAGACTTACTGAGACGACTCTTTGTGGATGGGATATTTATTTTCTTTCATGACACAAACAGTCAACATTGTTCAAATGTTGGTGTGGTAGGTAGAACTGCTGTATCAGCTATCTTCGCGTCTGGACTTCACCTTCTCTTAACATCAGGTGGGGTGGAGTCATTTGTCGGACCTATCAATAAAAAAAATCTCATCAAAGTGTACGAGGTTTCTATTTAACTCGTATCATGTACAGAGACTTCTAAATCTCGAACGTTAGAGTTCTCATACGTTTGGCAACCCTGCGCGGCGCGTCAACACTCATCGTGGGATCGCACCTTAACGATAGACGCTAGGCGATAGCTTGACTAGCGGTTTTTGACACGCATAAACGCAGGTTGGAAATTTGTATGTGCAGCTGAAGGAGCGTACTTAAGATAAACTAATTCAAATTCCGAACGGTAATTTTAGCGTATTCGGTACTAAAGCTCCGCCGCACAGGTGTAGGAAAGATATAAGGCTTTTAAAATGTCTTTATTTCTATTGTTTTTGTAGCTTCGTTCACTGGAGTTCGTTCGCGTCGGCCTTCTGGAATGTTCGCGTCACTCGGACGGCTTCTGTAGGAACGTGCGATCGCCGACAGCTCGCCTCTACCCGCTTGCTTCTGGCCAACACTACACGTGAGATATATCTATAGTTATGTTTAAAACTGACAGAGGTTCTTCTAGGAGTTCGTTCGCGTCGGTGTTCTGGAATGTTCGCGTCACTCGGACGGCTTCTGTAGGAACGTGCGCTCGCCTTTACTCACTCGCTTCCGGCCAACACTACACGTGAGATATAACTATAGTTATGCTTAAAACTGACAGAGGTTCTTCTAGGAGTTCGTTCGCGTCGGTGTTCTGGAATGTTCGCGTCATTCAAACAGCTTCTGTAGGAACGCTCGGATCTACCAGCTCGCTTGCGGCCAACACTACACGTGAGATATATCTATAGTTACTCTTAGTACTGACATAGGATCCTTTAGGGATTCGATCACGTCGGTGTTCTGGAATGCCAAGCGGAATCCAGGGTTTCGGCACCTATAAGATGTAGCATACGCACCACACACAAAATAAAAAACAATTGGTGGCTTTCTACTACAACTGGGTCAGACCAACTCTCAATAACCTGTCGATTAAAAAACCGAGACTGGAATTCGGGAATTAAGTAAGTAACGAGTATAAAACACTCCCTTGCGTTTGGATGAGGATTTTTTCGCGCGACACAGCGCTGGTGGGTTCACGGGTGCTTAGTACGCGACGCGACGCGACGTGCGCGACCATAGAGATATAAGAATAGAGTAGGGGAGGCATAGACTCTACTACAAGTGGAAATGTCCCTCTAATAGAAAGAGAAATAAGATGAGAGACCGCTAGCTTTCTCTCTGTAATCGCGCATGCGCATTGGTAACCGTAAGCAACTTACTATTTCGATGTGATGCCATTGGATGCCATGCGTAACAACACAAGAGAGAGAGATAGCTAGCGGTCTCTCATCTTCTTTCTCTTTCTACTAGACGGACACTTTTAAAGCCGCCTTCCCCACTCTATTCTTATACCTCTATGTGTGCGACGCGATAATAATATAGGCAGCGAACGAACTATTTTTTGACTTGAGTAACCGCCGACGATTTTGCGACTGAGACATTCGCGCCTCCGTTCAATCGTATAAGTAAGCGGGCGGTGGATGAAGAAAGTTATTTTCAAGATTGCCCGCAATTCACGTCTTATATGGAAGGGGAGTGCTTAGCAACCCACATTCAAAGGTGCACCTCATTACTTTAAATTACCCATAAAATGGTCTCAATTTCAAAGAAAAATGATACGATGTTGAATGACTGTAGTTAGGGTAAAGGCGGGATAGATGCCACACTATTTGAAATATCCGCCTAATTAAAAAAAAAACATTTTTATATGAATAATGTCTATGAATTTGAGTAGTTTAGTCCTTTCTGTTTAACTGTGATTTGTATTTTTGGCCCTACAAATTACAGATTTTGCAAATTTTTGGTTTTTGTGGAACTCTTGTTTTGGGGATAGATGCCTACACGTATGGATAGTTGCCCCACCATGAAAATACTAAGAAGGATAGATGCCTGCGGCTCGGGATAGACGCCCTTCATACTGTATAATTAAAATACTCGACCAAACTTTTATGAGGTTTTGAGGACAATTGGTGTTTTAGCAGTAGAAAGCATTAGCTTTCTATTTAAAAGTTAACAAATGAAGATCTTTATTGAAACAATTAAGGTATTAACCTTAACAGAAGTTGTTTCCAAGAAACATGGGCCTAATAATGAAAAGCATTTTGCAGTTTTTTTTTTTTTTTTTTAAAATTTTCATCGTTAGCATATACTTAATTCTACATAAATTGAGATCAAATAAATAACCATATTGAAATAAAAATTATATTTTTTTCTTATAAAATATTAATTAGTTATTATAGGTAGACCGCTCCCCTGTGCCCCGCAGGCGAGTTCTCAATGAAGCGGTTTACCTATAAGTTTCAACACGCATAGGTAATCATAAATGTCTTTATTTTTTCTTAAATTAAAACAACATAATAAAGATCTTCATTTTGTAATCCTACTTTTAAGTAGGATGCTTAGTCGGATAGTGCTTTTAGTTTTCCACATCTTGAGCAATAATTTTTGAAAAGTGTACAGGTTTCATGTAGCCAGTTCTGACACTGTACACATTGAATCCAGTCGGATTTGGACTTCGTTTGTTTATAGTTTTCAAAACATTCTACGCAGTTATCTTTATTCGTATCTTTAGGCTTATCCTGTTCATCTCTTTTAGTGCTCTTTACCGGCAAACCTTTAGTTTTCTTTCCCTTAATCTTATAGTGAGGTGAATTGTCTGTTCTTCATCTTCACTGTTTGAACTGTAAATATAAATCGCCGTTTTAGTTTTTTGCGACTTTTGTTAACTTTTAAATAATTATCATTTTCTTTATCACATAAACCATCACATAAGTCATCAACATCGTTGTCACTAAAGCAATGTTTTTGTTTTCGTTCTTTGTTGCTGGTTCCTTTCTTTGTTTTATTAAGTTCTCTTATTGGTTTGGTAGGTTCAGTCTTGTTTTTCTTGTCTAACTTAGTTTTTATTTGTTTTTTCTTTCTTTCAGCCATATATTTTTTGTGTTTTATATTCTCGTTTGAATTCAAAATATCTGCTGACTGTTTCGCCCTCTTAGCCAAAGGAATTTTTGGTATAGGTGATGCTTCTATTAGAATTTTTGAAGGTGTTTCTGATTCTATATTACTGCCTAAAATCTCTGCAATTGTAGAATCACCAATGTCAAAAATACTAATATCTTCTAAAATATCGGGATCTATCAAGAGACTAGGAGATTCTTTGTCAATTTGAATCTGCATCAGATTTGGTGTTGTCCTATTTTGTTCATATTCAGAAATATTTTCGTTTTGATTGTCCAGCTCTATATGAAAAACTACAGAAGTAGAAGTCTGAGGTAGAGAGGTTTCTGTTCTTTGTTCAATAGGTTCACGAGATACAATACTTTCCGAGACATTGACAAGCTCTGGTTGGCAATCTATCGAAGAAGATGTTTGAGCCTGGGTTGTTGACGATCGATCAACTTGTTGACGTGCACGAGAAGTGCCAGGATTTTCGCTATCCAATGCAGCATCGGATATCAGAAATGTAGTATCTGGCAAACTGGATAAATACCGCTACCTCTAAATCCAGCAAGAGCATTTGCAGGAGTGGCAGCGCGAATCTAAGCATTGCGTATAAGCTTACCTGCGTTGTAACGGCTGATCTTTTTATTTGGATTAAGGCGCATAAATTGATTAGTTTCTTGGTTGAAGTAGGTTTTAAATGGCCCAAATACTGATCTGTCTAAAGGTTGTAAAGCTGAAGTTGTGTGACTAGGTAAACACAATAAAATTATTTCGTTATCTGCAGCAGCTTGCAGCATATTTGGTGCACTTGAGTGTGATAAGTGACCGTCTAAAATAAGCAGAACTTTACCATGGGGCTTCAGAGGGATGAAATGTTCTGTTAGCCATTTATCGAAAAGCAAAGCATTTATATATGCCGATTGTTTATTCATATATACTTTTGAGCCCAGGAAGTCCATCTTGAAATTCAGGTTTCTTATTAATACATTTTATTATAAGAACTGGTGGAAGAAAATTACCAATTGCATTGCAACAGCCAACGATTGTCATTGTTTCACCTCTCTCGGCAGATGTGACTGAATTGACGACTTTGGCACCTTTTTTAGCTATGACTTTTCCAGGTTTATTATTCAATTGGATTCCGGATTCATCCATATTGTATAATCTTTCCGGTTTGTCTAACAGATCATTTTCAGTCAAGACTTTGATTAAAAGATCATAGAAGTTATTTACTTCTTCTCTACTCAGGCCCTTGGCTCTAGCCAAAGATAAACCTTCAGCTTGTCTAATAGAAAGCTCTGGATTTCGTTCAATAAAACTTTTAAACCATGCAGCTCCAGCCATTTCGTTTTCGTGGTCACAATTATGTTTTAGCTCTAACTTTTCAGCAAATTGGTAAGCTAACATACGTATGGATTGTCTATTTGGGGGAAATCCTGCATGCCCAAGCTTTAGAATGTGCTTTACTAGCCTTTTTTCGTTGTCAAAATCCAAGATAGGATGTTTTCCTAAAAAAAAAAAACTACGTTAATAAATCTAGGTATTGGAAACTTACAGCATTTAGTTAAATAAAAGTTTTTGAAATCCTGTATACAATAACAACCTTTAATACATACCCAGTGTCTGCTTAGTTGTATTTCGAGCAGCATAACGTCTTCGCAATGTTCTTGATGGAATCCCAAATTGTCGGGATATTGCGTTTATCCCCATGGTACTTCTATCCATTTCGTCGAAAGCCGACTGCAATTGTTCTGTAGTCCAAGAACATACTCGAGCTCGAACTCCTGCCTTTCTTTTGTATTTTCTTGGCATGGTTCTGCTAGAATCACTAAAAAGTCCAAATACAAATATATATTAACATATAAAAACATAATAGAACACAAAAATATGTTCAAAAGATACCCTAAAACCACATATGGATATACATGGTATATGGAGGGATAGATGCCCCTAGGGGCACCTATACCTCGAAAAATCAGGGCAACTATCCTTTTTGATAGGGATAGATGCCCAAGTATTTTTTAAATAAATAAAAAAGAAAAGAGAAACTATTTACATCTATATGCATACTTGATGAATCAGTTTATTGACATAATAAATAATTAACGGAATTAATGACTACTTATAAAGTTATACACTAGCAAATACTAACCTTAAAATCTTTGACGTGTTTGTCAAGTTCGCCGCGGAGATGAATGCACACACGATCGAAACACGTCCTCACCACACGACGACCCGTGGCTAACTGAGGTGCGGGGTGCCTGCGGCTCTTAGTTATACTTTTATTTCTTAGTCGCGATTTTGGGAAGTTAGGTTTCTTCAAAATGGGGCAACTATCCCACTGGGGCATCTATCCCGCCTTTACCCTATAGGTAAAATTACAAAATAGATACGATGGGAATTAAAATTTAACTTTAACAAAATATACATTCGATTAGTTATGCGATCCCAGAACCATGGGATTTTATTTTTAATAAAAATATCCTAACGAGCCGCTTATATTATTTATAAGCCAAAATATAACTTTAGGTAAATATGCATCCGATTATCCGATCTCTACTTATATAGCTATATATTTAGGTTTCAAGGTGATGCCTTTTCAGAGGTCCTAAGTTCGAATCCCTGTGAGACAAATGTTTGTACGATGTACTTATATAAAAAAGAAAAGATTTTGAGATTTTTTTATATCAAAATCCTTCCTCATTTCCAAATAAAGCTATAGATAGATAGTTAGATATAACTTTTATCTACACATACAGACATACATGTACATAAGTTTAAAATTGAAACAAAAATAAAAAGATACATTTAAAAATCTACCTAAATTGAAGTATGCTGCAGAAAGCAAAAGGCCAAGGCTCAGCCTACTGACTTTTAGCCTTTGTAGTTAAATTGTTGATTTTATAAAAACGATAGTAGTAATTTGTTTTTTCTTGTTAAGTATACATGTGATATAAATCTTAAATTTCAACCACTTCTCAGGATTTTTCAATAGAAAGAAGGCCTTTTCTTCGGACTTTTGATTTTTCCATCTCGTTTAACTAAATGCTACAATACTCTACATTCTGGCTAGTTTAAGACAAAGCACTGATTTTTAACCTTTGTAGTTAAATTGTTGATTTTATGCTAATCTTACATTGCAGTGTCAGCTTGCAACATCTTACGCAAGCACCGTACATACTCGAATGGGCGCTGAGTCTCGTAGATGATGTACAGAAACTTAACTGGAACTTGTTCTCAAAGTCTGTGATCTCGGAGGAATTGAATCCATCAAGGTAAATTCTTATTATTACAACAAAAAAGTTAGACATGCGTTCAACATGATAGGTAACTAAAAAAACAAATGTGCTTATGACCACAAGACTGAAGTGAAACTTCTTTAGCTCCATCTGTATAGATATATATATATATGTACAATATATACAAGCATGTACATATACATATTTCATTTAAAAATCGTAAAGAAATATCAAATTACCCTTTTGAAATAAGTTTGTTTACGTATTTTAATAAGTTTAATTTTATTTCCTCGTGCCGGCGACGATACGTAATTTTTTTTGTTTATTTCAGTTATAGAAAGCCATGGTTGGTGTATTTCCACTCTCCGAGGTGCTCTCATTGTTATGTGCATTATGCAGATTTTTCGATTGCCGGTATTGTAAGTAAATCCAAATATTTATTATTAAAAATCTTATTCTAATAATAAATATTTTATTAATGGAATATTTCATACATTAAGGTATTTTAATAGAAGAGTTGGGATGTAACTTCTTTCACGCGAGGCTCGAAGGGGGTGGGGTGGGGGGAAATCTACTTGTGAAATATCACAAGGGGAGGGGGGGGGTAGTAATATATCACGTATATTTCCGTGGTCCGAGGATACTGCACATTAAATAATGTTCATGTATTAGTATAAAAGAGTTTTTTATTTATGTCAGTTAAAAACAATCTGCAAACTTTCTGTCCACCACTACCAGTTATTATTGTTGTAACCTGTATTATTAACATACGCCTTAAGGTGAACGCAGACTTGGCCGCACCGCACGCGCCGCAGTCTTAGCATTCGAATGTTTTATATGAAGTTCTATGCAACCTCGCAAACCTACGTCGCAGTCGCCGCAGTCCCTGGAGGCCTACTCTATTTCAACGAAAAACGAAATTTTGATCGAAATTTCGCACGTTCCTTACTGTGTTTACTTTTCATTTCGAAAATTCGTTCGTCCGAAATAGTTAGACAATTAAATTCTCCAAGCCTACTCTAATTCACAAAACTTTCGAAGGAAAAGTTGAATTAGACATATAATTGTTCGAAATTTTAATCTCAAATTGACGATATGCAAAGTGTTACCTTTTCATTTTTGTTTTGAGATTTTTGTTTTAAGTAAGCCTAAAATACTTGCAACAGTATTTTTAATAATAGCTGCTTAGCTCGAGAAACATTTTTAGCATGTAAAATTAACAAATAAACCATGTTTTTATTATTTATTGTAATTTCGATACTTCAAAGTATTAAACGATAAATTTAGGTTGACATACAGTAGATTGTATCAACTCTACAAATTAGTCGGCTAACACTGTCAAAGAAGGTTCTTTCAATGTCATCAAAAAATTTGCTGTAAACTACCTATATCGTTCCCAAGTAAAAAAACGTAGAAAAGTAGATATGAAAAGAACTCACAAACATGACTCATTCCATTCGTTCACGAAAACTGTTTATGGTTCCGAAGTTAATGTGCCTGTTCGAAAATGAAATAGAGTAGAGTAAATGGCGAAATTTCGTTTAAAATTCGTTCGTTACCGAAATTTCGTTTCAGAGAAAGAGAGTAAAGCTCCTGAAACGACCGAACTCCTCAAGCCGCAGCTGATGACGTCACCAACGCCAGCCCTCACACAGCGGACGCTGCGGCTAGCGCTGCGCGGATGACGTCATTCGCATCCACGGCTTTTCTTTTTCTTCTTTCTCTTATAATTAACAACTGACAACAAATTGTTCGTCAGGAGCCATACTGTAATACACGCCCACTCTTAATATAAACTAGCGGCCCGCCCTCGCTTCGCTTCGGTGTAGAGCTGAAGTGTAGACTACAGTATTTGTTCTCAGGCTTGTATTATACACAATGATATTCATCTATGATTCTTCTTATAACCTCATGCAAAGTCTCAATTGACAAAGTTTCATACAAACTTTCATTCCCTATTTTATCCCCTTGGGGGTAGAATGGATCATAATCCTTTCTTAGCGGATGCCTACGTCATAACATCTACCTGCATGCCAAATTTCAGCCCGATCCGTCCAGTGGTTTGAGCTGTGCGTTGATAGATCACTATGTCAGTCAGTCAGTCACCTTTGAGTTTTATATATATAGATTACAAACTATTCAGTTTGTAGCATTGCGAAAGCAATTCAAGTGCGATGCGTGCGGCGACGGGAACGACTGCAGTGACTGCAATGCAGATAGATGTGTGAGGCCATTAACAAAAAGCGATGACTGCGGAGCGGCCAAATCTGCGTTCACCTTTACAGTACTTATAATTTTTATTATTTTTAAAGCATGTAACTGCTTGATGTTTAAATCTAAAGAAAATATAACTAGAAAAAATTCCACGCGGACCAGGCAGCAGACGGGACTCGAACCCGCACCCTTCGCAATCCGGGCGAATGCACTGACCAATTATGCTACCGCGGCCCTCACGGACCGCGTCGAAATTCTTTCTAGCTATTCTTAAGCTGCAAGGCAGCGCCATCTCTTCGCATTATAGGTAAACCCACAATGTCAAATGAATACTTTTACAAGTATTAAACATTTGAAAGAAGAAATAGCAATTATAGTTATAATTTTTATTATTTTTAAAGCATGTAACTGCTTGATGTTTAAATCTAAAGAAAATATAACTAGAAAAAATTCCACGCGGACCAGGCAGCAGACGGGACTCGAACCCGCACCCTTCGCAATCCGGGCGAATGCACTGACCAATTATGCTACCGCGGCCCTCACGGACCGCGTCGAAATTCTTTCTAGCTATTCTTAAGCTGCAAGGCAGCGCCATCTCTTCGCATTATAGGTAAACCCACAATGTCAAATGAATACTTTTACAAGTATTAAACATTTGAAAGAAGAAATAGCAATTATAGTTATAATTTTTATTATTTTTAAAGCATGTAACTGCTTGATGTTTAAATCTAAAGAAAATATAACTAGAAAAAATTCCACGCGGACCAGGCAGCAGACGGGACTCGAACCCGCACCCTTCGCAATCCGGGCGAATGCACTGACCAATTATGCTACCGCGGCCCTCACGGACCGCGTCGAAATTCTTTCTAGCTATTCTTAAGCTGCAAGGCAGCGCCATCTCTTCGCATTATAGGTAAACCCACAATGTCAAATGAATACTTTTACAAGTATTAAACATTTGAAAGAAGAAATAGCAATTATAGTTATAATTTTTATTATTTTTAAAGCATGTAACTGCTTGATGTTTAAATCTAAAGAAAATATAACTAGAAAAAATTCCACGCGGACCAGGCAGCAGACGGGACTCGAACCCGCACCCTTCGCAATCCGGGCGAATGCACTGACCAATTATGCTACCGCGGCCCTCACGGACCGCGTCGAAATTCTTTCTAGCTATTCTTAAGCTGCAAGGCAGCGCCATCTCTTCGCATTATAGGTAAACCCACAATGTCAAATGAATACTTTTACAAGTATTAAACATTTGAAAGAAGAAATAGCAATTATAGTTATAATTTTTATTATTTTTAAAGCATGTAACTGCTTGATGTTTAAATCTAAAGAAAATATAACTAGAAAAAATTCCACGCGGACCAGGCAGCAGACGGGACTCGAACCCGCACCCTTCGCAATCCGGGCGAATGCACTGACCAATTATGCTACCGCGGCCCTCACGGACCGCGTCGAAATTCTTTCTAGCTATTCTTAAGCTGCAAGGCAGCGCCATCTCTTCGCATTATAGGTAAACCCACAATGTCAAATGAATACTTTTACAAGTATTAAACATTTGAAAGAAGAAATAGCAATTATAGTTATAATTTTTATTATTTTTAAAGCATGTAACTGCTTGATGTTTAAATCTAAAGAAAATATAACTAGAAAAAATTTCACGCGGACCAGGCAGCAGACGGGACTCGAACCCGCACCCTTCGCAATCCGGGCGAATGCACTGACCAATTATGCTACCGCGGCCCTCACGGACCGCGTCGAAATTCTTTCTAGCTATTCTTAAGCTGCAAGGCAGCGCCATCTCTTCGCATTATAGGTAAACCCACAATGTCAAATGAATACTTTTACAAGTATTAAACATTTGAAAGAAGAAATAGCAATTATAGTTATAATTTTTATTATTTTTAAAGCATGTAACTGCTTGATGTTTAAATCTAAAGAAAATATAACTAGAAAAAATTCCACGCGGACCAGGCAGCAGACGGGACTCGAACCCGCACCCTTCGCAATCCGGGCGAATGCACTGACCAATTATGCTACCGCGGCCCTCACGCGGTCATCATAATTGGTCAGTGCATTCGCCCGGATTGCGAAGGGTGCGGGTTCGAGTCCCGTCTGCTGCCTGGTCCGCGTGGAATTTTTTCTAGTTATATTTTCTTTAGATTTAAACATCAAGCAGTTACATGCTTTAAAAATAATAAAAATTATAACTATAATTGCTATTTCTTCTTTCAAATGTTTAATACTTGTAAAAGTATTCATTTGACATTGTGGGTTTACCTATAATGCGAAGAGATGGCGCTGCCTTGCAGCTTAAGAATAGCTAGAAAGAATTTCGACGCGGTCCGTGAGGGCCGCGGTAGCATAATTGGTCAGTGCATTCGCCCGGATTGCGAAGGGTGCGGGTTCGAGTCCCGTCTGCTGCCTGGTCCGCGTGGAATTTTTTCTAGTTATATTTTCTTTAGATTTAAACATCAAGCAGTTACATGCTTTAAAAATAATAAAAATTATAACTATAATTGCTATTTCTTCTTTCAAATGTTTAATACTTGTAAAAGTATTCATTTGACATTGTGGGTTTACCTATAATGCGAAGAGATGGCGCTGCCTTGCAGCTTAAGAATAGCTAGAAAGAATTTCGACGCGGTCCGTGAGGGCCGCGGTAGCATAATTGGTCAGTGCATTCGCCCGGATTGCGAAGGGTGCGGGTTCGAGTCCCGTCTGCTGCCTGGTCCGCGTGGAATTTTTTCTAGTTATATTTTCTTTAGATTTAAACATCAAGCAGTTACATGCTTTAAAAATAATAAAAATTATAACTATAATTGCTATTTCTTCTTTCAAATGTTTAATACTTGTAAAAGTATTCATTTGACATTGTGGGTTTACCTATAATGCGAAGAGATGGCGCTGCCTTGCAGCTTAAGAATAGCTAGAAAGAATTTCGACGCGGTCCGTGAGGGCCGCGGTAGCATAATTGGTCAGTGCATTCGCCCGGATTGCGAAGGGTGCGGGTTCGAGTCCCGTCTGCTGCCTGGTCCGCGTGGAATTTTTTCTAGTTATATTTTCTTTAGATTTAAACATCAAGCAGTTACATGCTTTAAAAATAATAAAAATTATAACTATAATTGCTATTTCTTCTTTCAAATGTTTAATACTTGTAAAAGTATTCATTTGACATTGTGGGTTTACCTATAATGCGAAGAGATGGCGCTGCCTTGCAGCTTAAGAATAGCTAGAAAGAATTTCGACGCGGTCCGTGAGGGCCGCGGTAGCATAATTGGTCAGTGCATTCGCCCGGATTGCGAAGGGTGCGGGTTCGAGTCCCGTCTGCTGCCTGGTCCGCGTGGAATTTTTTCTAGTTATATTTTCTTTAGATTTAAACATCAAGCAGTTACATGCTTTAAAAATAATAAAAATTATAACTATAATTGCTATTTCTTCTTTCAAATGTTTAATACTTGTAAAAGTATTCATTTGACATTGTGGGTTTACCTATAATGCGAAGAGATGGCGCTGCCTTGCAGCTTAAGAATAGCTAGAAAGAATTTCGACGCGGTCCGTGAGGGCCGCGGTAGCATAATTGGTCAGTGCATTCGCCCGGATTGCGAAGGGTGCGGGTTCGAGTCCCGTCTGCTGCCTGGTCCGCGTGGAATTTTTTCTAGTTATATTTTCTTTAGATTTAAACATCAAGCAGTTACATGCTTTAAAAATAATAAAAATTATAACTATAATTGCTATTTCTTCTTTCAAATGTTTAATACTTGTAAAAGTATTCATTTGACATTGTGGGTTTACCTATAATGCGAAGAGATGGCGCTGCCTTGCAGCTTAAGAATAGCTAGAAAGAATTTCGACGCGGTCCGTGAGGGCCGCGGTAGCATAATTGGTCAGTGCATTCGCCCGGATTGCGAAGGGTGCGGGTTCGAGTCCCGTCTGCTGCCTGGTCCGCGTGGAATTTTTTCTAGTTATATTTTCTTTAGATTTACAGTACTTACTTTAATGCTAGGCTAATTGGTGTGACGGTAAATAAATATGTAGGTAGGTACTTATATTATTTATTTTTGTCAAATTTTCAGTTCCTCCGCAAAGCGGTAGAGGTCGGTAAAGTGAACTGCATATCGGATCGCAGTTTATGCCAAAACGAGCACATCACCAGCTATCCTTCCCTAAGGCTGTATTTGCCCAGAAACGACTATCAGACTTTCAGCAGAGTTATATCCGTACAACTGAAGGACTACAATGGCCTACTGGAAGAAATCAAGGAATACCTAACACATTACGACGATAGTCTACTAGATAGGATAGACTTCGGTATAAGAAACCAGAGGTTCAATATTAAACATGATGAGTTTTAATGGCAATAATGGGTTTATACCATTTGTGCGTCTTAAGCTTAGATTAAAACAAAAGGGAAGATACGGCACTCGCGGCTCAAACATGATCCGCTTAAATTGTGGTGCATGTGCACTCAATATAACAATATTGCGTTTATTCTGTGTTATAAAGATAAAACAATGCCTTAGAAGCTTTTATAAAGAACACAAATAGTTCAATATCAAATAACAAATTTGCATTTCACAGCAGCACTTTTCATTCGTAAAACTATGATTTTTTTTTTCTCATCGAAAATCACGGGTTGTCATGAATGTTATTTACTTTTTCGCCATTTGTTATTGGAAAAGGACAACAATACGGGAGAGAAAATCCAAGCGACGCGGAGTCGACGTTTAGCTCTCGCTGCGTTGAAGCGTACAGTACCCCTAACACGAACCAAAATCGACTTCGTAACGTTTGCGTGTCCGAAATGTCATCTGTCAAATGTGTACTGATTTTTAGTTCCCGTTACGTACTTTGTGCCGCTGCTGTTCAAGGTTCCATACAAAATTTGACATTGACATTTTGGTTTGCAAACTATTCAAATTCGATAATGGCTCGTGCTAGGGTTACTGTTCTGTCTCGCTCGCTCGATTGAATGTTTATTTACAGAAGTGTGCATGTGTGAGAGTTGGTTATATAGTTGAGTCGGAGCATAATTTATTTGATGCTAGTATGAGCGTACCGTATCTTCCCTTTTTGTTTTAATCTAAGGTCTTAAACTGGCCGCACACCAGACATACAATTGTATTACGATAATTATGGCGCCACATTTGAAACGCGACACAATTAACGTTCTGTTATATCTGCGTGTAAGCACGCAGTTTTCGGTTGTCGTTACAAATGCCTTTGAAAAATTTGTTCGTTACTAAATTTGCAAGCTTGCAGCCGATTTTCAATCTAATTTCGTTACAATAAGTGAGGCCACACACCGGAGGCACATGGTACATGTTTGCAGCATTTACCTTGCCACAATATGCGCGCTGGCCTACGTTGCCACCGACTTACTGTGGCCACTATTCCTACACGAACAAAGAAAATTGATGACTCATTTCGTTTCGTACTATTCGTAAGTGGAATTCTTTACCCGCGCACGTGTTCCCTTCTTCCTACGATCCGGGGTCCTTTGAGAGAGGCGTAAAGAAGCATTTTTGCAGGTCGGCAAGGTGATGATGATTGGTGTGGTAGTATGTAATTCCTGTACCAGCATCACTTAACATCAGGTGGGGTAGATTCATTTGTCTACCTGAATATATATAAAAAAAAATATGCACGCTACATTTTTGTTTTCGACTCACTACTAAATGCACCCGCTACAAATGTGTCCTTGGTGTGCGTCCTTACACGCAGATATATGTGTCACGTTTCAAATGTGGCGCTACAATTATCGTAATGCAATTATTGTATGTCTGGTGTGCGAACCGCCTAAGAGCGATATTGGTATGAACACAACTCACTGTTGGTCCTTAAACTGCACGAGTTTATAGAGAAAATTTGTTAATAATATAGAAAATACATTATTGTGTACGTAATATGCGCGGGCGCATAATGAGTATGATCTTGATTCAAAATAATGTTCCTCAATGGGAAACAGTGAAAATACTTTCCCAGTTATATTATATTTCTTAGCATATTCGTGATGACGATATTTGTGCCAATAAAAGTCGTAATTTAGTAAATCTCAATCTTGTACCAGAATCTCTATTAGTAAATTCAGGGATTCTGAATAAACTTTTCACAAAATATACGTAATTTGGCTTTAACAAAATAAATGCTTGTAATGTCAATAGGGATGATGATGGAGTAAAGTAAACGAAACACTATGATGTCCGTCGGTTAGAAAATAAAAAAATAATGGGCACGTATTTTTTCTTTTGTCCATCAACCAAAACATAACACAGATGAAGCGCGTCAAAGTTTGGTAGTCTGTGCGGAAAGAGAATGGGCGTAGCGAAAAACGGAACTAACATCAAGATTTTTATTTGGCAATCAAACCCAGCAATCTGTAAAACGTCAAAGTTTTGTATTGATACGGATTTGTTTGTTGTTGTGATTTCTTGTGGTTTTTTGTATTTAATCACGTCTAAAAGGGATAAAACCTTACAAATACGGTAGAAAAGCACTACAGCGCCCTCCGATCTAAATCCCATTGTCTTCCCGCACAGACTCTACCTTACTCTTCATCATATTCGTATTAAGTTCTTTGTACACTGTATTGACTATAATTCTAAACTTACTAATCCTTATAAATTGATTTTCAATATTGTTTTACAAACATTGTGCTTGTTTAGTGCAAAACACCTGTCTTAATTATGAATATTTGTTTCTTAGGTTTTCACGCACATCACTCATTAAACAAAACTAGTTTTTCACAGGTTAATGCACGAAACTTTATTTATTTATTGACGTTGCGAAACGTTATTTATTTATTGAAAAACTAGTTTTATTTAATTATGAATTTTGAATCGTACTGCGTAAGGCGAAAATCCTTTGCACTTTTTTTGGTGAATAGAGTTTAAAAAAAATCCGTGTATTTAAATACGTCCTGTTGGAGTGTATGAACTTAGGAGCTGAATTTAACAACAATTTTAATTGATTTTAACCTCAATTAGATCCAATAATATATACAAATAGTTACAGAAACTTTTTGGCACTTGTGGCGATGATGGCGCTTGATTTAGATGTCGTTACAGGAAAACTAGAACAAACTATGTTCAAGTGTTAAGGCAACAAAAACTTTTATTGACCAATGCCTAATAATATCAGACCATCTACTAGGCTCTCAAAACAAGAATTAAAGTATAGAAGTACTGCGAATTTCGCATATGACGTTTGAGCGTATACTCCCATAGACAATAAATTAACGAAAAGATTTCCAAACAAAGTATTAGCCAACCAAAAAGTATTAGTGGCGTGTTGGCAGGTTGCATTTGACATTAGATCCCTAATTAATTCGGTGTCGTAAAGGTAACCATTACATCCACACTCAGAACAAGAACTAGTATTCATAGTTTGTTTCATAGCAACATATATTTATACCTTTTTAGGTCGAGATAAGTATATGAGTCGGCTTTATGAGTTTAATTTAAAATGTTTTTGTTCTGAGTATATACAAGACATACAAAGGTATCCATTTCCAATTTGACGTTAGTAAAGTGGTACGCACGCTGTTCATGCAACATATGATTCTCTCTGTATTATTCTCTTAATGTAAAAATAAGATTATTGTAAAATTGAATAAAATAAATAAAATTAAAGTTGCATTTTAAACTCTTTCTATGCTTTGGTTCTTGTTCTGAGACTATTTGTTATTTTATTAGTAAATTAAAAATAGCTGTTATACATTAGAAGTTAGCTATTTAAGAAAAAAACAAATCACAATTTTAAAACTAATAGTGATGACGAAAGCCATGCAAAATGTATTGTTGTTGTTACTCCGGCTCAGGGACGGATTTAGTTGTTTCACCCTCATTGGTTCAATTCGGCCCTGCTCCGGCAGCTCGTGAGACGCAATTTTCCATCCTTATTCTTTGTAAGCTATTACGTGGTAAAAGAGGCGTTCCGTAGAATTAATGCAACGATATTAAATATCCTAGTAGATACAACAACACAAACAAAATCGTTGCCGAAACCTATCCAAAACATACTTTGGATGATCCACGGAGCTCCTTAAGATGATGACGTTGTCAATAACAACATTAAGGCATTGTTTAAACATTAAAAATCAAATCATGCGTCAAAGAGTTGTGACAGAGCGAATGGCAAGCTCGTAAAATTTTACGACTTATTGCTATATTCGGAAGAATATAGACCTTATTTCTTTGACTCAACGCGCAATTCTGAATGCGCTGTTAGTAAAATACGGTGTCAGTTAAGTACGGACCGCGAGGAAAAGAGACGGCTATATAACCGACTATGCATTTTAATATCACAAAGATTTCATATTAAATCAGTTTATAGTAAGTATTAGAACATACAAATTAAACGTTAAATTAATAAACATAGATTAGATACCTGCCGAAACAACGACACTTACCGTACCTACTATAAGTATATTTTTCGCATTTTTCACGAAGCTCTGTGGCATCTTGACTTATTAATGGTCCGCGCGTTACTGAACCAAGAACTGCTTGAGTTGAGTTCAAGCACTTTTTGATTGGGACACATTTTGAGTGCACGTGGTGTATCTAGCTAGGGTATTTAATATCGTTGATTAAATGACCGAAAGCTGTTTTAATCGCTATCAATATTTTCGTAATAATCGTTATCTTCTGCGTGTACGCCTCCCTGTTTCAGACGGTTAATTAAAAAAGATTGCAGCTGTTAATAAGCAATTAAATATATGCTTTATTTCGATTGTTTTAAGATTCATTATCATCACATTAGTGATGTGCAGCTGCTGTGTATACATTATATTAGTTCTAAGTTTGAACAGATTTAGTATCAATAAGGAATAGGGTATTTGACAAGTTTTAGAAAACGATCTCACGTTATTAACTTATATTTATGGAGTCAATAAAATGTGGATATTTTTAATTCTGTTGTGCAACTCAGTAAAAAACTAAATTAAAAAAATCAATTTTCGAGTTGCCGCGAAAACGTTTACCTGAACAATTAAATACAGATGCCCACGATTGGTATATAATTTTTCATACTGTCAAATAGCCTATTTGGATAAGAAACTTATGATGTGATTTTAATATTGGACGAAAGGCTGCTTTTGGGGCTATTCCCAATAGGTCTTAAATTTATTTTTATTTATTTTCTACTAATTTAAAATGCTTTAAAACCGTAACCTTACTGATACTGAATAATTTCGTAACGCATTTTTTTCCATTTTGTTTGGATTTTTAATAGGATCGAGTTCGACCGAAGTTCATAATCGGTAGTCTCAAAAATAAGAGTGCGGCAAAGCAATGATCACTTTTTGTGTATCTGTTTAATTCTATTTTGTGGGTACCTACACGTATTGTGTAGATACCTACGTTGAAATCAACCAATGTAAGTGCATTTAATGTTATCATTCCAAAAATAACTTTTAAACAAAAGAGAACTACATATACTAATTATTCTATTATGATGCTTGTAGATTTTGCATGTTTTTCAGTTCTTGTTTAAGTTTAAGTAGTCTTCTACACCTGCACCGCCTTTTTCTAGGATCACAATGTTTTGCTGACATGTTTGGTTAACAATGGGTTTATTGCAAATGTTAGGTGTTATAATAAGGTATTTGACAAGTTTTAGAAATCGATCTCACGTTATTGACTAATGTCATTTTCAAGTTACCGCGAAAACGTTTTTCGGGACAATATGGTGTCTTACTAGTGTGTGAGGTCACACGACTGTCATTAAGACGTCAAACGATAAAATGTAATGTCACTTCTGGAAGTTTACTTGCGTGTGACGTCATTTTAGGCTCCGCCAACCCCAAGCGTTTTGGGTCACATGACAATATATAAGAAAACTATTATCTTTTTCGTGGGTTTTTAGTAAAATTATGAATATTATTTTTGTAAAAATAGTAAAAACCCCCGTATTTTAATATTAAAGACATTAGAATTATAATAACTATACAATTTATATAATATTCATTTTAAACACAGATACTAACAATTGGCACTTTATTTATACCCTATTATAGCTAACATAAAAGCTATGCCCGTTTTCTATGAAATGTTATGTGTATGTTGGATCTAACAAAAAGGTGCAGCAAGATCCGACATATGAGTAGCTATTAACGTAATGGCTTGATTACACTTGGTCGTTAGCCCGTATTCGGGTACATGAAAGGCATTACTCAAATTCGGGCACCCGAAGCAATATTTACACAAGAATACGGGCTGGAAGACGGTTACGGGTAAACAAAACACGGACTACCCGGATACGTGCGTACTCCACTCCGTTCATTTACAGTTAGCCGTTTACCCGAATTCCATCGGCACTCGTATTTGGGCTAAAGACCAAATGTAATCGCGCAATTATGACTGTAAAAATATTATTATGAAATCGAAATATAGTTAACCTTATTGCTATTGCGATAAGGTTAACGATCATTACTAACAGATATTTTTTTTATATTACGGTATAATGTTCTAAATAGTTTGCGATTTTCTACCTACATAACAATATAACATTCCAATAACAATATTCTATGTTTACTTAATATATAATCATAAAATGAATTAATATTATGAAAATCTCAATTATGTATGTATACTTTTTTTTTGTTTTTTGGTTTCATTAACTAATATATTGCAATGAAACCACCAAATTGTTCTATTATTTAATAACCTTTTGAAAACGATGCATTTACGATAGTTATAACAGCAATACTTTTATATTATTTTTAAAGAGACCACACTTTTGCCAGATATAATGATATAAATTTGAGGACCTCCGTTGCGCGAGTGAAACCTACTACGTTCGCCAGGTATCAAGGTGTCGCCTACTCGAGGTCCCGGTTTCGAATCCCTGAGGGGCAAATGTTTGCATGATGAATACAAGAAGAATATTGTACCCAAGTCTATATTTATAGTGTTTTTCTAGATGTACTCATATATTATGTTTCATTATATGTATTCTATCCCACTGTCCCATAAAACAAGCTTTACGGTGCCTACTTTGGGGAAATAAAATTGGTGGTCATGAAATTCCTTTATCCTTGTTTTTTCTATAGTAGATAAATGAATAATTATTTAAATTCATCAAAAAGCTCCTAATTCTGGGGTTAATAAAGAAAAATGAAATAATAATATGCATATTTTTTGTGTTTTTAATATAATTAAATAGAAGTGACTAATTTGAGAATAACTAATGAATTACAGGCATTTTCACGTACAGCATCTGTAATAAAACAAATAAATATTATTAACACTATTATTTTAAGTCTGCATGGAATTTTTTCTAGTTATATTTTCTTTAGATTTAAACATCAAGCAGTTACATGCTTTAAAATAATAAAATTTATAAGTATTTTCTGATTAATTAGGGGGTGTCTTTAATTATGTTACCATCACTGTACATATTTTAATACTTGTGTTGGTTTCTAAAGATAGTAGTCATTATAATATATTCTAAAAAAATATATTGCTGAAAAAAACAGTTGTTACTCAAAGCAGTGTTCTTAAAAATTTAAATTTCATAGAAATTTAATTTAGTTTAATTTATCATTTGTTAAAAAAACAGAAGTTTATTTGATTTAAATATTATTTAAATTGATTGTGAGTTTTTTTTTTCATTTAATATAATTGATAACTAATTGGTACAAAAAATAGTTAGCCTTACTGTTTAAAAACATATCATATTAACAATAATTTAAATATTCATAAAATTAAAATACGAACATGAAAAAATATACTAATATTCGGCCGAACATTCGGAGCATCTCTATTAATAATAATAGATTTTATTGAGAGACAAGTGTACAAAAGCCTTACTCCCTTCTATTGGCACTAAAATCTGATGTCTTAAAATAAATAAAATAGGGAAGAATGAAGAGTGGACCACACTGGAAGCTCTACTAAAACAATGACATAAGCACAATCAAACAAGTTCACACCCAATGTGGCCTCTTTGAGAGTAGATATATCTAACAAAAGCATTTACATCATTATTCCTGTTTAGCTGAGCATCAATTACATCTTGGTCTACACTGCACGGCAGAAAGAAATCCACTGGTTCATACAGTCCCTTAGAGTCAAGCACCAAACGGTCTTCACCAACTTCTAAATTCAAATCTTTCAGTTCAACCTGTGAGTGCAAATAAAATTTATTTTATTACAACAAAAATAATTTTATACAAGGTTAAATTAAAATAAAACTTAAATTAATTAACTTAAATTCAAAACGCTACTACTACAGCCACACAATTCTTTCTATCATACTAGGCTGAAATAAATCAGAAACCGGTTTGGCAAGAGCGTACAAACCAATTTAAAATTATTTAACCATTTGTATTAAAACTATAGCATTTACGTATATAATTATTAAACAAAGTACATACAGATGCTGGTACTCTAAATTCAGCTAACAAATATTCAATTTCTCCAGTTGGTGGTTCTCTTCTTAGTCTATAAATAATTTCCTTCTTTGTTCTGTTAGTTATCTCTGTAATTTTTGCAGGCTTATCTCCTATCTCTTCAATGAGTGGAGACTTAGTATTCTCTTCGCATTTTTTAATATCTCTTATTTGAATTCTGTGAGACTGGAGTGTGCCAATAGACTTTCGATTCTTCAATATGGTATACTTTTGGATATCCAATTCAAACTGATATTTATCTTGGAGACCTTCAAATACAACTGTCAGGAAGAAAGTGCGAAACAAGTCATCATTTTCAATTTTTTTAAAGAACTCCGGGTTAATGGCTACATCATAAACAGTTGCTGGTGCACCCGATTTGTCCGGTTCAGTTCTGCCTTCACCTATACTCATAGGCACTCTGTAACTAGACGGATCTTCGGAACTAAGTATTTGCATCAGTTCATCATTAGTGATGTCTCTTGGACATGGTATTGCTGCAGTCAAACATATGTTTACAAAGACCTTCTTGCTATCAGGCTTTGAGAAAGTCTTAACACAAAATCCTGGAAACAGTTAATGGGGATTTTTTTATTAAAATCTTACAATATTAAAATAATATTTCCATTTAGCAACACATATTATTATAATGGCTTAACAGACACAAACAACAGAAAAGTGTGCTGTTCCTATCTTCATCTTGCCAGCTTGAATTTAATCTCTTATCCAGATCTAGTACCACACTCACCAAGAAACAAAACAACACCAAAAGTTAGTGGTGTTACTTGTTACTTCATACTACCTATTCCTTTCTGTTAAGGAATTTTAAATGAAGGAGTAAAAAATTAAAGGAAAGTTTTCTCTTTCCATAAAACCTTCACATACCTGAAATTTGGGATCTAAGCAATTTATGTGCTGTCAACCGAATATGCATGTTGTGCTTAGGGTTGCCAACCCTACTATATAATATAGTATCCTACTAGGTGAAACTACTATAATTTGCTTATAACAGACTTTTGCCAGTAAAAGCTTTCTTATAATAAAACTGAAGTATAGAAAAAAGGTAAAGAGCAGTAAAAATATACTCATTTCAAAAATAAAGTAAATATTTTTAACCACAAACTATATTTTTTCCATTTTTTTCATCTACTATATTTTTAGAGGTAACAGCTTCGAAAATACTTCATTTGATAGAAAAAAAGTTGGTAACCATATTGTGCTACTAAATTCCTTCACTACTACCAATACTAGTACTCGGAAACAGGTTATGATTGGTGTTTGTTTAAAATTTATGTTCGAATTAATGGGTATGAGTTAGGGTGTTTCATTCACACAACCTATGCACTAAAGTCTGTCCATTCATTTATTATCTTTTTGACAGATCAATCAAAGTAAAAATAGTGGCACCCTATCACATAACTGGTTCGATTTAAAGCTATAATCAATTTTATGATAAAACATTGTTCAATCAATTATAAGTATCAAAATTATTTTAGTTATCAAAAATACTGGTGTTTAATAAATTATTACAAAATCTCATTAGATTTAATATTTTACCTAGAACAAATATCTGTGTGATGGATGAGCACGAGTATTTGTTCTATGTCTGGGTGTGATTTATCTATAATATGTATAAAAAAGCAGTATACGTCTGAATAAATTAAAAATAAACTAAGAAGAAATTTATATAATGCACTTTATGTAATGTTAATATTTTAATTACTTGGTTTCTACCTTACAATTTCGTTGTACCCATTTATTTCTACAGATTATTTGTAATGTGGCACAATCTTAGTAATCATTGTGTGGCACATCACTAAGTGGGCGGTACCCGTCCATGAAGTACAATATTATTTGTATGACATTTTAATGTAAACAATACAATATTTCATGGGCATTGATCAGTCAAAAAGATAATAAATGAATGAAGAGACTAGAATGAGACTAACTTCTCTGTGAAAATAAAATTTGCATACAAAATTAATAATTATACGCACCTGGTGTTGGTTTTACAAGTTTTGAAGGCACTGGATCCACTGTTGCTAAGAGTTTGTTGAACTCTTCTTCGACAGGGTTTTCCTGTAAATTATCGTTTTTCATAAGAATTCACCAGTACATCTCATTGAGCGTCAATAAATTGAACTAATTGAGTCCAACTAATATTATTTAAGAGAAAGTCTGTATTTTTGTTACCTACTCAATTAACGCAAATATGGATTTGGATGTTTGGTACTGAATACATAATGACCTGGAATGAGAGGATACTTTTTATCCTGGATAATGTTAAATCGCGGGCGGTCGCTAGCAGCTTTATAAATAAGAAAATATAGAAAGTAAATACATATGTAATTATTTACCTTCACAATTCTCATGTTTTTTTCCAGTATCGTAGAGTCAACTTCCAATGATATAGACTTTTTAGTCATTTTGTTTGGTTACCATGGAAGTTTTGCAAATAAATTAAAATAAACTCTGGAAAGAATTCACAACGCAACCAATAAAACATTTTTTTAACTTTCTGCCTTTTCGGGGAAGGCAAAGGGAACAATGTCCATGCAACCTAGTCTATAACTAAACTAAACTTATTAATGCCCTTTTTTTTACATTACAAATACAATGTGGGTTTGACACATTCTAATGTTTCTCGGAGTGTAAGGTACGAAATGTTTCGAGCCAGCTTTTACAATAAGCATCTGTGAGGGAGTCAACACTACAATATCTATTTAATGGCTGGTTCATGCGTCATGCTAGTGAACAGATGCTGCCAGCAAAGATGAGTCTGCTGACAGGTGGACACTCAAATGTCCCTGGACGTTTTAAAGGCTATGCTACTTTATTATTATAATGATAAATAATTACTTAATTTAATTACACTATTTGTATTTATACTGTATGACACTGCAAAAAAACGAAGGTGAACATTAATTATTGGGATATTTTTAAATGCTCAGCAAATAACTTATTTATTTACTTTATTGTAGAGTTGACTACCTCACAGAGGCTTATTGAGAATGCTCACTTGTTACATTTCGTGCCACACACTCCTAGAAAAATTAGAATGTAGCTTAGAATATGTAATGTAATAAAAGAACATTAATAAAACTATAAACTAAGCTGTATGGGCATTGTTCCCTTTGACTTACTTGAAAACGGAGAACGTTATAAAAAGCAAAATGCCAAACCCTAATCCCTATAAACTTGATTTCCTAGGGATGGCACTAGATGCAAAAATAATCGATTATTTCCACTGTGTAGATTCCAATAAACGATTAATTACTTTAATGATAATGATTGAGCAAAGTAAAAGAGTTCCAGGCTTTTCATAAAGATAGATGCTTCGCTGAGATTCTTAAAAATATATTATACAATGAAATTGACATGACCTGAAAAACATAAAATGGTATTATATTACAAATAAAAGAATTACAATTTTGAAATAAGACTATTTATTTAATCGCTATATTTCCACTGAGTTTCATCTAGTTAAACCGAGGACAGTAAAATGACAATAGAAATATGAGAATCAGTCAAACCTCATGTCAATGGCAATTTGCCCAGCTTCTATAAAATAGTTTTTAGAAGGCACGGACGTTGAAATTATTGCTTTTACTATTTAAAGTATTTAATTTAGGTATGCCTCTATTATTTGTTATAAAATTCATAATCTATGTAAAAATTAATCTGTTTTTGTTATTGATATTACATTTCAAGTTATATGTTTGAAGACGATTTCGTGAATTATCTTATATAATGATGTTATTTTTCAATTGAATATCTCTGTATAATAATAATATTTACATCTAATATATAAAATTCTCGTATCGCGGTGTTTGTGGTTAAACTCCTCCGAAACCGCTTTCCCGATTCTCATGAAATTTTGTATGCATATTGGGTAGGTCTGAGAATCGGTCAACATCTATTTTTCATCCCCCTAAATGTTAAGGGTAATCCAGCCCTAAATTTCTTTTTTCAATTTTAGATATATTTTTTTTATTTTTTATGATACATCATACAAAAATACATACATCCCTAAATTTTCAACTTTCTACCACCAACCCCTATTTTTTTATGGCGGCGCGAAGTTCGCTGGGTCAGCTAGTTATATATAATAATACAGAGAATCTTATAAAGCTCCTGTGTTTCTGGCCAGTCATTTTCAGTACAAGGTCTCCCACCGTAGATTTGCGATCGCATGGCTTAGTTTTTCAACATTAATGCATATGCACAAAACAGCCTAAACTCGATAAACAATATTGAAAGGAGATTGCTCAAATTGGCCTAAATGCACAAAAAATATTGACATACACGGTAATTCTTGGCGTAATTTATAATTTAATTTACAGTCATTAGATTTCAACGGACACCTTTGTATAATATATTTACTTTAAAAAGGACTTTTAATTTTACCGGTTTGGAAAACATACGAATCATTTTTAATGGCTATGGGTGTAGTAACATTCAGCCAAAGACTGATCGAAGTTGTTTATATAACATAAAAACAAATCTATTTTGATAAGATCGATAAAATTTTCTTTTTATTACACTGTGGTATTAATATCCACCACTATATTATCATTTTCACTAGATGCAAATGTGCTCAGACAATTATTCTAGATGGTAGGCGACATCATAAAGTCTATTGCTATACATTTTTCGCCAAAGACTTCCATAAACACATTATAATCTGTATATATGTTAGACTTTAAGGTATCTATCTATGGGCCTACGTTCCCTGACTATAAATTAATTAATAAATAAAATTATAAGGTGTGATACACTAAAAATCTAAAATATGGTTATCTTAAAAACATAAAAAAAATAATGAAGCTACTGAATATATGGCTATAGAACCTAAATCTCTTAGCTTTCTTTGGTTAACGAGAGTATAAAAATGCTCTCTAATCTGTGGCTCATTCACAATCATCACACAGTTTCTGCCACAGAGTACCTTATTATAACCGGAAATGACACCTGATTTTAAAAGTTACTCTTATGCATTAACTTTAAAAACAGGCTACTATCTGTTAATCTACATGCTCTATATACCTGAATCTAATCCATAATTTCGGTATTTGGCTTCATTTCCCTAGTTTACTATATAACTTTTTTGTTTTTTATTATTTTAATATGTTCAGTGTATATGGTTTATAGAAGTTCTCAGGGGTGTCCGTCAATTGAAAAAAAAAACAGTAATTTATATATAATTTCGAATCAATAAAACAATTTTTCATGATTATTGGTCTTTAGGCCAAACATGTATAAAAGCTGAGCAATCTTCTTTGTCCTTATTAGTTTTTTAGATTAATTTACATATAGGTTAATAAATATATATATTAGAAAAGAGAAGTTTGATTTTGAATGATAAACAGTATACATTCAGCTAGTGATATTTGGAGGAAGAGATATATTATAAACATTGAAAATAAAACCAATTTGAGAGAGGTCCATAAAATTTATGTCTTATTCATTATGTTAAAGTATTTATTCAATAATAACTTCTTCCAAAATTGGCTATACATATTAGTTATTCTTATAAAATATCTCTTACAATATTATAAATTAATTGCCCTCGTAAGAATTCTCAGATCTTAGCATTAAATTGACAAGTTTAGCATAAAAATAATTATCTCAAAAAAAAAAACAGAATTGTTAATCCGTAGATATTTTTGTTCAAGTTGACATGTAGAATCAATAAAAGTAGCTTCAACAGCATGAATGTTATATATTACTTACTAGTCAAAGACAGAGATGTTTTTGAAGACTCAAGACTAAGGGCACGGCCACAGCGCACGCAGGTTCAGAATCAGATTCAGACCCAGAAAACGAGCGCGAGAAATGAACAGTGTAGTTTAAGCAGGGTGGCCATAGTGGCAGCAGGCAACCTGCTTAAATTACACTGTTTCTTTCTCGCGCTTGTTTTCTCGAGTTGTTTGTTTTTGCGAGTCTGAATCTGATTCTGAGTCTGCGTGCACTGTGGCCGTACCCTAAGCTTGTTATATTAATTTTTGGAGTTTGTTTCAAGTTTAGGCTTCGTTAATGTAAGGATAATCCCTTTTATTAACAAAGCCTAAACATGAATTACACTTTCTTTATGAAGGTAAATGTGATTGTCAGTGTAAAATAATCAATTAAATCGATTATTTCAATTAATCATAAATAAATATAACTCAAGATTAATCTATTAATTGAATCAATATTGAACATCCCTACATATGCCAAACTCTAAGTAGGTAGGTGGAATGGAAGGTACGTCAAACGTCATGAGAACTAGGTCGAAAAAATAGTAGTTACATGTCTAACTTTGCATTATTTTAACTACATTAAGGCCCCCTTCGGGAGAAAACTATAGCATAAGCAACGCAGTTGAGGGTCTATCCCACGATGATAAATTGCTTCTACGGGATAGATAGTACATAACCTCGGTGGAATCTTAATCAAAGGTAAAGGTACAACAGCCACCTATTCTCAGGATTTGTTTGCCATATTTTATCTATTAACGCTTGCTTTTACATATTTAGAGTGGATTTTATAATCCTGCATAGATTATCACGTCGTATTTTACATTACTTAATTGGCTAAGTTTACATTGACCTATGTAGAAATAATATCTTTCCATTATATTTGCTTACGTTATATTTGTGTTATATTGAACACTTGCACATTCCTGCTGTATTTCCCGAAAAAAAAAACAATTTGATAATGCAATCAGTCCATCTACAGGATTTGAAAAAAGTACCTGGACAAGTGATAAATAATTAATTTTATGTTAAAAATGCAAGATAACTTGCTATATTTAATGTATGCCAGTTTAACTTCAAATTACTTCAAATACCATAGCTTTATTTAAGAAATATTACCTATTTATTCACTTAAAATATTGAAATTTCTAATTAAAGTGTTTTTCAAAAGATATTTAATCTGATTATGATAAGATAATTTTGAAAAACATTAAACAAAGATTTTTCTTTATGGTGCTTCTCAAAATGTTATGATGTATGATGAAACATAAAACTTTTAACAGATTCATTAAAATTAAAACAGTAAAAATTTTGTTAAATAACTTTGAAATGCACTTAAATATGAAATAAATTACGATTGATGACCAGACCACCGGACCATAAAGTAATACATTAAAAAGTTTTGATTGAACAGCATAAATACAATCCGTAGTAAAAGACGTCTGTACACAATTTTTAAATTCATTGATATTAATTGCAATTTCAAAACAAACATACATTACGTAAGTTTAATATAAAATATATAAATATTTAATAAAATCAATCTGCAATATTGGTAAGTGTAAATAAACCAATCATCAACACAAACATGCTTTACATTGGTTTTTCCCCAATTTAGTCCGACTAGAACGAGCTTACCTAGAAAATGTAGTCATTCAATTACATTTTCTTGAGAGTTTAACAAATCAAGTTTTGCTAAATAATGCAGTATTGTTCTATTAAGTTGTTAATTTGAGAAAGCAATAAAATCTCTAATATTATACGTATTTTGCATTTAATATAAGTATATAGGTTATATCTGTAATAATCTACCCACCATCACATACTGCAATATAATTTGTAACAAGTGGGTGCCTGTGACTTTGGCTGCTTTGTTTAAAATTGTTCTTTACAAAATTTCATTCCCCATTATTCCCTCTTTAAGTTTTATTTGCATGACAAAAAGAAGTCTACTAAGTTATAATTTTAATATTTTTTTTAAGCATGTAACTGCTTGATGTTTAAATCTAAAGAAAAGATAATTAGAAAAAAAATCTACGCGGACCAGGCAGCAGACGGGACTCGAACCCGCACCCTTCGCAATCCGGGCGAATGCACTGACCAATTATGCTACAGCGGCCCTCGCGGACCGCGTCGAAATTGTTCTAGCCATTCTTAAGCAGCGCCATTTCTTCGCATTCTCTTGTCGCAAGTCTACTAAGTTCCTACTATCTCTATACCAAAATTCAGCATAATTGATTCAGTTTTTTAGGTACACTATTCTCACTTTCCTTTTTATAATATCAGTTAGGATATCAGTAATTTATTATTTTAGAATAGAATGTAGATAGGTAGGGATTTACTTTATATTCTATAAGATATGTAAAATATTGGATTTCTTAAAAAAGAAAGATATTATTATCAGTTGCTATGCTGGAACACATTTAAACATGGACTTGCTTTTAAAACATAATTTGTGTAAAGTTCATATGACAAGTATCTAATTAGCTCCAAAACATTATTTTTGTATTACTGGTTTTATTTACTTTTTTTTCTCAATTCAGAATTGAATTGTTTGAAACAACTAGAGATAACCTCTTGGCTTTCTGATTGGTAATGCATACTGTAATCAGCTCTGTAAGTGGCAATAACTGCAATATTGGCCTTCCTTTTAGTTTGTTACAAAAATATTTTATGGTTCTAAAAAACATTACCAAATAAAATATAGTAATTGTGTGTATATATATTTTTCAGAACAGAAGATTACTTCCTTATGGCATAGTAAATATGGCTGACAAACTTACCTTGGATTATACTGAAAGAGAGCTGAATTTGGGTGCCAGCTTTACGAATAATAAGTCCTCACAATATCATACAATTAAATGTAAGTAAAGCACACTATTAAAATTAAAAAGTGAAACATAGAATCAACTTTAAATATAACCAATATATGTGAGGTTCTCTGCTTCAAAAATACAAATAAAACAACGGTTCCAATCTAAATTATTGCGTATGATTGCTGATGCTCCATGGTACATAACAAATGATCAATTACACAAATTAGGTGTTCAAACAGTTAGGGGTCTGATTCTATCGTGAATGCAATCATGCTCTGCCATAGCAAATACTTAAGTAATATTGTAAAGACCGCAGCATGTAAGTCTAGCGGTGAGCGTTAAAAGTCAGAATCAAGAGTAAGGGTATCCCAGGGAGAGAGTGGGTTATGGGGCAGGCGTGCTTAACGCTAATTGGATCCCCAGTCACACTTTACCCCTCACACCATGCGCAACTATCCACTCTACACTTTGTTCATTCATTCATGTTAAGCAATGAATATAGTTTTCATTTATTGATTCCACTTGAACCTTGAGATCCACAGGGGTGAAATTTTATGTTTTTGTGCATAAAATATTCATTGTAAAGACCTATTTTATTTCTACCATGAAAGGCTTGTTTCTCTGAACTAACACTTGTTCCAGATGATTTCAAGCCAGCATCCGTTGATGTCAACAAAATGGCGACGGTTGACGTCGGTACCACTAATCAAGTGACTGTAACAGTACCTCACCTTGGTAATTACAAGTCATTAGCAATCTCTTTCTAGTTGAGCAAATGCCCATTTACATTTGAAATGCAAATATGTAATATTAAAAGTTAACGAGTGTCTAATTACTGTAACCGTAATAAAAAGTTTTTATCAAGTATTAGGAAATGTATTTTATTAAAATAGCGATTATAATACTTTAATAAAGAAAAAATGTATACTCTAAATATATTTGTAATATCGACCACCCTTTTAATTTTCTATGATTGTCTGCCGTTTTATTGACTCTGCACATTCTTTCTGGTTGACTGGTAGAGAATGCCATGCTGGCATTAAGTCCGCCATATGCAATGTAAAGGCATTAAAAATTAAATAAATAAATAAGACAATAATTAGATACATATTTATATTTTTTGTTAACAGATGGTGCAGGTGTACCACAAACAGTATTTAAGGGTAGCCAGAGGCCTTACACAAAAGAATGTGTGCTAATCATTGATAAGGTCACCGGGGAAATCACATTAGAGAAACTATCTAGTAATATCCAAGTTAAAAAGACAAGGTGAGTAATAATTTCGCAGACTGAAAGGGTATAAAAACTTAATTTATAATAGTAACCCACCCCTACAGCTATCCAATATTTTTTTGTTATTTCATAAAAGTAATGCCCTATTCATCTCTATATTTTGGAAATGAAATTTAATATTGCTGTAATAACTATGTGATTATGTCAACAGTAATAACTATGTGTGAAAAGGGTATGATGTTTATAAATGAAGTTGAGAACAAAAAAATACATTTTGTCTGAAATAGTTGGAATATTCTTTAAATATTCCTTCTATAAATTATTATGTCCTTTGTTGGTGACTAATATTGCCACATATCTGTATGTTCCGCAAATAATTTACCTTGTTATTAAGTAACTCCTAGATTTTCCATAAGATTCATGGATTACTGAGCATTGCTTGAAATAAGGAAATAACTTAACAGCTTAACAGCATCTTGTTTTTAATAAAAATTCAATGCCAGATTGCAGCCATTAAAATAACTTATTAACGTGAGAGCAATATTATTGTAATCAAAATAAAGTAATGAAACATGATAAAACAGAAATAATTGCCAGCTCAGAGGTCCCGGGTTCTCATCCCGATAGGGTAAATGTTTGTATGATGAAAAAAAAAATGGGTTTCCTATACAAATTCCCAACCCTTTTTTATGTGAACCATTTTCATAATCAAGGGCTAAAAATCAAGATTTATCCCTGTCCTTTCCCGGGACTTGAACTATCTCTATATCAAATTTTATCTTAATTGGTTTAGTAGTTTAAACTTGAAGAGTTAACGGAAAGAAGAGACGAACCAGAAGCCCAACGGCCGCGGCTTCTGGTTCGACTCTTGCCTGTTCCAATCTAAAATGTTGCGTATGGTTGCTAATGCTCCATAGTACACAACAAATGATCAATTACACAAAGACTTAGGAGTACCAAATGTTAAACAAGAAATAGAAGAAGTTGTCAAATATTATTGACCACTCTAATGAAATGGCATCATGCCTCATTAGCATTGCCGACTCTTTCAAGAGGGTTGAAACCATTTTAACTTTGAGATCCACCGTTTTGCTTATAATATTACAATACAATACACAATTCTTTATTGAAAACACACACAGTACATAAATGGAGTAAATACATTATGTTTAAACATAGTGATTCAATTTGCGGTCTTATCGCCTTCCAGACAACCTTTGGATAGAGAGGATTGAAAGAAACTGGAGTCGGTGTTGTTATAAAAGAAACCAGGGATATAAAAATGTATATGACTATGTATTTTAAATATATATACATACATAATATAACTATAAGATATATACATATGATACATACATACACTACACATATTATTATGGATTGCCGCTTTTTTTAGGCAAGAGACGAACCAGAAGCCGAGGCCGTTGACCCCTGTCACTACGGACTTTACGAACACCACACAGCGGTCCACTTCACGTACCAGGGTTGCCACCAATCGCCGCACCAACAATAATGCAGGTTAGAACTGTTTATTACTAGGGTCCGCCCGCGACTTCGCCCGTTAACTATTAGTTTTTGAGAATCCCTCGGGAAGAAAAGTTTACTAGAAAAAAATTCACGGGTATCAGGCAGCAGACGGGACTCGAACCCTTTTCTTTAGATTGAAACATCTAGCAGTTAATTGCTTAAACAATAAAAACATACTCCCTCGGGAATCCTACATTTTTTCTGGGATGAAAAGTATCCTATGACTATGACTCAATCCAGGTCATGAACTATATGCATACCCAATTTCATTAAAATCTGATCAGCACTTTTTGCGTGATTAAGCAACAAACATAGAATCTTTCACATTTATAATATTAGTAGAATGAATTATTGTTTAAATCTTTAGTGGTGTCTAACATTAAAGTATTTTTTGTTATTTGCGGGATTGCTACCCATGTATTTACCTTGGTTTTTTCGAGTCGCCGATATTTCGGCAGTTTTGCAAATTTTAAGAGCTATTTGTTATAGGCCCACCCTTTAAATTAAACCCCGTTATCATGACCTTAATGTAAATTTTAAAACAAATTGAAAAAACAGCGGAACCGATGTCAAACCTAAAAAATTAAAGTTCTTTTCATGTTAGAGTCTGTTGATGTCTGCTGTTGAAGCGAGCCGTGGTCCTTTACTGAGGGTTTCATATGAAGGCTCACGGTCACGCAGCGAGCAATGGAGAGAGCGATACTCGATATTTCCCTACGCGATAGAATCAGAAATGAGGAAATCCGTAGGACAACCAAAGTAACCGATATCGCTCGAAGGATTGCTCTGCTGAAGTGGCAGTGGGCGGGACACGTATCTAGAAGAACCGGTGGCTGTTGGGGTGGAAAGGTTCTAGAATGATGATTCTAGAATATCCGAGTGGTTTGTGCGCCGGGTTTGATGGCTGTAGCCGACTCGAGAGGTCCTGGGTTCGAATCCCGGTGGGGGCAGAGGTTCGTGTGATGAATACGAGCATTTGTACTCCAGTCATGGATGTTTAATATGTATTTATATAAATATACATATTTAAGTATAGTATATGTATTCTATCCGTTACCCTAGCATCCCATAACACAAGCCTTATAGTGCTTATTTTGGGGCTAGGCTAATTGGTGTGAACCAATATCCTTGGGGGAAGCCTTTGCTCAATACTGGGCGTCGTACGGCTGACATGGTGTTGCCAGGTTCGATTTGTTTTAAATCGGTACACGAGATGAAAAAATCGGGATTTAGCGTTGCAGATGGGGCAGTAAACAAAAAACAAGGGTGTTTTAAGTCTGGGTTTAATTTATTGCGTTTTCAACTACTAGTGCAAGTATAGTATTATATTAATAAACTGAATTTAATTTTTTGATTAATCGGGAAATTTAGCGTCCCTATCAGGTATAAATCGGGACGCGTCCCAAGACCCCTGAAAATCGGGACGTCCCGCGCAAATCGGGACACCTGGCAACACTAGGCTGAAATGATGATGATTAAATAATACATTATTAATAATTCACAGCATCGGCTGGCGTGCAACCTAACCAGAGATTCAATGGAAATATGAACGTCCACAAACCTCCGCCCAATATGGTTCGATCCCCGCCAAGAGTGAAAACCTCCCCTCCACAAGCTGCGCCGTAAGTATTATTACACTAAAGTTATAGCTAGCTTGCTCCAGCGACTCGGGATTAGTTTTTTGAGAATGCCATAGGAGAGTTTTTTTTTTCGGAATATAATAATTCTATGTGATACAGTTTCAACCTATATGCCATATTTCAGCTAATTTCGTTCAGCCGTTTAGCGTGAAAGAGTAGCAAACATCCAAACTTTCGCGTTTAATTAGTAGGAAGTAGGATATATTATTATTATTAGACTTGCAACGAATATATATAACAGAAATGAAAATAAGAATATATACGTAATCAATCGATTTTAATTTTTCATTTTACGAATTATTTCTCTATGACAAAAAAAAAAATTATATAAGTATTCGGTATTCGGCCGAATAATATGTAGATATTTGGTATTCGGCCGAATATAATAAAAGCAGCCGAATAGGCCGAACACCGAATAGTAACCGAATATTCCTTGCAAGTCTAATTATTATACGTCTAAATTAAGAAATTTCTAAAGAGTCATCTAATAGGCAATTAGTTTTGAAAGCATTGTTACATGACAATAGGCTATTTGACGGTGTGAGAAATAATGTTGTTTAGCATCCATGTTTAATAAGAACTTTTAAAGCTAATTCATTATTTCTAACAGATAAAACAATTCTAAAATTGCCTATGATGATGTCACGTTTTTGTTACTTGGCTGTAAAAGTGACATTACTTTGGTAATTCCGTTATACGTTTTGATCTCAAAACAAGAACTAAAGGATAGAAGTAATGTTAATGTAAAATCTTACTTATGGTACTAACATTAGCTAAAATTGGTATATAATCTAGTTTAATTGTTATTAAACCATACACGACGTTGTATTCTTACAATGTGGGACAAAAAATAGTTGTGTTCGTTAGTAGTTTAGACTGCTCACTATGAGAACGTAACACAAACTTTTTTAACGTATTCATAGCTGGCCAGCTAATTAAAGACACTCGATTTGCTTAGAAGAAATAGAAAAAAATAATGTTATTATTGAAATTATCTTTATTACACAATATTTGCAACACATTTATGAAAATTTCCGGTACGTATCGATATTTGGTCGCCTGTCCTTTGGCAGAAATGACAGCACGACATCTCTTTATTTTTTTAAATTCAGAACACAGCTTTTACTGTCTTTAATTAGCTGGCCAGCTACAAGTACGTTAAAAAAGTTTGTGTTATGTTCCCATAGTGAGCAGTGTCTAAACTACTAACGAACAAAACTAGTTTTTGTCCCACATTGTAAAAATACAAGGTCGTGTATAGTTTAATAACAATTACATTAGATTAAATACCAATTTAAGCTTATTTTAGTACCATAAGTAAGTTTTTTGTGGTCAATTAGGGAGTGTCTTTAATTATGTGACCATCACCGTATGTATTCTATCCGTTGCCCTAGTTCCATTCCCATCCCATAATACAAGCCTTTCAGTACTTACTTTGGGGCTAGGCTAATTAGTGTGAGTGTTGGAAATATTTATTTAACATAGATTACTATAATGTTACGGACCGTGAATTCAAAACAATTTAGTGTTATTATTCTATTTATCAAAATTTACTATCTCGAGCTCCTCCGTGCTTCGGAAGGCCCGTTAAGTCGTTGGTCTCGGCTGCATCTGCAGTCGATAGCACCACCAATCCTCATTTGGCCCGCGTGGTGGGTCATGGTCCAATCTCCCTATTCCATCCATAGGGAAGGTCTGTGCCCCAGCAGTGGGGACATTAATAGGCTGATGATGATGATGATTCTATTTATTACCTTGTAGTTGGTCAGGCGGCGGGAACAGTACCCTCGCGTCGCTCCCCATGATAGGGCTCGACGAGCCCTCCCCCGCGCCCGCGCTTACCGCCCCCGTCCCTCCCGTGGCCCTCCACAACGGGTACGCTCGCGAGCGGCACGAGCGCCCCGAGCGGCCGGAGCGCAGCGAGCGTAGCGAGCGCCCGGACAGGCAGTACGAGCGGCCGGCCCCGCCGCCTGTTAGTGCTCACGTGCCGCCCGCGCTACAGGTATACATAGAAATGTGATCGTTTAGGCACGTATTATAGAACACACTTAACACAGAGATGCGGTTTTCATACAAAACCGTTTCTCAAGATTATACTAAAGAACGTACTCATTATTAATAGCTCAATTACACTTGATTGTTAGCCCGTATTCGGGTGTATGAATGGCACTACTCTAATTAGGGTATTATATTAATCATTGTAAACAAAAGAATATGATACATAATGCATGGTAATAAGATATTTTTTCAAATGCATACGTTAAACTGGGGTTTGTTACATTGATGTCACAATTACATTTGGTCGCTAGCCCGAATTCGGGCACCCGAAGCAATATTTACACTGGAATACGGGCTGAAAAATGGTGACGGGTAACCAAAACGATAACTACCCGAATATGGGCGTACTCGCCCTCGTTCGCGTACACTTAATGGCGCGATTACACTTGGTCGTTAGCCCGAATACGAGTGTTAATGGAATTCGGGTAAACGTCTAAGTGTAAATGAACTGAGTCAAGTACGCCCGTATTTGGGTAGATTTCCTTTTCTTACCCGACACCGTTTGCCAGCCCGTATTCCAGTGTAAATATTGCTTTGGCAGCCCGAATTCGGGCTAGCGACCAAATGTTATTGTGACATCAATGTAACAAACCCCAGTTTAACGTATGCATTTGAAAAAATATCTTATTACCATGCATTATGTATCATATTCTTTTGTTTACAATGATTAAATAATTGACAATTATTTTTTGGTCTTTATAGATTAAAATTATTGAATTATTTAAATCAACTGAGAAGCCAATTCCAACCAAACCACTTTCAGGGTGTGCGATATTTCTGTTACACGTTGTATTATGCGGTTTTCATACAAAACCGCATCTCAAGATCGTACTTAAGATCGATCCCAGTGTTAAGAGTGTTCTATTAATACAGGCCTAAATGATGTGATATTGTTATAGTATTGGAAGGAAGAAGTGTCTTCGTCGAATTATAGATTTTACACACAGAGCTCTCTAGTCTTTAACACCACAAAATTTTACAGTATGTAATTTTTGTACTTTAGAAATGAGTTTTTTTCATGGATTATACTCATAAATGACACGAGTGTCTGTCATTAAACGCGTTGACAGGTGTATATCACATATTTTTAGCCCCGCCCACTGGATCGCAGTTTGCTAGGAACCTATTTTTTAGCGCAGTTCATATCATTTCTAATTCGTTGCCTGAACCGGATAAATAACTTGATAATTTATTACTGTGTACCAAAAATGCTTACAAATATTGCCTGTTTCAAATTAAACAAGTAGGGGGTTATCATATCACCTATTCTCTATTCTCACATATTCCGTGTACCTACCACCTTGAGGGATAATTTTCCTAATAATGTCTTTAGATACGCATACCTCGTATCAAACAGTAGGTTCCCCATTCAAACTAAATAATAACCTTAACCATTTTCTAAATTACCAGCAATATTTCTTTTTTTAAGCCCGAACAAATGTTCGTTCCTCGCAAACCCGTTAAGCAAGAGGACAGCTCGTCAAGTTCGTCGAGCGATAGCGATAGCGGTTCCGATAGCGGCAGCGATAGCGAAGACGATAACACAAACACCAGGCACCACGCCCCTAACGGTAAGTGTACTGGTTTGTTAGTTCTCCCTTTGCTTAATAGATGGCGTTGTTCGAGCTAATTATGCCAACGTGAAGAATAAAAATAGATCGGTGAAGCCATGGAGGTTAGAGAGAAGGAGAACCATCGCTACGTACAAAGCATTAGCCCGTCTGACCCTGAAAATTTCTTTAATTTATAGTTCATTTTTCAGCCACCAGCACTTAGTTTTTTTCTAAAATAAAAGTAGCCTAAGTTTCTCCTTATTACATCAGCTACCTGCCAATAAAAGTCCCGTCAAAATCAGTCCAGCCATTTCAGAGATTAGCTGGAAGAAACATACAGACAAACAGACAGACAAAAATTGTAAAAAATGTTATTTTGGTGTATTGACCGTGTATATATTCCGACCGTGTAGTAACAAGCGGTTATTTCAATATTACAAACAGACACTCCAATTTTATTTAAATGTATAGATAGGGTAGCGGTAATAACAATAGGGGCATAAGTAGGGGCATGCCGCCCTTCGCAGCCTGCCGCCTCATTTTAAGGTAGTTCAATAGTATTTTATTTGCCCCGTCTGATTCGATAATTAAACTAACGCAAAGAATAAAGAAAGCTCGCCGTGCGATAGCGACAGCGGCCTAGATAGATTCATGATGATATTTTTCGTTATCAAGAGACGGAATTGGTATAATGGGTCATGATATGATTTACCACGCGGATCCAGTACGTATTGGTGGGTGCTAAAGACTGCAGGCTGCATTTTTTACAATTTTTTGAGGAGCTCGATGGCGCAAGTAGTTGGCGCGTTCAGCTGCGATCGTTGAATTTAGGCAACTTTCGCAGTGGTCGGTCATTGGATGGGTAACCAAAAATCTTTTATCTCGAGTTCCTCCGTGCTTCGGAAGGCACGTTAAGCCGTTGGTCCTGGCTGCATCTGCAGTCGTTAGCACACACCAATCCGCACTAGGCCCGCGTGGTGGGTCATGGCCCAATCTCCCTATTGTATCCATAGGAAAGGCCTGTGCCCCAGCAGTGGGGACATCAATAGGCTGCTGCTGATGATGATGAAAGACTGCAGATGCAGACGGGACCAACAGCATAAGAGCCCTCTAAAGCAAGCACCCGGCTCGGAGATAGCAAATTTTCGCTGATCCACTTTATAGCTTAAAGTAGTTGTTTTCTACAGACCCGAACACACGTGTCACTAAAACATTAAAAAAAAATGTCGTAATAAACTGTTGTCAATGACAATAAGAAAGAATAATAATTACAGGTGGTAACTACCTACTTGCATGTTTTTATTATTTCCGTCATTATAACTTGGTTATAAAGTTTGTTTTTTAACGACCTCCATGGCTCGAGTTGTGTGTACGCCGGGTTTCAAGGTGTCGCCTACTCACAGGCCCCGGGTTCGATTCCTGGTAAAGCAAATTCATGAATTTTTATATATGTATATATTTTTTTAAGTATATTCTCGGTTAACCTAGTATCTCAAAACACCAGCCTTACAGTGCTTACTTTGGGACTAGGCCAATTGGTGTGAGTGTCAAGAATATTTATTTAATACTCGTTAAAGTATTGTGGGTTACCTACAATGCGAAAAGGTGGCACTACCTTGCAGCCTAAGAAATACTAGAAGAAAGACTATTTTATCGGTAGCATAATTGGTCAGTGCATTCGCCCAGATAGCGGAGAGAGCGGGTTTGAGTCCCGTCTGCAGCGTGGACCGCGTGGAATTTTTTTCGTAGTAAAATTTCTAGCAGTTAAATAAATATGACCAACACTCACACCAATTAGCCTAACCCCAAAAGTAAGCATTGTAAGGCTTGTGTTATGGGATACTAGGGAAACGGATAGAATACATATACAGTACAAATATAAGTATATTTATAAAGAAATACGTATTAAACATCCATTACTGGAGTACAAATGCTCGTATTCATCACACGGGATTCGAACCCGGGACCTCTCGAGCCGGCGACACCCTGAAACCAGGCGAACAAACTACTCGGCCACGGAGGTCGTCGTAAGAAATACTATACTATACGAAGAAATTTGACACGGCTATTAAGTTACCGGTAGCATAATTGGTCAGTGCATTCCCCCAGCTAGCGGAGATTCGGGTTCGAGTCCCGTCTGCAGCCGAGAACGCGTGGATTTTTTTCTTAGTAAAATTTCTAGTAGTTAAATACTTAAAAAATAAAACTACCTATATTTATTTATTTACTTTTGTTTGGCCAGGCGGCGTGACCAACCCCGCATTGCCCACGGACGTGCTCAACGACGACCTGTGCCTCTCAGAGTCAGGCAGCGACTCCGACTGACCTCACGACACTCGTCTCACTCTAGCTATACTCGCTCAAATCACATGAAACCCTACAATCGTACTCTTCTCTACACTCCTGGCGCAAGTCTCGCAGATATCACATACGTGGGATAAGAAACCAAAATTGCCTAAGAGACACACATAATATCCTACAATCCTACACTTTCCACACTGCTTCTACAAACATCTTCACAACACTCGTCTCACTTTAGCTATACTCCCTCAAATCACATGAAACTCTACAATCGTACACTTCTCTACACTCCCGGTGCAAGTCTCGAAGAGATCACATACGTGGGATAAGAAACCAAAATTGCGTAAGACAGACATAATATCCTACAATCCTACACTTTCCACACTGCTTCTACAAACTCACTCCCACAAACATCTTCGCGACACTCGTCTCACTCTAGCTATGCTCGCTCAACTCACATTAAACCACAGACATAGATCGAAATAGATAACGCAAGTGTATGTACTTCGCGTGCCAAATATGGAGACAGATGGTCTTCCTTTTAAGCTTATTTATTTCTTCGCATCACCGTTATCGATATCGTCAATCGCAATGTTTTAAACTATCTAACTATGTCATATTAAGGTATAAAAATCATATAATAATTGTGATTCCATGCTTTTTCACCACTTAACTTGTTCTCGTTAGTACTCTAAATCACATCTCTAAACACATACGGCGTCTACTTCAATCTGGGTCTGTGCATGAAACTCTACAATCGTAAACTTTTCCACATTTCCGTTGGCGCAATTCTCGAAGAGATCACATATAAGGGATAAGAAACCATCATTGCGTAAGTTGAAAAATTCTCAGATTTTCTAAAATATTAGGACGTCATGTAAATTATCCCACTGCACTGATTTTGATTGCGAACTAAACGCTTTCTGTTAATATTACGAAACATAAAACTCTTGTTTTAGTCAGCATTTTGTTAAGATCTTTTGTGAGACTTTAAAATCTTGAAGCGTCGAACAAATTAACTCAACGCTTTAGATCTGATAAATATTTCTGATTGTATATTAAAAGACGTCTCTTTCTATTATTTACGTTTTTTGTCATCCAATTTTACTTCTTAGACTATATAACCACAAATGCTAATACTATCAACTTTATATAGTGTTATTCGCTAGGTTAGAAACTTCTGCGCGCTTGATGAAAACGTGCTTTAACAGATAATGTTCTATGGGTCAATATATATTGCAAGTGAAGTACAATGAAGTTTAAAATTTCGCATACCAAATTGTGCTTTATCTTCATAGCTTAATGAACGAATTTGCATGAAGAAGAGACCGTTGTGAGAATTTGAAAGGCATATAACCAAGTGGATGGCGTCTTTCAATTGAAATAGCTATATCGCTATATAATTCTCAGTGAAGTATTGCCATATAAATTGACCCTAATGGTCTGTCTCATCTTTTGCGCTGGACACAAAACGAGACCGAATGCATTTGTAAGTAATGAAAATGAGATTTTTATTTTATATAATGTCTGGTTCTGGGAGTATATGTAAATAATGTTAAGTTTGACTATTAACTTTTTAGTTATATTGCTCAATTACTTTCATCTAGGCAAATTTGTATGTTACCGAATTCCAAGTTAGTCGAAATTAAGGTAATTTAAGTATGTTTAAGTTTTCCCTTGCTTCGCTATTTCAATGAATAAAAAGCAGAATTTACTTCTGTTATATTTATTAAATTGGAATAGTTTAAACTAATTTTAATGGAATCAATTCTTATTTCATTAATTAATGGGTATCATGTTACGCAAATATTGTGTTTTAAGTTTTTCTCTTTTATTTTCAAATGAAATTTGAAGAAATAATAAGTGATATCATGAAGTCATCCACATTGTATTCTATTTAATGTAATATACTTCATTAAGTCAGCACATTTCGTTTATTTAATTTAAATTCTGTTAAAAACATCGCTACTGATTAAGAAATAAAATGTATGCATGGACAAAGTGTTACGACTCTTGCCATGATATGTATATATGTTATAATTATACGGTACATTTAGTAGTACTATATCAAGTATAACCCGGCTAAATGAAGACTGTACCAAGATTGTGTACCTTTTCTATGACTTAAGATGAAACCGTAACCGTACAGAATGGACTGAGCAATATCAACATCAGATACAAGAGCATAAAACTTTCGTGCAGCCAATACCTATAGCACTTTACTTGGCTATTCGTATTTGCTATTTGTAAACTTTGACAAAAGTCTGTCCTTATCATGCTTTATAAGGAATATAAAAAGGACAGACTGATGTCAAGTCTACAAATTGCAAATACGAATAACCAGGTGACGTGCCATCATAACTACTGTCCACACGATCGCTTCGTCTCTCACATTATTCTTTGGCGTTGTCCTAATTGGCAACGATCGTGCGATGGCGCGATGCGTTCTCATCGTGCGATGATTTGCAAACATAAAGATTTCTTCAGACGTGTCCTATTACAGCTTGTAAGCCGTCGCACGAGCACAGATACATTATTTTGATCCCACGATGAGATCGCATCGTGTCATCGCACGATCGTTGCCAATTAGGACGACGACTATCCGTATTTACTTTACAGCTGGTAAATCCTTAACAACCACCCATTATTTATGTTATAATTATATGCAGACTCCTCTTTCCCAGTGGGCACTTTGGGCAAGTGCCCAGAGGCCCGCGATCGATAGGGGCCCCCTCTCAGATCAAATACAAAGTCCCTAGTTCCTGTTTAATCACCAAACGGGGGTCATAGGGGCTCCATTATCCTAATATGCACAGGGCCTCCAATAGGTTAAAGACGGCACTGATTATATGAGACAAAGCCACGTGGCAATAGTCTTGTGCTATTTTGTATTAATATATAATTTTTATGAATGAATAATAATGTTCGATGTACAAAACATATAGATATGCTTAGAGGTGCCTTACATTTGTTAAGCAATAAAACTACAAGCAATGTACATTGTAATGCTTATGAAAAATAGTCAGCTTCACTCAGTGCTCTGAAAAGCGAAACAATACCTTTGTTGTTTCGTGGTCCTTTGACCACTGACAGTCAGACCAGAGACAATATTCTATGGTATAGTGAGCCATAGATGTCTAGAATGACTGACAGAGAAATACAATACGTCTTGTTTATGTGTCGTGGTCCAACTTGCATTGATCAATTTAAATATAATTTATCTTTAACGGTTGTATAAAAGTTCGAGAGGCTCCATAACAATGTGAAAAGATACTGCAAATTTTTTGGTCTGTTTTATTTCAGCCAGATCAGTCATCTCAATTTATCCATGTTGGCTGCATTTAAGCAGTTACTGAAAATTGGTAGTCTCATTGTCTTCATCTAAATATAGGGATCGTCAAATAATGGTGTCGATTCTAGCATGATTCTGTAAACCTATAAATTATTTTGTCAACAGTTTATCCTTGTCATTCAAGGAGAGACTGATGTTAAATTTAGATACTAACATACCATTGTTCACACAGAAACCGCTCTTCATTACACACGGAAGTGATTTTCTTCCTAGGGCTGTTAAAGCAGGCAGCTAATTGACAGATTTTTACTCTATTTGATTCCCTTCACTTTAATGTTAATATGACATAAACTGATCTCTTAAAGAGTAAAAATTATACACATTAAGGGAGGTCCCTAAATTAATGGGGAATGGTAAACATAATATTATAGTAGATTTGACGTTTCGAAATGCTTAGGTCTATAGTGTAAATAAAAAACTACTAGCTGCGTTCGGTATTTGCATCGCAGAGGGGATGGAATTTTGGTCACGTGATCACAGATTAATCTGAGCAAATTGCTATTACCGAACGGCCCGTCAACCCGTAGATTAATTTCTAACCTCAAACAGAACTAACCTCACAACATGACATTTAAATTTCTCCGAGCAAACAGATTTACATCGGACTGATCTGAGCGGAATTACCGTACGCTTCGGATTTATTCTAGATGATATAAAAGAACGATTCGCAAATAAAGAACGCAGCTCATATAGTGCGTCAAGGATCTTTATGAATGTGACAGTTCAAGGATTGTCCCACTGTCTACGACTAATGACATACAAAAATGACGTTTACAAAGACGTCGGCGTTAATTCCAATTTTTGCCACATTCTTGAAAGATCCTTGTCGCACTGTATGTCAAACAGACAGAAAAGACGTATTACATAGATTGTTACAAAAGATTTCATTGTATTTTTCTTATTAAAGGCTGATTTTTCAATATGTACCGGGATAATTCTTATTCGTGTGTTCACGTATACGATACGGACAAAATGAAGAGACGTCACAATTTGTCATTCATATTCTCTTTTGCTACAGCACAGGACATTTTATCTGGTAATATTTGCTTTTGCTGCAGATCAGTTTTATTCATAAATGAAGTAAATCGACCCTTATTATAAATAACAATAGGCTCAGATACATTGCCCATTCTTATATTACTATTATTAGGTACAGTGCTCATGTCTTTTCTCTTCCTTATTAAATGCATGAACGCAATGACATTTAGGTTATTCCATTATCGAACTTATTGAACTTGCTAAAAAGTATTAATTTATCAAAATTGTTTAGGGATCATCCATTATTAATTTTTATAGGTACCTTTTTATATTTCCGTTGTGGTTGTATCTGCCCTACTTTTTACAGAATCCAATATAGTCGAGTCCACTATTACTAATAGTTTACATAGGGACTGATTCTGAAATGGTTATCTAAACTTAAAATTTAATTTGACAGCAGTCTACTTTAAACTCTATACAGTAAGATAAGGATGCACTGTTAAAATTAGGTTTAGAGACTCATCCCAGAATCAGACCCATATTATGATATAAAGTACACACAAACATCTTAGAATAATCTATTATAATACAACAAGTACAATAGTGTACTGCGTCACAGCTATTTTGATAGCAATGCGGCAATGTTATTTCCGAGTGAAAATATAATATTATAATGCTGACTGTGTGAACCACTAATTACGAAAGGGAAAATTTGTAGAACTTTTTGAATGGTTTAATGAACCCTAAAAACAGGTAATATGTGTTTAAAGCAAAAGGAAAAAGTTTTGTATCTTTCTTGCAATTAGTGATCCATGTATTCCTACAATTTAAGTATAAGTATAGTAAACACTCATGGTAATATATTTAGTGACCTAATAATAAGAATGTGCCTCAATTGAAAAGAGTTATTTTTTTTATGTTATGCCAATAAATAACTTAGAACGTCTAGATAAGAGTGTAATATTTGTTTGATATTTTTATGACAACAATATTTATTTAATGATTAGTTATGAAATAAAGATTTTAATAAATTTGTATAGTAAGATGAGATAAGTTGTTTTATTTTTCGGGCTGGTTAAATTCGATCCTGTGTATTAAATGAATTTTTCAAATTCTAATGAAGCTTTAGCTTTATGTTGCTTTTGCTTATAGATTTTTTTTCAATGCACATAATAACAATTCGTTGCGGATACTTTTATTGACTTTTATTATTGTTAGTGCAATGCCTTTTAGAATATAAAGTAAGTTTCCATCCAATTACGTGAAAAAGAAAGGATTTTTGGGGGAGAAAAAACAAAAAGCCAATAAGGATAATTTCGATCGAACCTCGGAAGCGCTTTTAGTCTATACCTATGTCTCACTTTAATACAAAAGAAAAAAAGTGACGAAAGGTGTAGTTGTAATTTTCACCACCCGCACGTGGCGCTATTTGGAAATGCGCGATGCTTGCCCAACGTGAAAATGCAATAAAATTATTTTTATCCATGAAAAGGAGTAAATTTTTTCTTTGTTACTCCAGCATGTGAGATATCATTTTCTAGAGCATGTTGAGTAGGATATAAATATATATGTATGAACTATATATTTTTTTCAATACCTAAAAGAAATGGGAAGTTTGTCAAAGTTATCATTTTTTACGGACTCTGTCTCAAAATTGAAACTATTTAATGATATTTTGGTATATGATGTCCCATTATGCTGTTTTTAAACAATAAATACTGGAAACGCCGATTTCCGTCATAATGTAGTGACGGAAACAAACCAATGATTTTTCCTTTCGCGGTGTACGGAAAAGCGAGGCCAAACGGGCGCCAAGCCAGTTTTTTTTAAATGGGTTCTCTTTCTGTTCTGAATTGAATATATATAACTATGCTCTAAGAAGTTTTCGAATGCTCTAGTTCAAAGTTGGGCAAATTCAGATTCGAGAGTGATTTCAAAGAAGCTGAATGTATATAGCGCATTTTTGCATAATAATATTAATTGTTAAGTGCAAATAGTTGTATGGTAATCCGTTTCGTGGTTCTTGTCTAAGTGTACCTACCTAGTTCTGTAGGTAAAATACGCTTTCTGCAAGCTGCAGTATGAAACAAACTTTATTTACCTTAGAGCATGGACGAGATCTTGCAATAGAAAGAAAATCAAGCGGGAAAAAAAAAACCATAAATAACCATCAACTTTTTTAAAACATTCTTCCTTAATGGGAATTCAAAGAATATTAAATCCAATCAGTCTTATTGTCTCAAATATTTATATAGTTTTCATCTTTGTTCCGAGAAAGTATCACAGAGCTGCATTTTATAACGCTAAAGTCTAAGCGAAACTTTTCAAATTGATGTTTAGGAATCTTATTTCGATTAAATCAAGTTTTTGCTTTAACTTAAATTGCATTTGGATTGTGGTACGCAACGCACACGTCTGTCTGACATAAGAACTGTCAATGTAAAATTTAGGTCTAATTGTCACTGTCACGGCTGTCAGACTGTCACTGCCACGGTCAATGTGAAAAAGTGGACGCAGTTTTGTATTATTCTTTTACTCAAAATCGTGTATGGAATGAGTGTGAAATCTTCGTTTACAGTTTCGCTTCCACATCACTTTTACAAGCCATTGTTTGCCATGAGATCTTAAACACAGTCTGTTTGCGTCATGTCTAATTCTTCGAGTAGTAAAAACCATAACAAAAAGTCAAGCAGTAGCCGTGATCGCGATAGAAACAAGTCAGTAGCTTCTGAATCAGGTGGTTCTAGCCAGTGCGATACGCCTCCCCTCAATGAGAAAGTAAGAAACTACCGAATATTCATAGCTGTTATTACTTACATCCTTTTGGCTTTTCTATCACAGCTATTTCTTGAGCACAACACACAACACACTTTCTAGACATGTTTTAAGTCCCTGCAGTCGCAAGTAAATTTAAAATATGACTTCAGAAAAGCAATGTTACCCACTTTTTATTTTGTATTATAGTCAGGGCTACAATTAATCTTAACAAGAACAGGAAGGAGCTTAAGCTTAACCAATGAAGGAGCTTAAGGTTAATTTATGTTTGGACAGTCCCCAGAAGTGCAGGCAAACCATACTGTATTAGTATATATAGTAAAGGATAACCAGGATATTTTGAATATATTATTTTATGAATATGTTTTTATTTTTATGGTGCTACTTCTCATTTACAATGAGTAATGTTTTTTTAAGTTAAGTTACTAAAGCAGCGTTTAAGCGATTTTGCTTTTCCACAGTCGATATGTAAAATGATTTGTTAGAAAATATAATATATTCTCAACTAATATAACTAGATCATGAAAGCTAATTTTAATAGGTATGAATATTGTATTTACACTGGCTACTATTATAAAGTTTAGCTGTTGTTGTCTTTATTTTGTATTTTTTACACAGGATGCAAGTACTTCACAAGGGCGTTTTGCTGGCATCGGGGCTGATTCCATACTTTGTATGGCAGATCAGGTAGCAATGGAACTCAATGCTGAAGCTGCCACCAATCTTGCTGAAGATGTCAGCTACAAACTTAGGCAGACCATTAGTGTAAGTTAGGATATTAAATAAATAAATATAAATATTTCCAACACTCACACCAATTAGCCTAGCCCCAAAGTAAGCACTGTAAGGCTTGTGTTATGGGATACTAGGGTTACGGATAGATTACATATACAGTACATATATAAGTATACTTATATAGCAATACATACAAAACATCCAAGACTGGAGTACAAATGCTCGTATTCATCACACAAATATCTGCCCCCACCGGGATTCGAACCTAGGATCTCTCGAATTGGCGACACCATGAAACCCGGCTTACAAACCACTCGGCCACAGAGGTCATCACATTACCTACAAAATCTGCAAAAAAAATGTGTCAGCTATTTCTCAAAAAACACAATAGATAGACAATAAAATTTTCATTCAAGACAAACAGAAAGTGTATTTCCGTTGCTGTTTTAATTTTTTTTTATATTTTCTAAAATAGTTTTTTTCCTGATTTTCTGCTAGACCTGGTGTTCTTGTGCAATTATATTATGTATTACCTTCAAACTCAACTTGCATTTGGCTAGCTTTTTCATGGTTTTAGCGCAAAATATGTTTTTTGTAGTGTTACTCTACCTTTCCGTTATTAGAAAGTTTTTTTTATAAAACTTGTGTTGTGGCTTGAAGTGGTAATGCAAACACCATGGGAACTTTTGGACACCCATTCATGAGGTACTACTTAGCACCTCACCCATCAATCTGCACTGGGCCTGCATGGTGGGTCATGGCCTAATCTCCATATTTCATCCATAGAGAAGGGACATGTCCCAGCAGCGGGGACATTATTAGGCTGATGATGATTACTACTTAGCAGGTTGGTTATTGATAAAAAATGCTTATTTAATTTCAGACAATTGCTTTACATAGTGAAATGATGAAGAAGTCCCGTGTGGATTGCTGGGATGTTAACTCTGTGTTGATGCTCACAGATACAAGTCCCGTTGTAGGAACATGCTCCACTCAGTATGCCCCTGTGGGAGATGAAAAAATATGTTGCCAAGTTGTAAGTCCCTCTATTTTATTGTTTTTCAATAAAACTTATGCTGTGTAAAAAAAGAAGCTAAAAGCTTGTAAGATGATACACTTTTGTAAATAAAAAAAAAGGGTTTTGCATTTTCTAGAGGTCTGATATATTAAAAAGGTTTCCATTTTCTTTAAGTATTCAATTTCCTTTGTAATAACTTGCATGTATTCATAGCAATACTGCCAATGATGTATGAATTTTATTTTCAGGAAACTTTATTAAATGTAACAGAATGTGCATTGACACCACAAAGCTATGTATACTCAACACTGCCCACCGTTTCGGTCGAATGGATCACAGATGAGAAAAGTCTGAATAACAATAGCAATATTAGTGTCAGCTTACAGAATTATTATACGAGAGTCGCTAGAGGTAAGTTGATTTTTGGTAGTTTTAGAACTATTTAAACCTTATAATATTGCTTATTGTCTATTGAAGAATCTAGTTTCTGGTAATTAGTTTGAGGTTGGGAATAGGCAATTTATTTTTATAAAGTGAACTGAATGATTAAAACTGTGAATTGATACGACTCAAATCCTCAAAGCACAAAAATTGCGATTTGATTTCGTACAACAAGCCCATTTTACTCAACTGAAACATCTTGCAAGAGATAATCTATTCGCAAATAATTCAACTACTAGATACTGCACAACGCATCGCCAAAATGTTGCGACGTCGCAGTTTTGTTTGTAAATTCCAATATCAGAAAAGTGTTTTGTTTCCTATCTTGTATATTAATGTCTACCAATGTGTCTATAAGGTAATATATCTTTCAGCAATATTAAATCTTAAGAGAAAGCCAAAAGAGATTGCAGTGGAAGACCTCACAACGAATACTAGGATTGGGCCAATCTTCCCCAATCTCTTCAACCTGGCAGTGCTGGTGCTGAACGATGACAATTTGAATGCTTTAAATGTGCCTGCCAAGAAACCATTGCAATCAAATGTGTTAGATATGGTAGATGCTCTCTGTTCCAATCCTTGTAGCTTGGACACCAATATACAACAACAGGTAAATACCGTGTATTTTGAGATGGCGCTGCCTGACAGCCTATTAGTCGAGATTGTATGACTTAATTTGGTTTGATAGTTACTTATATAATAAGGTGTTGATAATTGCTTTTTTTTACAGTTTCAACGGTTATTTCCAGTAATGGTCTCAAATATTTTAGGAAACGGATCTTTGGCTGAGAAGATGGTTTCAATACTAACAAAAATCACACGTACCTGGCCCTCTTTTATAGCAATAGGTAAACATTATATATTTATTCCAATACAAAATTAGAAGTGTATATTAGGTTTAAATTTTTTTTTAAAAAAGTATATGTAATCTTGGATTTATTTATTTAAACAGAAAAATGAAAAAATGCATAAATGTTTCACACACATTTTTATTTTAAAATCTTAAAAGTACTTGGTTATCAGAAGTAAGATACTATAACACAAATGTCATTATCATAAAAAATAGAAAACTCATTTTATTATCCACAAAAAAGCTTCACATGCATTCAACACTAGTTTAAAAAAAAATGTCTTACACCATTAAAATGTTGTTAATTTAGTTAGTTTAGTTACGTTAATTTTAAACTAGGCTTATGACAGTGTCTAACTTTTTTGTAGTAAGATCGTAACCTCCTTATTAATAAACGAAGACTAAGCTTGCCATTGTTACTCTATGTTTTGTCTCTGTTCATTGAATGACAAATGGCACTTGAGAGATATGAACAAAACACGGTGTTACTAGTCTAAGCCTATTCCTCGTTTATTAATAAGGGGGTAAAAGTCTATCTATCTGGCTATAGTATAAACAAAAACCTGAGGCAGATGCTGCAATAAAACGTGCAAATGAGACAGCGCATATCATGTTCTCTCTCGCACCTACATTGTCGGGTTAGTTACTGCTTGCAATAAATTATTTATTCACTGTTTTAGGTAAAAGCATACTTTTCGACTACCTCGCACAAGGAACGAAGGAAAGATTAACAGCGCCCATGATAAAGTGCGTTATGGCGTTAGGAAGAAGGGCGCTTATTGAGTGCTTAGACGATCACTTGGAACATTTGGACGATTGTATACAAGCGTCTAGAAGAAACCATTTGCAACCAGACCTGAGGGAAACTATTTTGGTGAGTATTTAAATTAAATCATGCTACCGCGGCCCTAATTATCTGTGTCCAATTTTCTCTAGTATTTCTTAGGCAGCGCCATCTCTTATCATTCTTCAGTTAGATTATCAAAAATAATATACATTTATTTATTCTTTTGGCAATAAACCAAATAATTACAAAGATAAAGCGCGTGTAGGTTTCGGTTTCCCAAACCATTTTACAACTTTCTTCGTATCAGAAAGTATGAGACACGTTTTTTCTTTTTTCACATAATCAAAATATTCAGAGATACAATGATTTGAAATGTCGCATGACATCACGTCTTGGTACAATTTTTACTTCTCATCAAACTTTGACGCGTTTCACCTTTGCCAATTTTCGTTTGGATGACCAAAGCAAAAATACGTCCATTATTTATTGACAATGTTACTGACAGACTAAATAGAATTTCGCTTATTCTACCCCTTCATCATCCCTATTGGCTCGCTGCCCTCTTCGTTATCAATGCACTGACCTTTATGCTACCGAGTTTCATTGGCTTTGCTTCAGGATGCCTCGAGTTGTTTACTCAGATCTGAGCCCACCACGTACCTGGAAGACTATGTAGCAGCCGACTACACTCTATACGAGATGCTTGGGGACTCCATAATGCCTCGACGGACACTATTCCCACATTCACGTGAGTTATTTGTCTATTAATGACTTAATGTTGACTATTACACTCTATACAAGATGCCGGGGGACTACATAATGCCTCGACGGACACTATTCCCACATTCACGTGAGTTATTTATCTATTAATGACTTAATGTTGACTATTACACTCTATACAAGATGCCGGGGGACTCCATAATGCCTCGACGGACACTGTTCCCACATTCACGGGAGTTATTCATCTATTTATGACTCAATGTTGACTATTACACTCTATACGAGATACTCGGGTACTCCATAATGCCTCGACGTACACTATTCCCACATTCACGTGAGTTATTCATCTATTTATAACTTAATGTTTACTATTACTCTCTATACGATATGTTTGGGGACTCCATTATGCCTCGACGGACACTATTCCCACATTCACGTGAGTTATTCATCTATTTATGACTTCATGTTGACTATTACACTCTATACGAGATGCTCAGGGACTCCATTATGCCTCGATGGACGCTGTTCTCATATTCACGTGAGTTATTCATCTATTTATGCACTGTGAGGCTTGTTTTATGTATGGGATACTAAGGTAATGGACAGAATTCATATACTAATACATATATTAATTTTATTTTTATTAGAAAATACATATAAACTAACATAATAGATAAAACCCATGAATTACGTACAAATGCTCGTAATCATCACAGAAAAATTGGACCCACCCAGAACCCAGGACCTCTGAGTAGGCGACACCTAAAAACCCGGCGAACATACCACTCGGCCACGGAGGTTGTCAATATTAACACATATATAAAAATAATTAAGTATAATATTAAAATATTTGTATAAATTCTACTGCCATATAAAAACATCCTTAAACCCGACTTCGGCCCCCCTAGCATGAGCACCGCGATATGATATATAACGCGTTTTTATCACGTTTCATTGTCAAATTACTATGGAGTTTGACATTTAGACGCAATAAAAAGATATGATATTTTTTTTTATTTATAAATCAAAATTTTTATTAAATCGAAATAAAATAAATAAATAAAAATTATATGCTATAACGTAAATTGTTTAGACCTAAAAGTTAAGTTTTGTTATATTTTAAAATTTTCTGCTGTCAATTTTTTTTTACAAGGCAAAGTTGAAAAAAAGTTGTTTGGTTATGTGAAACCACGATGCAAGTGAATCTAAAAATCATACAGAGAAAAACCGTTATTTCTTCGCACATTTTCATTATACTTACTACCTACACAAGTTGCCACCTGCAAAAAATATTTAATTATTTCATAAAAATAAAAATTACGTCTTTTGTAGTATTTTTGTTACCCTATTTCTTACTGTGTCTATGTAATTAAATATTTTCCATAAGTCTTTAATCTTTTGTTATTAGCGCACCCTGTTTCGTAATCACTGTACTAAGCATGCAAGTATAAATTATATTGATATAGACTACAGGTTTAATCATTAATTTCAAAATTAATTTAGACGAATACTTATTAATATGTATAAATTACACTTACAAACAGTACTCAATTGCGTGATTAGTTATTTTAAGAGATATAAAAGAGACAATACAGTTCAAATACCTATACTTAGTAACTTGATGTTACTTTGGCTAATAAAAAAGGAAAATTTTAAAAATGCATCGGCCGGGAATCGAACCCGGGCCGCCCGCGTGGCAGGCGAGCATTCTACCACTGAACCACCGATGCTTGTAGATGACTTCTGAATTTTTCGATAACTAAGGCCCTCTCGCAGAAAATTTGCTTAGATCCACTTGCAACAATTTTGCTAAATCTCTGTTCAACTAAACTACCTTTATCTCATGAAAAATGTCAAAAAGTCAATAACAATTTGACATTATTGTATGGGCTAAATCTATTTTTAGTTAAATTGAGATTTAGATAAATTGCTGCAAGTGGACTTCAATCTCAATTCTACTAAAACTAAATTTGAGAGGTATGATAAAAGTTTCACTTTTAAAAATGGATGGGAAATAGAGATCCATGTTTCTCTTAAAAGATTTCACTTTAAATAAACATCTAGCGCTCGTTCCTTTTTTAAGGAATTGTCAAAAGGCTGGCAGCTACCTTGGTTAACGGATTAGCCTTGCTATCCAACGAGGAAATTCTGCCAGCCTATTGGGCACCATTCTTGATGGCGGCGCAGGGGATGAAATTTTTTTTATTTACCAAATTGTATTTATTTAAGTAGGTAAGTTTTGAGATATTTTTGATTTTAAGTTTTTAGACATTAAGGAGTTTTAAGCTTTTGTAATTTAAATATTTCTATAGATAAATTAATTCTAAACATTACAAGTCCGTTCTTACATATATAATATTATATATACAGGATGCAAAAAAAAAATAACGAAGTCGAAGGGCACGTATACGTGGGCACGACCACATCATGACGATAATTTTTTTCTTCTGGACTATACCTGGGGGCCATTCGCCTAACGGAAATGCTTTCGATTTTATTTTGTTATTTCTGACCGCCGAAGGTTTTCAAATACCTCACGCTATTTTTTTTTAATATTGTTATTACCAACGCAAAAGAAAAAAAAGAGCCTTAGGCACTTGAAAACCTCAGGCGGCTAGAAATAACAAAATGAAATGGTAAGCGTTAGCGTTTTCCAAAGCATTTCCGTTAGGCGAATGGCCCCCTGGGAAGTTTATGGTTATGGAGATATTGGGTCAAAGTCACAATTTTTTTTCAAGATTAATACATAAATGTTTTCAAAACGTTATTTAGAAACTTTTTTATCGGCACAAACTTTGCGCAGCGCCACAGTTGCGCGGCGCGCTATACATTGCGTAATGGGAAAAAATGTATTTTTTTAACTTAAAAATACATTTTTTCCCACATATTGTAATATTATTTGTTTAGGTGTACAGAATGCGTAGTTTTAGTCTTTGTCATAGGTTTTTTTAAATCCTTAAAAAAAACATCCAGCAGTTAAATTATTAAACAGATATACCCAAAACTAAAAGCAACTTTTACACCCAACAGAAAGCATCACAAGCGGGGACACCAACGGGGAGCGTTCGTCCGAAGACGAGTTGTACACACTTCTACGGACGCCCATGACACGGCCGAGACTACGCCTCCTACCCACAAACCCACCGCTAAGGAACGGAGTACACCGCGAGCAAGTGTTCGAACCGACAAGATTCTCAATAAACAAGTGCATTAGGATAAAAATAAAGAACTGCAGATCTGTGGAAGTGCCCACTCGTGCCCGATTGTTGTTCGAAAGAACTCAGCAAAGTGCGTTTTCTTACGGTCGTGATAGTATTACCAATAGCGCTGTAGCAGCAAGCGGACTACTCAATAGATTCAAATACAGACACAAGAGATCTAATGATGCTTTCCCAATATTTGGAGCTTTAACTTTGTAACTAGTGTTAAGTGAAGAGTAAATATTACACATAAATTATTTTTTTGAGATATGCGTGTGTTTCATTTGTTTTTGTTTATTATAAAATGATAGTCTGTTCTGGCTGGTTTTCATGGTGCCTTCATCTCTTAATTTTCGATTTACTCACCGGATAAGCTCATTGTAACTATGTATTATGTAACGACGACTTCCGTGGTATATCCCGATGGGGCAAATATTAGTATGATGAATACGAGAGCATTTGTACCTACCTAAGAATGTTTAAATATACTTCTAGATAAACCTATATAAAATAAAGTTGTGTTAGTTAAGCCGGGTCTCCAGGAAAAGTTTTTTGAAAACATACTCAAAACTTTGTTTCTGATACATGTTTCTCTACACACGCCGTCTACTGCTCACGTGACTGTTGTACATAAAATACACAGGGCTGCGTTCCAAACCTACGAACCAGGTGCAACAAATTTAAAATTTGACAAAAGTTTCGTGCTTTTTATGTCAAATTTAAACGTTAGAGTGAAAAGTTGCACTCGCAGCATAGATTTGGAACATAGCCCCCTAGTGAGTTGTCAAAAAATTGTCCGATGAAACAATACCTTGCCCCTCGACTCTCGAGCTCAGAAAGCAAAATATTTGTTACTGCAAACAAATATGTGTAGCGAAACAAAGTTGCCTGTAGATGATTTTGTTAAATGTTGATATTTTTTTTGTTCATAGTGTAGTGTAGGGCAAAACCCGCGCTGGAGACCCGGCTTCAGAACACGTAGGCCCGACGCACATTGGCGGCACGGCACGGCAAGGGATCCTTCGGCATCCCTACATGTAAGCGCACACTGGCGGTAACAATGCCTCGACGTCCTTAAGCATGCCGAGGCATCCTTAGGCATGCCGAGGCGTCCTTAGGCATGCCGAGGCGTCCCGTACCCACGCGCGTATCTTTTCTCACAACAGTCGTATCTCGTCTTCAGAACGGTCTTAACGCAAGCTTGTTGTACGTGTGCGTATTTATAATGGTAGATTGGGACCTAGTTCTCATAGCAGTTCTAATAAATTAACTGAATAAATTAAATAAATAAATTAAGTTATAATAAATTACATACACCACAAATAAGTAAGGTACGTTCATCGGTCGACAAGAAAGAATACGTGTCGGTGTGAACAACGCTAAGCTAATGACGCTACGCGCGGGGCCGCGGGGTTCGGGCGGGCGCTGTCTTGTCTTGTTGCGGTATCCCTCGGCATCCCGCAGACTGCCAAAGCGTTCCGAGGGATGCCGAGGCATACCAAAGGCTGCCGATGCGGCATGCCTAAGCATCCCGTGGCATTGTTTTTCTACCTACGACCTTCAACATTGAAATTTCAACTATATTTTCATACTCTTTAGTTATATTTTTATTCGTCGCGTAAAAATACCCTGCCATGCCGTGCCGTCAATGTGCGCCGGCTCTTATAGCTCAAGAACGGCTGGACCGATTTCTATGTGGTTTGATTTTTTGGATTTCCCCAAGAGTGAATAAGCGTAGCCACGAGTATGGATAATGCGATCCACTTCAATGGTCGTTCGTCGATGTAGTTCGTTCAATGGCATAAGCTCGAAACTCGTTCGACATTACAGGTCAATCATGTGTTAATCGCTAGATATAAAAAATCATAATTATCTACATTAAAATCATCAAAGATAAAGAGCTCTGCTGGATAGACAAAATAATCTTGTTGAATTTCTTCTGGTCTATTAAAGATCCGTGACTGTTACTACGTGAATCGTACTTTGGGACAAGCTACGATCAGTGTTATTTTTAAGTACTCCGAGCGTAATACAGTCGTGGGGCACGCTGAATCGATGAGGTGATATATCGTGATTTTTTATTATAAATATCAAATATATATATTTTATTATATATTTATATCAAACTAGCGGCCGCCCGCGACTTCGTATGCGTGGAGTTAGTTAGAAATAAAGGTTCACTGCTCGTTCCCCGTACGTGATAGCGTGATAATATGTAGCCTATATGTTGACTCGACTTTTTAATAATATTCGTGCTAAATTTGAAGTAAATCCATCCATCCAATCCAATCAAGCTAGATCAAGAAAAATAGTAAAAGTCTGATTTACTATTCTTAGTTCTTGAGGAAGATGGTCGATCAGATTATGGACCGCATCCGCTGTAGACAGCTTTGCCCGAAAACCAAATTGCATAGTAGACAAAAAGTCATTTTTCTTGGGGAGTTGTTAGCCTATTATAAATATTATTTTTCTAATAATAGGTACTACCTACTAACTGACAGATTTTACTAGCGCACTCTTCTATTTCAATTATATTATTCCTTGACTTATGAAGCAAAGGGCCCCATTACATCCACGGGGCCCTGGGCTGCAGCCCAAAAAGCCGTTTTCGCCCAAAATTAAAGTGAATAATACTAAAGAGACTGCTGTTAAAGAATAGTGGCAGGTTCGGCCAAAATTCAGAATGTATTTGTAAAGTTTTAAATACAAAGTCTTAGGTATATTATGAAATAAGCGCTACCATTAACCCGAATAGTTCACGTTCGTTGTAAATATTGCGATGTTTGCTTACTGCGCGTGGCGCCGCCGGTCACCTGGGCAGCGACGGCCGGCGGGCGCCTTGCCTCAGTGCGTCGCGACGCTTGCGTTTATTATGCCGAGCCGAATTTGGCAGCTTACTAATTATGTTCTACATAAATAATATAATGGATAACATTATTTGGTACTTAGGTACAGCACGACAAAATAAAATGTGCTTTTTGCCAGTCTTGTATGCCTGAATAGCCTTCATTCTATTGTAGATTATTTTGATTACACAGCACTTAATCTATTTACTTACCTACTAATTCTGCATCCAAAGTAACAAAAGTAGTCAATAACCCTTTGATTATGAGATTAATTAAAAGCAATAACCAAACTGCGAGCGACACCCGTGGCAAAAACTGATATGCAGATGACTGTGGGATGTCGGAACAGATTTTTTTCTGGGGTCCCCCCGTTTGAGGAGGCCCCGTGGCTTTCGCCCCGGTTGCCCTCCCTTAAATCCGGCAGTGGTGAAATTGACATCAAAATCGGTGCGCTATAAACCGACCACAACAGTAAATAGACGAAACAAAACCAATACAAAAGCATGCACCGCTCTTCAAACTGACAATAGGCACTCATCCATCACATGGGTCTGGTGCGGATTGGTGATTTTAAATAATAAGATGAAGCCAGGACTAGCCGCTTTACGTGCCTTCTGAAGCACGGAAGAGCTCGAGACCATAAGTTTTTTCACCCATCCAATGATCGACCATTGGAAAAGTTACTTAACTTCCAGGACCGTAGACTGAACACGTCCTGCACTATCGAGCTTCTCAGGCTTGGCTAGGGCTTGGCAAGTCTGTAAACGCGGCATTAAATGAGCCCATTAAGTGCGTTACTATGTAACTAAGTCGATTTGTTACACACTTAACAATTTAATAAGTCTATGAATATAATTAATCGGTAGGTAGAAACATAAATCACGGCACTCAACCGCCTAGACACCGATCGTTGGTCGGTCGTGTCGGATACAACGTATTCTCCTTAGCACAATTCCAGATTAGCAATATTATACGTTTATTTATGCGTTTTACATTCCAAATGTCGATGCCGAGTGTACAATTTGTATTAAGCAGAAAATTATATATGCGTAACAAGCAATTTAATTTAATGACTTTATTTAGAGCTCTGAGCTCTGTCTGATCGAGCTAGGTAAAGTCCTATAGCTTGATTACATTTATATTGATTGTGATATACACGAGTGTCACGAAACACACTTATCTTATAGAGCTTAGACATTGGAAATAATAGTTAAAATAGTTTAAAAAATGATCTAAATACAGTAAAAGCGTTTATTTAGACAAACGCTTTCATCTTTTGACTCTTATCTTTGGAACTTTGCCAAAATAACTCCCTATCTAAATACCTACCTACCTATTTACCACTTTCTTGCTTTACTATCCGTTCCAGCCTCCATCATCTTCAGATCTTCTTCAACAAGTGGAATGGAATTTTTTCGTTATAGGTAAGTAGTGATTCAGTAAGAAATTGTTTTGCTATTTTTTTAGGTTTACTTGGTCGTGGTAGGTTCGAATAATATCTTTGGAGGTAACATCCATAATTCGACAAAACTTTTCTTAGAGTATGGTCACATTATCGGTTTAAGATAGCAACAATAAAGTAGGTGCTCTATGACCTAAAGTTTAAGATTTTTGTGTTGATTCCTCTTCTGTAAGTTGAATACAAGGCTTCTAGCTTTTACCGGGACGCTTGTAGTGTGGCTAACTGCTATGATATACAATGCATTTTATTCATTAAGATTTTAGTCACAAAGTAAGTAACTAAATTAGCTATTAGCAGTGTGCAAAGATCCTTTAAGTGCACTTAGTCTCATCTTCATAGGTGTTTAAAGACAATTGGCAAAGCCCACGCTCCGTCAAAGTGCCATCACAAACAGTCGCAGTCGAAATTAATGCAAATTAGACAAATTGAATATTTATGAGCGAACACGAGCGAGCGATGTTGTCGTACTGAGGATGCGATTTTCGTTAAAAGTTCAACACTTCGAGATTTATGATGATATTGTGCGCACCGTTCACGGACGTCGCGCATATTTACTAAGTCTCTTGGTTGCGCCACTAACTCGGGATTACTTCCAAGTAAGTGATGTACCCTGGATGTGTGGGACAATCATCCAATATTGTTATTTGCAATAGGGATGATGACTCTTTTTTTACTTCGTCCAGACCCCTCTTTCCCAGTGGGCACTTTGGGCAAGTGCCCAGGACCCGGCGATCGATAGGGGCCCAGCTAGTTCCTGTTAGATCGCCAAACGGGGGTCATAGGGGCCCCATTATCCGAATATGCCCAAGGCCTCCAATAGGTCAAAGACGGCACTGACTTCGTCTATCAGGTACCTAATTAGATTATCATAAAGCATTGGACACACTTTTACTTTCTTTTTTCACATATTCAAAATATTAGGTACAGAGATATATTAATTTGAAATGTCACGTCTTGGTAT